TTTGAACAGCACAGTGTATTTCAGTTATATCGGATTATACCTTTCTAGAGTCAAAACACCAGGAAGTAATAGTCAAAAAGTATATTTCGGTTCATGAACCACAAAGGCTGATAAATTAGATTAGAATAATAATGAGTTAATAATAACAGACAACAAGTTGCTGTTTTTCAAAACTGGGATATTGAGTTAGCCAGGTGGTGAAAGAGATAACTCGTCACGCTGAAAGCCGTCATAAACAAGACTGTCAGAGTTATCCATTTGAACATGGTCCTAATGTTGCCAGGAAACACAAGTGAGTGAGTGAGTTAAAATTTATCGTCACATCGGCAATATTTCAGCCATATCGTGGCGAGAACAATTAATTTTATACCTAATAATTAATGGTAAATTGTAAAAATCTGTCAACGAAGGACAGTAAAATAACTAGATTATCACAGATAAGAAGTTAAAACTAGTAATGAAATATAAAACAGTTGAACTATAGATGACAGTACAAGGTAAAAACAGACTATATAATGCCAACAACTGAAGGAAGATCACCATACTATGGACCATGGGGACTTACAGTACATTTGCTTCCTGCATGGACCCTAGCTGGATTTACACATCCCTTCAGCCGTTAGCAACGTAGACAAATCTAGCCATACATTTAAAAACACACATATTCTACCATTAAAAATAGCGGAGAGTTTTAATTTACTTTGGGTGTTTGTGGACTTACGTATCCTCTCAGGAGGACAATACTTTTACATCAGTACTTTAACCCCCCTTGAGGATACATCCACTAACAATCTGAGTTGTTAATTCAAACTTCCAATCATAAAATATATATCTATTTACAAATCAGTTAACAAATCTAATTCTTTTAAAAATGCAATAATTAAATGAGAACTTATATAACTAAAAATATCCTTCATAGTGAATGATTTGAAATAGATATCCCTTGTGATGGAATATTCAACACAGTCAAGCAAGACATGCTTGACAGTGATTCTTTCAAGGGATACAAAACGGAGCATCCTCACCTTTTAATAGGTACTCATGAGTATATCTTGTGTGGCCAATACGACATCGTCGTAAGATGACCTCTTCAAGACTGGACTGACAACCCAAGTAGGTGTAACCGATAGTTGGTTTTATTGCATGTAATTTATTGATACACACTTCTTTTGCATCAGATCACGGATGTAAGTTCTAATGCTAGCTTTGTAATCAGAGTATGGAATAAGAAGTGGTGTCACAGATTTGTTGAGTGCTGCCGTGGCAGCAAGGAAACACAGGTACCAATCTTAGGTATCCACTAAAACATACAAACGGTTCTTTAAACATTACAGGCGGTATAACTTACATTAGTGTTCACTGCAACTTTATCGCTAGGACTAGGATTTTATCATAATTTTCTGTATTCATATATAAGCAAATAGATAGAAATAACCATCATTATAAACTCGAAATAAAGATTTATTCAAACTAGAACTAACGAGAGAAACTAATTGACATGATAATAACGAATCATGCAGAAAAAATATTTGAAGTTTGCTTTTATATACTTGAGCTAAGAAGGAAATAGTCAAAATTAGGAACATGTTATCAAAGTAACGACAACGTAAATAATTGAAATTACAAGAATTCCGATGTAGATACAAGTAAATATATTGATTCTACCACATTGTCATTCTCAGTCTTCTGTACTATAAATACTAAGATGGAATATATTATTTAAGGCAGCCATATATATTTCTCGTTTTAACAATACTGAAAACAACTCTCTTTTTAGGTTCACAAGAAACCAAAGGAGTCCGGCCAACAAGTCTATCAGTGTGGCAAACAATGTTCAATAAACGTCTGCCATGAATGGTTGTTGTGTATGTTTTGACTTCTTATTCTGTAAATGTGTTCTTTTCATGTGCAACGTGTGCAACATGTACTACCAACATGTACTACCAACATGTACTACCAACATGTACTACCAACATGTACTACCAACATGTACTACCAACATGTACTACCAACATGTACTACCAACATGTACTACCAACATGTACTACCCATCAACAGTTTAGACTCTCTTAAAGCACTCACAATATGTTATGTATATATATATATATGGTTACATGGAAGATGAATTTCTCCACTAACTTGGGGGAACCAACTGCAAACCTTATGCAGATGAATATTAATTGCACGAGGATCATGCATCAAATTGCTGAAAAGCATGTGCAAATACCGTGCATGTGAACAACTGCGTTTGGGTTTCAAGTTTTGTTAAGATTTCGCAAATTTTCAACTAGTTTCATCATTTATTGATCTCATGACAATAATCTTTTCAACGTCAAGAATTTGTTTTACAATACATCAGTTCATGTATAAACAGTACCTTTAAACAGTATGGAATATTTTCCAAAAGCTAGTTAAGAACTTTGACTGAAGTAAGTGGCTACATTTACACTAGTGAGCCTAAACATTTGATGGGTAGTATATTTTCTTGCTGTTATACAAACCGATGGAGAACAATAGGAGCATGATTGTTTCTCACAGTTTAAATGTATGACTGCAGCAATGAGGGTTCGGATGATCCTATCAGGGTCAGTGTGGTTAGGCATCAGCTCTTGGTGAATGGACTTCTCTCCTGACGTGCTGCACAGTCCACTGAGGGTTCGGCTGATCCTGTCTTGGTTAGGCATCAGCCCTCGATGAACGGACTTCTCTCCTGACGTGTTGCATAGTCCAATGAGGATTCGGATGATCCTATCTGGGTCAGTGTGGTTAGGAATCAGCCCTTGATGAACTGACTTCTCTCCTGAAGTGCTGCACAGTCCAATGAGGGTTCAGCTGATCCTGTCTTGGTCAGTGTGGTTAGGCATCAGCCCTTGATAAACGGACTTCTCTCCTGAAGTGCTGTAAGTCAAACGAGGGTTCGGCTGATCCTGCCTGGGTCAGGGTGGTTAGGCATCAGCCCTTGGTGAACGGATTTCTCTCCCGAAGTGCTGCACAGTCGAACGGTTTGGAGCATGTGAAGACTTTTGATCACTGCAGTCTTCTGCGTTACCAAAAGTTTCAGTATCAGAAGGACCCTGCAGGTTTGCCGTTCTTCTCAGCACACAACACATATAATTCTACAAAGTGGGTTGTTCAAGAGCCTTCTCTAGACACACTGGGTCTCTGTGGATATGATATAGTGCCGAGACTGGTTGACTCTCAATTCTGACTTCGCAAAGATGTATAATTCATATCTTTATTACGATTCATTCGTAACTACTCGTGTCATCCCGGCAAGCCGGATGGCGTCTCGTACCCCTCTCGTGGCCATGTTTACGACTGGGCCCTGTCTAAGCGCAAACGGGCATGGAGATGAAAATAGTCTAGTACTATTACAAAGGAAAGATAACTCTGAATTTCCAAACATGGCTCATAGAGTATTCTATATCACGTGGGCAAAACAGCAATACAGTCATTCCCTTTATAAATATGTTTCAGTGTTGAAAGTTTCTGATCCTTTAGCTCAAAGTTAATGTTTAAATTGTGCTTTGCATAGGTTAGCGAAGTTTCAAAGTTCAACGGTGCCGCCCTCATCATGCTTCAAATTACGTTTTACTACGCGGGATTTGATTGGTTTGCCACGATTCTTGGCAATAATGGCGTACGATAGGGATACGAGTCTTCTTGTAGGTCCCGGAAAGAGACGAGTAGTTACGAATGTATTTCGATTGTGTCTAATGTCCTTGGCTTGCTTGCCGAATCTGGGGAATGACTCGTTTTAACATGATGGACAACAGGAAACACAGACGAATATTTTTTGTGTGTGTAATAAACTGTATTCTGTCATGACGAACTAAGAAGTTGTCACAACAAGACCCCCGATTACAAGTAATAAGTCTAAACGTTTGAAGTAAGAGTGAGAGGGGAGGCATCTATCGCCTCACTTGGTGTCAGCACGAATGTCTTCTTCGGTCCAATCATCAATACCGAGAGAATATGAAAGGACGGATACACTATGTAAGGGGAAATTCTAATGTTGCCAAGTAACAGGTGAATATGGTCAGTCATGAAATATGTTTGGTATATGTTACAACTGCCTACCATATATGATATGACATGACACATCCCAACTTCCACAGCCCGACAAAGGGAGCAAATCACCTGGAAAATGATGTATACGCTTTCATACAAAGAAAGTACTCACGATTTAACATGAGCTCGGGAAGATATCTATTATAAATAGTTTACCTTCAGATTAGTTACAGGTTTGTTTATGAATTTTGTAAACTAAATATATGAGAATACGTCGCTTATAAGTTGCAAGTGTCGTGCTTATTGAATGTACAAAAAACAACAGATGAATATCAGCATTCATTCATTTCAACGAAATTGGAAATACGAACGTCTGAAACAGACACGAAATTAATTAACAATTCATCTATGGTCGTGAAAGTACAATTCAAAATACGCATGTAAGCGCTCGACGCGTTGATTTATGCAATCAGGCGAATGAAAAGATGAGTGAGTATGGTTTTACGCCGCAATAACAATATTCCAGCAGCGGACACAAGAAATCGGTAGCACACATTGTACCCATGTGGGGAATCGAACCCGGGTCTTCAGTGAGACGAGCGAACGCTTTAACCACCACGCTACCCCATCGTCCCCATCATCCATGATGATTTAAGCATTAACTTGAGAGAGCAAATACACTTGACAAACATCAACCTCTTCTGGTGTTTATCTATCTGTTCTGATTGTGTTTGTTTTGTGTGAAAGCCCTTCTATGACTTTCAATTACGAAAGATCTCATTTAGACAGTTGTTTCACTATAGTTCCATGCTGCTGAGTATCGACCCAGGAAGGGTACATATATAACTCAATATTGACAAATTAAAAGTCGTCCTGGATCAATATTCAAAAAGTGGTTCTGTAGAAATATATATATTTATCTTCAACAAACCTACAAACATCTCTTTGCATTTGATTCCTCATGTCCGATTTAATAAAAACAAACACAGTTTTCTTAAAGTGAAGTTTATCTACTGAAGTTTTCCAACAACGAGAGCGACGGACGACACGTGACCGCCGTTTCCGTCAAAGGTCATGCTGACGGTGTTGGATGTGTGGACCTGTGATTGAGGGACCATGAACTCCCACACATTCCATTTTGTTTTCCCCTCAACCTTCATAGCATCAAACAGCATGTAGTTTGAGGACAACGTGTGGCCATTGAACACAACCTGACGGGGTTTTGAATTGGCATTCTTGTCGCGGCTGACTCCCACTCTAAGATGGGCAGTGTGATATCCAGAGCTAGGTAGATGGATGGTGGTCTGCGCATGTCCGTTGCTGATTGGGATGACCATGTTCTTGCCGTAGTAAGTGTTCTCGTTGTTTGTGTGTATTTCGTTAAAGTTGTAGTTGGTTTTGAACTTGTAGAAGCAGGTTGATGATCCTGGCAGACCAACAGTGCCATGATTCTTAGACCTGTCGAAATGGTAATTGGGATGAACAGCTGGGTTGCCATTTTCGAACAGAACGCATGTTTCTTCACCTGTAGAAGGGTTCAGCCAGTTGTTGGGAAAGTCCAATTTAACATTCTGCCATTTTGAACCATAATTGTGGAGAAGAACCACCATCTCCTTGTTGTGAGGGTTTGCTAGAGCGAGTGATGCAACTATTCTCTCCTGACCATCGTACTGACTTGAGATCCGGAGAAACCTTTGATCATAATAAAAGTTTTGCCAAAAGGTGAAAAATTTGGTCATGTGAAGGGGATGTCCATCCTGGGTAAACAAGGAACTTCGAAGGGTAGGATGACCCGGATATTGCTCATTTGAGAGCAGAAACACTATCACTCTGTCAATAAATTCCCGTAAGTTAAGGAAAGTAAACATGAAGCCGTTTGGTTGATAAATGGTTTCAAGTCTATCATTCCATTTTCAAAACCATCCGCAACTCCGAACACACTTCCCCTTCCAAACTCACTGATAACCAACGGAACATTTTTTCCTTTCTTCAGATGAGAGTAATTCTCCACCATGTCAATAGAGGCGACCAGACGAGCTTCGTTGATACCAAAATAGGCGTAACTTCCACCAGATACACGCACATAGTTGTAGGAATGGAAAGAGAAAAAATCCAAGTGATCAAGAGACATGTCCAGAAACTTAGCAGTTCTCTTCCAGTAGCTGAAGTTATTTTCGTCTGCTTCTCGTAAGGCCATACTGGTGTATGTTGGTCCACCAACTTTCATTCCAAATCTGGATTTCAGCTTTTGGGCGACAGCCTTGTGGAAGTCTATATTCGTTTGTTGGTCAATATACTTTTCGACCCAATCAGGTTCATTAATGACTTCAAATATGTGGGGAATGCGACCTCCTGTGTAGTCCTTTGTACTCTGTACCATCAGGGACACAAACTCAGCTGCAGCGTCAACATTGTTGGGGAATTTTCCTTGATGATGAGACGTATCTATCCAACTGGGCCAGTTCAGACCTGTAAAACAGAAACATATGCAATAGGTCAAATATATTCATCAATTGCTAAACTGCTAAATTAGTATGTGTGAATGGGCCAAGTTGCAGGCCAGGTGGTGTAATACGAGACGATAAATATTGTGCCTCTTGGTATAGTTTGCGCAAAATGGAATTCCAACCAAAAGAACAGAAGAAGAGAAATTGTACGTCAAATATATTTAATGCTAAACTGTTTATTGTTGGTGTAATACAAAATGTTATTACTCTCAAGTGGAAGATACTGCAGTGTTATATTTTTACGTCAATATTATACTAGTGTAATACCGCTAGACGTATGACGCCATAATGGTTTACAGTTATGACGTCAGAATGCTAATACCTCAGTCACAATAGTATTAGACCTTGCTTTACTCGCAGAAAGCTGAGAGTCATCACACTTCGTAGGTAGTTTCTATTAATTTATGTTGAAGAGTAATAAACAGAATACTAAACTCGCTTCCGTGAAATACCATTTTTATGAAACGAGTTAATGATTTGGTATCAAACTCGCTTTCGCTCGTTTGATACCAAATCATTAACACGTTTTAATAAAATGGTATTTCACGGAAGATGAGTTTAGTATCCTCTATATATTGTATCACACCAATACATTGTTCATCCATAAATTGTTATCCTTCCCTATAAGATGATATACATTGAGCCTTTTGATGGAGTTTGGTCAAAATGGTATTCCACCCCAAAAAAAATTAATTAAAGACTGGAGGTCTCAACTTGTGTGTTGCGGTGATTTCTGTCCCTGACATACCCGTCGTTGGCCGATTTTTAAAATTTCATATTCCTGTTAAAATATTGTTCTAAAACTGATTACATAACACAAGAAACCTTTTATTTCCCAGACCATGTTGTTGATGTCACTTCCATAGCCATTCACTTGTTGCATGTAGAACCCGAATGTCTTTGACTGGAGTGAATGGTCCTGGAGATAGGCAGGGTCTGGGTAGCCATGGTGACTTGGGCTTTGACGCCACTGAATGAGACAAGATTACGTTGAAGATTATGGACTAACTTTGAAAATTATACTAAATGCAAATAGCATACATTTTTAATGAGTTAATTAAAAGGTGCATGTTTCATAGTAATTGTTGTCACAGTGTTGCTGTCACTGCCATGACTGAATAATGCTACGGAATCTCTCCCGTGGAATTCTCCTAAATAGCGTTGGACAGTTGTGCAAGTGTCCGTGACGTATGTCAATGTACACGTCTGTTGCGTTCATCTCACAGATACCCTATTAGAAGGCCATTGGCAAGAGGTTTGAATTCAGGAGGAAGTCGTGACGCGTTGTTTTGTATTGCCGGTATCGGTTATGAACCGAAAGAAGATGAAGTAGAAGAATTTTTACCATGTAGCGATTACCCAGATCAACAGGGAAGTCAGATCTCGGTGTGTAGCATATAGCCAACAACATCATCCCATTTCCGCCAACATTGTCGTCTGTAGACACGCTGTCTACAATCTCGGTATTGGAGAAGAAAGCGTAATGCAGCCCTCAGTCAGACGACAAGGATACATACCCGTGTGAGTAATGTCCACCCTCGAAGATGGTTCCTGGTTATTTGGTTTATTACCTTCACAAACAAGGAACATCCCCTGCAGTCTCAGTGGCAGAAGAAGCAGGTTGGTGATTTAGAGAAAGAACAATATAGTGATCTTGTGCAGGGGTGGTAACTCTTGGTCTTACGCTTGTCAGACGCTCTGGTGTATCAGGACATGACAAGCAACTACAGACTTGGACGCTCCAGCTTCAAGGCGTCCTCTGTCGATGATGTGATTGGCATCCTTCAGTTTTGGAATTCTCCCACAGACAATATGTCGACAATCCTTCGACAAAATGCTGACTGACGTTAGATCATGACCTTCACATTCATTGTCATGACTATTACTCATCTGAATTAGATTTCCTTTCCTTGAGCTTTTCGTGTAGTCTCATAAAAAATATTGTATAAAACTGCAAAATTAAAGACGGTCGCGTTTGCGTACTTCACTAGCAAACCATTCTGTATTCAACTGTATTCAATATTGTATTTGTATATAATGTTTTCTGAATAGGGAAAAAGTAACATTCTCGATATTGATTATTTTCTAAATAAACCTAAATTTGAATCTTCGTCAAAATGACTTGAATTGATTTGCTTGCCGGAACAGTTCATGGCATATCAGCGTTAGAACTTGACTGAAGTCAGCTACCGGTACCGAGGGCGACAAAGGGGAACAACCAGTTCTCGCTGACTTGGTTGTTGCATGGCATCGTAACTAAGTTGCGCAAGTTGATGCGCACATCGATGTTCTTGTTGTTCTTCTTAGTCACAGGATTGTCCGGCTCAGACAATCGATTGTTGCGTCAGCAAAACAAGCATACTTTGAGTATGGATAGGCTATTCAGTGTTTGCCATGACGCAGAAAACATGCGTATCTGACTCCCAAAAAGATGTCCATGACTCCCTCTCATGACAAAAAGAGTCATGATGACTAGTACATTTTTACGCATGGATGCAGACAACCTGCTTATTTGACTCCCCAAAACATGTCCATGACTCCCTCTCATGACACCAGTGTATCATGATTACTCCTAAATTTCTATGCCTAGGGCAAACACAGGCTGTTCAGATAGGTTATTCATAAGGTAATCGATATGTATGGACATGTAGCTAATCTACAGCAGTAGACATCAACATTTTCTGTTGTGTTTACGTGATATGAAATTCATGCTATCAACTTTGAATGGATTTTCCAGGGGCGGTGGGGTAGCCTAGTGGTTAAAGCGTTGGCTCCCCATGCCGAAGACCCGGGTTCGAATCCCCACATGGGTACAATGTGTGAAGCCCATTTCTGGTGTCCCCCGCCGTGATGTTGCTGGAATATTGCTAAAAGCGGCGTAAAACCAAACTCAGTCAGTCAGTGAGAATGGATTTTCTCTGCGCGATTTAGTCCCATAACAAGACGCTCTGCATGTCTCCAAACCAGAGGAAACATTGAGTATATAAAACAAGTTTAGGCATCCAACCCGCAGCACTGTGGATGACATGTAAGATGTTCTGTAATTCATACGTACATTTTCAAAGAGATGACCGCTCAGATCTGGGTTCAGCCAACGACCGGCAGCCGTCCTGATCGCTTTACACTTTGGTATTAGGTTCTGCTGGGTGAGGCCATTAATTTTGTTCCATCTCTCAACTTCGAAATGCACCCTTCCACCCTGGGAGAGCCACTCGTTGTAGATGGTGACGGTTGTGTCCGGGAAGGCTGCTCCCCAAAGCAACACGGTGCAGACAAGCAGCAGTAACATTCTGCAATGAAATTATGACATATCAGACAACTATCTTGAGCTTTAAATTGTCCTGTTCAAGGCTGTAATCTACATGAGAAAGGAGCGGGTGACTCCTAAAAATATGGCAGATAAACGTAGACAACGTAACTGATAAGAAAATGTGTCATAGACAAAACAAAAATTCCTCTCTGCTCATTCTGAAATAGTCAACCGACAAACTGTAAGTGGTCTGAAAGTTTGTGATCTGTTTTATTTTCCTCTTTTCGAAAACAACAATTATATGCAATCAAATTTGACAAACTTATCCCTTAATTTTACATTTACGTTTGCAAGTGATATAATTATAGTGTGCTACACTCTTCAAAAAGAAATGCCATTTTTAGAAGAATTTATTGTTTTTGTTTAAGAGCATTATTTCATGTAATTCCAACGGTAAATAGTGAAGATGGGTGAATAGGTGAAAATTCACACGTTTATAGACAATGACTTTGCCAACACAACATCAGCTTTTATTGATGTGTTTCTGTTTACTTGAGTCCATAAGAGGGCGTCAATGTCAGTAATTTGTATGGCCACCACTGGCAGCAATTACTGCTCGGCACCGTCTCGGCAGTCGACGAAGTTGCTCTTGAGGAATTCTTCCCCACTCTTCCTGCAATGCGATGGCCAGTTGTGGAAGTGTTTTGACGTCGACGTACACGTCGATCGAGTTCGTCCCAGAGTTGTTCTATCAGGTTTAGATCTGGTGAGCGTGAAGGCCATGGCACGCCACTGACGTTAGAATTGGAAAGGTAGCGGATCGTGACGCGTGCTGTATGTGAAGTAGCTGTATGTGAAGAACTCCCTCTGTCGGTCCATAATCGGAAGCATGTGACGTGTAAAGACTTCGTTGATGTACCGATTTGCTGTCAAATGCCCCTGAACCAACACTCAATTTTATCTTTGTTTGCTGGTTACCGCACCCCACACAATGACACTACCCCCACCGAATCTGTCGACCTGTCGAAGGCAATTAGGGGCACAACATTCATTCCTCCGATGGTAAACACGCTGTCTTCCATCTCGCGAGTGAAGAAGAAATCGTGATTCATCACTGAACCAGAGACGCCTCCAGATTCTAACGTTCCAGTTCCGGACAAGCAATCGATTCCTGACGGTTTGGTCGGATATTCTTCTCAAACCAGGGATGTTTTGTGCAACCTCCACGACTGTGGCAAGAGGATGACGCAAGAGAGCAGCCAGTGTATCGGTCCTTGGTTTGAGTGGTAACTTTTGGACGGCCGCTTCTCGGGCGATCTTAGGCGGAATTGATCTGCAGGAAACGATCCCACAGGGGAAATATGGTGCTCTGGTGAACGTTGAAATGTCGGGGGGAAATGCAGACTGCGACTCCCCAGATTCAAGGCGGCCTATGGCGTTGTTTCGATTGGCGACACTCAGTCGTGGCATGACGCTTTCCTCTTTTCCAGGCAAAAACAAAAGCGGTCTTGCATACATGTACATTGTGTTAGTTTGGTATTTACAAGACCAGTCAGAGATTCAGGTTAGAATAATGGTATTCCACGACTCATGCTTGTCGCTGGAGTCAAGATAGAAAATGATGGGTGACCAGGCATCCTGACTTGGTTGATACGTATCATGATATCCCAGTTGGGTAGATCGATGCTCATGATGTCAATCACTGGATAGCTTGATTACTTACATACCGTCGACACGTAGGTTGAATGTTGTTGTGTGCTGCGTTAAACAACAAAATGGCAAATACACTTTCTGCACAGTGGATTTGGGAAGGACTTATAGCAAACCGTCTATATTTGGTTTTATATCCTACAGGACTCGGGAGTTTTAGACATGCTGCCACACTACATTCCTGCCACAGCTAACAGTGGAATCCAAATTATCCAACCTATCTAACCTAATCCCATCGTGAATACAAAGTTGGCATATTTTCTTGTGCTATCTGATAAAGTAAAGCAAAACTGTGACAAGATTTTGGTCCCATGGTTTACACAAAACAGCTGTTAGCACATTAACTCGGTAGCAATTCTGGATGAACTCAGCACCATGCAGTAACATGTACATGACCGCATATGGAACGTGTATTCAGGCTTGGGTGGCTTGGGGCCTTGTGTGTCACTCGTGGGAGAACTCGAAGACCATTTGGTATTTGTTCCTGGAGCAAACCTTCGGTCGGAACAGCTTCAGACAGCTGTTCTAATCCTAAATCCGCATGTGGATAGCAGAATGATTTGATAATGAATATCTAGTCTGTATATGTGTATTATTAATTAGTAGTGGGTTAGTCTAGTGGTGAAAGTGTTCACTCGTCATGCTGAAAACCCGGGTTCGATTCACCCACGTGGGTACAGTGTGTGAAGCTCATGCCTGGTGTCCCCGCTGTGATAGTGCTGGAATATTGCTAAAAGCAGCGTAAAATTAAACTAACTCACTATTATTAATTAAGGGGAAGCGTAATATTGAAGGTGATATCCAAGTTGGAATCCGCTACATCGTATCCCAATTGCGTAGATCGATGCTCGTGCTGTTGATCACTGGATTGTCTGGTCCAGACTCATTATTTACAGACCGCCGTCACAGAACTGGAATATTGCTGAGTGCGGCGTAATACTGACTGCGGCGTAAAACTAAACTCACTCACTTGTTGCAAGTTGCATTGTTTATTTTCTGTATATATATATTTCATTGAACTTTACATGATGCATACCTATGAGTTTTTCGTTTGTATATCTCATCCCTTGAGGCAATTGATGGGAATTGGTTGGTCACAATGTGTGACTGGGAAAGTTCTGTGTCATTTTGACCCAACGGTCTTAATCGGTCCTGACACTAATACTACATGCAAATACTTAATTAACTATTAACATCTGACTGCATATCTCTGTTGACATCACTGGAAATAACTACTAAACTCCATGCCTGTAATTAGTGCTGTCCTGAATAGGGCTGCACGGAATTATCGGTATACCGGTATATGGTAAGACGCCTCTCAATCGATACGTATTGTACGTATTGCAGTGGGGTATTTTCTCAGAACTGGTATATTGGGTGGTAGGATTATATACTCATGGAAACGAATAAGGGAAAACATGTAAGCACATTATTTATTTCCAGTTTTTCACCCACAGTGCCATATAGAGTATAACAAAAAAAACGGAAAAACTTTCGTGTGTTCCTTTATTTGTTTCCATGAGTATATGTGATGAGTGAGTTTTGTAAAATCTACAGAGTTGTATTCACAATGAAGTTTCCCATTGTAAGTACTTGACACAACAGCATGCTTTACATACTATCAATTTTATACAAAGGAAATTACAGTCCCTCGAAATCAAATCTAATTTCGAGGTTTGTTATCACAGCCATTTTTAGGGCTTTTGAATGTAGAAAATAGACTCTGCGTATACAATCAATGTCACTCACTGTCAAACACTCCCAAAATATCACAATAAGTATCGGAATACGGCCACCAGAATCGCAACAAATTGCAATACAGTTCATTTGGCAACACATAGCACAAGTACAGAAGCATGCAGACAGACACATATCATTCATTGCTTGAACAGAATTATATGTTTTACGTTCAGAAGGATCATGTTGTAGTTTTAGACATTTGTTTGAAGACCTGTACAGACAGATATAGTGATTTGATAATGATTCCCGATGATGTACATTTCTGGCGTCCCCCGCCGTGATATTGATGGGATGCTGCTAAAAGGGGCGTACAATCTTACTCACTCATTTACTCACTAATATTTCTCCCAAACCTTTCAGTTTTCTAAGGGGCGGTAGGGTAGCCTAATGGTGAACCTTTCGCTCGCCACGCCGAATAGCTCAGGTTCTATTCCAACATAGTTGCAATGTCTGAAACCGATTTCTGGTGTCCCCTGCCGTGATATTGCTGGAATACTGCCAAAGGTGGTCTAAGGCTAAACTCACTTACTCAATTTCCTAGGTCATCCACTCAATCGTCCACATACCAGATGGTTTGTCTCGGTCAGTTTGCTGACCACATGCAATTAGTGATCAGAGTTGGATGGTGATCATAATATAACCCACTTGTTGGGTAAACCAGACTAATGACAGCCCACATTGGAATATTCATGAAAGGGGCTGATGCTATTATGTTGTTAGCAGTAGCAGGAACACCAGGTTTCGCCATCACCCGTGTTGGGAATCGAACCAAGACTACCCTTGGAATATAACCTACAACAACACGCACGATTTGGATTTGGCGTCCGCGTTTGGTCTGCTTGACCTTGAAGTCGTTTGACCTTGACTTACATCTTGCGCGTCATTGTTTCCAACATCCTCTTGAGGATTAACAACCTTCTGAATCCTTTGAACAAGTTCATCGGCCTTACCCCCCCTTCCAGCTCTCTTGGACCCGCTCAGCCTGTGATAAATCAATGTATACCAGCGGAGTAAGGACCATGCTCATTGGTCCCGATGGAGGCCAGGCTGTTGGTTCCAGTAACAATGGTACGATAGGTTTCTTTAAAGCATCTGCCAAGCTGACTTCCCGACGGCAGTTGGCCGATAAGCAGTATTTTGTTGTCACACAGCTGATGACAACCTTTGAGCCCCTCACGCCTTTGTCAATCTTGTCGAACAGGGAGTCCCCTCCGCCCATCTGGTGCACGTCCATCCAACACGTGTAGCCAAGGGAGGTAAGTCGTGCAAACAGTTTTTGTACCTGTGGTTGTTTGCCCCATTGGTATGACAAAAACACGTCCATGCTCTGTGCCTGTGGAATGAAACAAACGGATAACCTATAATATTCACCGTGACGCGCAAACGACGACTAGACAAGTTCTTCTTTCCCCAATCCACCTCAAGAAAAATGTATACTCGTCATACAATAAAAACTAAGCTGTAATGATGCGAGCATGAGTGACTAAGTATAGATTTACATTCAGTTCACTACTACTACTACTACTACTACTACTACTACTACTACTACTACCATTACTACTACCACTACTACTACTATGCTATTGATCACCGGATTGTCTGATCCAGACTCAATTATTTACAGACCGCCGCCATATAACTGAAATATTGCGGCGTTAAACAACAAACAAACAAACCAAAAACAATTTAGATTGATGTGTAAAATGTACTTTCAGATATTAATACTAAATTTATTAATTTACAGCCGGCTCAAAATGAAAATTCAGGACATCAAATTCCCATTAAGACCAAAAAACACACAAACACACACACACAAACACACAAACAAAAACACACACAAACACACTTAAACAAACACACACACAAACAAACACACACACAAACACACACACACACACACACACACAACACACACAAACAACACACACACAAACAAACACACACACACAAACACACACAAACACACACACACAAACAAACACACAAACACACACAAACAAACAAACACACACACAACACAAACACACACTCAACAAACACACACAAACACACACACAAACAACACACAAAACACACAGAAACAAACACACAAAAAAACACACCCAAACAAACAAACAAACACACACACACACACACACACACACACACACACACACACACACAAAGAAACAGAAACCACCCCAATACTGTTGATATGAAAATGAGCACATAATCCCCTTAATTCACTCTCATAGGACTGTTTGCAAAATAGTCAATGCAAAATTTGGTAAATGCGCAATTAACTGTATTTACCTTCTTTGTGGAAGTCGTCTTCGACTGGTCTCCGTCTTTGCTACGTTTGTTCTGAGGTATAGGGGCAATCGCAGGAACTTGTCCCCACCAGTTTTTATATTCTGTAAACATAAGGACATGTGCTCAAGCTTTTGTGTTTCTAAATGTGATTTTGTCATTTTTAACCCACACTCATTCCTAGAATTGTTAAATATTATAAAAATATAATCTGTGGTTGGGTAATTCTGTGTTAATTTCTACAAGTTCATTGAAAACTGGGGTACGAAATGAACAGCAACATGACCCATGTATATTTTATATTTGGCAAAATTTGTCCCAAAAAAGCGGATGTATTGATTTTCAAAGATCTGTAACTAAGACACTCTTTTAAAGCATATGTGTACTGTGCGACACGTTTTCTTTTATATTTAAAAATGTTAAATATATTTTGTTATTTAAAAACAATAAAAAACAAAAACATGTTGAGGTATTCTTTGAGTGATGACAAAGCACCAGTATAGTAAATATACTCATGCCAATAATGGTTGTCAGGCCACTCCCCACCCCAACCCTACATACACCCCACACCCACACTCCACACCCCCTCTCCAATAAAACAAATTGAAGGGGGTGACAACCATTATTGGCATGAGTATATGTATGACAGCTCTAACTTAAAATACACTTTAAATTATAAAATAATTGAGAGTTAGATTCTCTTTTGATGCTCAATGTATGTCGAATCTGAACCAGTTTGGGATTTCTTCGTAAAATATACAGAAAATCCTTGATCCTTGATTAAATCATCCAGACGAAAGGAAGTCGGGATTAAGCTCACCTGTTAACAAGTGTGGTGGGGTGGGGTCATTGTAAATCGACTTCTCCTCTTTTGATAACTAAATAAAGTAGCAAGTGATCGGGAGAGAAAAAACTAGTCTGATATGTCCGTCAGTTGTAATGGTAGTTAACTGTACTAACTGAACTGACGAAAAACTCTCCTCAAGGCTGTATGACTAAAGGGATTATGTCAACTTTCTAACAGTCAACTTTTCGTTCATGTCGAACAATATTCCAACAGCTCAGACTTTGAGGTTTACGTTTCACAAGTTTTGAGTTACAATCGAGCATCCTCCCTGTACCACGATTTCAAATCGAATATTGGCCTCTTCAAATGCCTAGACACTTCTTCGGGAATCCATCTGAACTCTCCCAGTAAAATACGTTTATGCATCTTTGTAGATTAAGGATACAGGGTTCTGGTCAATCTGGCTAGACTGGGAAACTAAAAGGTTTACGTTTCACAACTTTTGATTTACAATCGAGCAAGCTCCTTTCAACCACGATTTCAAAGAGGGTCATACCACGTTTCCTCAGAAATTGTGTCAAAATTTGATGTATTAGTGACAAAAATTATGTCCCATGTAATTCCCTAGTACCGTTTGACTTGTACCATAAGTTGAATAAGTTACCGATTTTTATCGATGAACAGCTAACTAGCCTTTGCATAAAGTCACAATTGGACAATCGACTCTTATTTTGGCAGTAATTTCTTACGGACGTAGAACGGATTTCAAAATCACGGGAAATGGGTGAAAAGGATTATTATTGTCGACATGTATGGGTTCTTATTTTCTGTAATTCAGGGATATCGAATTTAATGCAGTTGTGAAAAGGCAAAAATATTTGTTCAGAAATATACTGCATCTAAATCATGACAAGTCGATATTTTGACAGTCTGAATTGGAATACATCTAATTGAGGATTGGTTTGACTTTGGGCTGTAGCTTGGGGGCCGAATATTGGCCTCTTCAAATGCCTAGACACTTCTTCGGGAATCTATCTGAACTCTCCCAGTAAAATACTTTTATGCATCTTTGTAGATTAAGGATACAGGATTCTGGTCAATCTGGCTCGACTGGGAAACTAGAATCTACACCCAGCACAGCCAGCCACTCTCACCTGGTTCAACCTGTAGACTGACTTCCACCTTGTTGTAACTAAGCTGTAGGAGGAGTTCCCGGAACTTGGCCTTGGACCAGAATGCACCAGTCTCTACTTCCTCCCCCCGGCCTGGAGAAAAACCTGATGAAGAGGTACTCGCTGAAGATCGGCCCCATGGACCCGGCAGGTGGCCATGTGCACTTCTCCAGGAGGAGAGGAATTATCGGCTTGCCCAGTGTGACCGCAAGGTTCACCTGGAATAAATGGTGTGGGCAGTGTATCCTTGTCGGTTTCAAAACAGGCATCAATAATCGAGATAATCGAGCTGAAATTGTCAGAGAGGATCACGAAGTACGTGCTCCAGACAACCAGTTCGGACTTTTCAGCTTCAGTGGCTGGGTGGGTCAGATGGCTGACCTTTGGTGCCTTATTCTGAGAGAGTGGGAAAGGATGACATGTGTCAGCGATCCTGACCACCCGATTCCGTTAGTTGCCTCTTACAACAAGTCTGGGTTGCTGAAGACCAGGGCCTATATTTTAGAAGCTCTCTTAGCGCCAAGATAGTCAAAAGTTAATGTTAGTGTATTTCACTTACGACTATCTTAGAGCTAAGAGAGCTTCGAAAATATAGGCCGAGGATCTGCATGGGTCATTCTCTCCCGTTGTGATATTGCTGGAATATTGAGTCAACGGGTAATGTAAACTGACCGTACCTCACGGTTGCAGTTCGGGCTGCCGGCATACTTGTCCGTCACACAGCAGAGGACCACAGTTGCTGCTCGTATACCGCGGTCAATCTTCTCAAACAGCTTGTCTCCCCCTCCCATCTGGCCAATATCCAGCCAACAGCTGTATCCAGCTGACGCGAGGTGGCGCTGTAACAGCTGGACTTCCGGTTGCTTGCCCCATTGGTAGCTGATGAAAATATCCGGGGGGTCTTTTATAGTCCTGTGGTTCGTCCTCTACTACTGTTTCTGGAAACAAGAGTGAATTTTGTTTTACGACGCTTAGTAAACAAGCCCTAACATTTTCACTGATTGCCGCTTGTTTTGGTTATATTCCTGCTCATAAGGGGAAGCTGGATGACTAAAGCGTTCTTCCGAAGACCCGGATTCGACTCCACACATGGGTACAATGTGTCCCCATGCTACTAAAGTTCATTCATTCCAGCTGCATGACGGCGATCTGTAACTTCAAGGCTGAACCAGAAAATCCCGTGATTGGCAAAAATGACCTAACCACCCAATCCCATTAGTCGACTTTTCCGAAACTCATTAATAGTTGAAGAACAATTCCAACCCAGATCGTTACGGAAAGTCTAAGGTTAATTTTGAGAAAATTTCTGTCCCATAACATCGGAATAAGAATTGGAATCTCACCTGCCATTTTCATAGCATTCTCCACAATGACCGCCGCGTCGGTCCTGTTCATCTCTTGCAGTGTCTGTAGAACACCGAACGTGGCATCTCTGGTCTTGTTGGTGCTGTACCATTCATTCAACATTGACTGGCACGGGTCAGCCGTCTGTGCCCATCCCCGGATGTCGTCGTTGCTGTAACCAAGGCGACTACTCAGCAACCGCCAATCGTGTTTGCTCTCAGGATTCAAAAGTTTAGAAACATCACGTGCCCAAAATGGCGCGTGGCTTAATGTCTGAAAGACAATAAAATATTCATCAGTTATAAGTATTGTGATATATATCTTCACGGGTTATCATTGAAAGCAGCTGCGGTGGGCCTCTTACGACAAGAATGGATTGTTGAAAAACAATTCTAATATGAATCTTCACGGGTTATCATTGGTATCAGCAGAATGAACCCATGCAATTGGGATGAAATTACATGCATGAGCCGCGTCAGTGAGTCTATCCACGCGGTCCCGTTACGATAAGCATTGGTTGCTGAAGATCAGTTCTAACATGCGCAGGTGTATGCGCAGTTGACCACATCCATCTAGTCAATGTTAATGACGTAATACGTTATTGTATAAATCAGGGCAAACTTCGAGTACTATATATTACACCCACAAACAGGGCTTTCAAACGAATATTAGTGTAACAAATATTGTGTTTATGCGAGAATTCGAACCCGGGCTTTCGGCGGGACTAACGGACGCTTTCAGTATCCAACTATTCAATAATAACGACTGGGGAATGTTTTAATTGTATTTACCTTTTTGTCGATTTCTTCGACTTTTGACACAGTGTCTTCAACGGTTTCCCCCAATTCATGGAGTTCTCTCCTTTGATAGTCCAAACGGACCTCCGCACGATCTACCCGTTCCTTCTGCATTGTGACGTCATTCTGGACATTGTCGACCTTGGCTCCTGTTGTCGTCACTTCTTCTTCGAGTTGCCCCACTTCCTGTTTTACGCCCTTCATATCGGCTGACAATGCCTCCAGGCTGGAGAGAGAGTAACGCAATGAGTACAATCTATTGTTATGTTTTGCAGGGTTTAATGGTTTAAATAGATGAATGCAGCAAAGAGGGTTCGCGTGATCCTGGCACAGTCAGGCTAGGATGGTTACGCTCACAACCCAGACAGCGAATGGGACTTGTCTCAGGAAGCGCTGCCTGGAAACGCTCGGAGAGTACGCTGACTGCAAAACGATGCAGTCTTCTGCAGTATCCACAGGGTCAAAAGGGAGGTGTTCCTGGCAGTAAAAACGTAGACCCTCCCCCGTTGTCAGTCAACAGACTGGAATGTACTTAACCTTTGGCACCAAGAACAATGGATAGTCTTTGCACGTAGAAGCAAGAATTATATTTGGTATGCGAGGTCAGCATATTTGCCATCTTTCTCCTGAATGTTGTCAATTACATAACTGTCAAAAGGGAACAATTCATAGCTTATGAATAATTTCTTTCGTTTAATCAGAAAAAAATACGCCTAAGGCTGTATACAGGCCTGTTCCCAAAAAAGTTACATTTGTCATATTTCATGACGCCATCGGCAAACGCTGGGTTGTGTCATGATGGACCTCACAGCGATAACCACAAGCATGGTGAAGACGGTAATAAAAGACCGAGCCGTGCCACTATATCGCTTCAGATACTGTGTTTGCCATCCACTCACAAGGTGTTGGACAGTGTCGTTAAATTCAGATGTACCGTAAATGGCCAAAAAAAATATCTCCTTTTGAAACCGGGAAACCGGAGATGTCAGAAACATCAAAATACCATATCATATTTTACCCTCCAGTATATTTTCACATTTTCTTCACAAACCTCCTTCCTTCCAGTATATCCAGAATGAAGATACAAGTGTCCTTGACCGACTGTACTTTGGTAGTGTCGCGGAGGTCAGCTATGAAGGACTTCCGGTTGTCCAGAAGGGGTCGATGAAATGCTCCCACTGCACGCATCGCGTTCAAAACTAGGGGAGATAACTCCCCGTCTTCCGGTCGGGACAATAACTGTGTGTAGTACTCCATTACTGGTTCTGCTTTGTCCTGCAAATGATTTGATACATGTATAGAAGTAATTACTTGAGTTCCAACAAATTGTAATCTTTTCGTCTGGGCCGACAGTCTGGTTTGTTTACACGGCAGTGTCGCTTGGTTGGGCTAATGCTGCGCTGCGAGAGGCTAAAATAACTTTATTTCATATGAACGTCAGATACGACCGGTAGGGCAGCACAAGCGTATGCTTGTCACGAACACCTGGTGTCAACACTATATTGTCAGTGGTGAACTCACTAGTGGTGTTCCGATTAATTGAAATAATCGAGGATTGGTCGCAGTGACCAAACAACCAAGCAATCAATCACATTTCATCATGGTAGAACACACACAATTTTGGAACTTCTGCTTTTGTGTTTTAAACACTTAAAGGTGGAACGAACGTATCTTAAAAGTTGTCAGGGCCTGAAAACATTTTAATTCTTAGAAAACGCACTTCACTTACTGAAAATTCATGACTGAATATTTCTTGAAGTCTCCAGAAAGTTGATGTTCATGATATATTAGTCATCACTTTAAAGTAGCAAGTTGCATCATGTTATACATATCTGCAATAACAATCTGGATAGGAAAATCTGCAAAAATGACGCTAACCAATTTTTTTCAGTGATTGTGGTCATGAAACAATCATCAATTGTGAGATTTCAATCAATTCCTAACACTAGTATCGTGTATATTTTTTATCCGTACATACACCGATACTGCTCTTATCTGGAGCCCTGCTTTTGTGTTTTAAACACTTAACGGTGGAACGAACGTATCTTAAAAGTTGTCAGGGCCTGAAAACATTTTAATTCTTAGAAAACGCACTTCACTTACTGAAAATTCATGACTGAATATTTCTTGAGGACTCTGGAAGGGTTATGCTTATGATATGCTAGTCTTCACTTTTAAGGAACAAGTTGCTTCATTTTACATTGGATGTGATATTTGCGCAGTTTCTAAATAAACAAAAAACAACATGTTTTTTTTCTGTAAATTTATGTGCATTAAAACCTGAACAGGAAAGTCTGCAATATGACGCAAGACAAGTTTTTTCGATAATCGCTCGTTGGTAATGAACGTTAACCAATCATTGCAGTCACAGATATTTAGCCCTTTTTCCACAAATATATTGACCTTCACTGCAGATGAAATCTGACTGCTTTAGACTGGCTTGGATTTTATTACTTGCCATATAATTATGAAGCTGTATTCACTCACCATTGAAGTTTGAACGGCAACGTTCTTGAGGACGTTCACCAACAGTCGTCGGCAGTGTTGTTTATGTACGTCAGCCTGCATCAACGTCTCAGTGTGCGCTACGATCAAGTCTGGACGTTGTTGTGACAAATGTAGGAGAATTGTCAGATAGCTGGCTTGTTCCGGTTCGTCAGCTGACTTCATCTCCTTGATAATAGTTGCGACGTGGTCACCATCGAACAGCTGGAAATACACACACACATCTGATTGTTGGTGACACATGGTGGATCAGAAGCTCAAACTGTCTGTATGATGGAGGCAAAAATTTATCTACAAGATAACATTACCATTATTAGCTATGCTTCAACAAAACATAAGCCACTATGTTCTGAAGCTCACCTGCACAGAATGTGTACCGACAAAGGAATTTCTCGATGTTTATTGAACTGATTAGAGACAGACATCATTCAATATGGTTTTAAAAGAAAGCCTTATCACTATTAAGTCTGTTTAACAAAACCCAAGCCACTATGTTCAGAAGCTCACCTGCAAAATACACGGAAAGTCTGTCGACAAAAGGGATTTTTGCACGTTCACTGAATTGATATAATTGCTGTTTGCTGTGACTGACTGACTGACTGAGTTTGGTTTTACGCCGCTTTTAGCAAAATTCCAGCAACATCACGTCGGGGGACACCAGAAATGGGCTTCACACATTGTGCCCATGTAGAGATTCGAACCCGGGTCTTCGGCGTGACAAGCCAACGCTTTAACCATTAGGCTACCCCACCGCCCCTGTTTGCTGTGAAGTGTGTGTACATGTCACAGCACACAATTCAAGTTCGGAGGTTGAAGTTGCCCTAGTGGTTACAATACACAGATGCGACTTAGGTTTTTAGTGGCTGTATCCTCAAGGGGGGCTGAAGTACCGTACAATTAGTGTCCTCCTGAGCAGATTCGTAAGTCCCAAAACATTCGAAAGACAATTTAATCTTCCACGTTTTTACTCGTAGCATTATTGTTATTTTAATTGTGTGCTAAATTTGCCTACAGTCGCCAGCAACTGAAGGGATGGTGTAAATCCAGCTAGCGGCCATGCAGGTACCGAAGGCACTGTAAGTCCCCATGGTCCCTAGTATGGTGATCTACTTTCAGTTGTTGGCGATCAATAGCCCATTTTTACGTTGTATTGTCTAAAATAGTTTTCTTCATTAAAGATATATGCTAGCTAGTTTTAACTCTTTTCGTGATACTCAAGTTATTTTACAGTCAGTCGATGACTGGTTCTTTAACTACTTGTATGTATAGTGTATGTACAACAATTCTCGTCACTATATGGAAGACATATTGCCGAGGTGACGTTAAATTTTAACTCACTCACTCACTCAATACACAGTTAAGGATGCGTTATACCGAGGTATTCCATCACGTACCTGTGGTTGACGTTGGGCTACGTCTATCATCAGTGACAGGACAAGCTCCCTCACGTCATCATCCCGACTGTCCATGAGGTCAAAGAAGGTCGAAAAGTGCGGCGCGAGGGGCTCTGGGTTGGACGGGTACACTTTGGTTATGGGGACTGAAAATTCGATTTACATAATGTGATGGGAGTGACTGAGTTTAGTTCTACGCCACCTTTAGCAATATTCCAGCAATATCACGGCGGGGGACACAAGAAATGGGCTTCACACATTGTGCCCATGTGGGAAATCGAACCCGGGTCTTCAGCGCTTTAAACACTGGGCTATCCCACCGCCCTTATTGCGGTGTCTTTCGTTTGTGGGTGAACATCACGTATATCTGCCATACAGTGATTTAAGTGGGAATATTGCTGGAAGCAGCTTTGAACTCAGTCAGACATCTACTGCCAAACAAACTCTGACGTTTGGGGATAGTAGGTATAAAAGTCATGGAACAGGGAACAAGGAATGATGCTCTACGTGTGTTCGTCAATATGCAACTGACCTAAGACTAAACCTTGCTTTGTATCTGCTGTTCATGGGAAGTACGGATTAATAACTTCTGCGGGTTCATTTGAGATTCATTTTATAGCAGTAGGCATTTATTTCATTTCTCTTGCTTCCTTGCCAGATTTGACCTTACTGAACTTTAGAATTCAAAATTTGGTGAGTGAGCGAGTTTAGTTTTACGCCGCACTCACCAATATTCCAGCTATGTGGCTGCGGTCTGTAAATAATCGAGTCTAGACCAGACAATCCCGTGATCAACAGCATGAGCTTCGATCTATACAATTGGGATACCATGACATGTGTCGACCAGGTCAGCGAGCCTGACCACCCGATCCCGTTTGTCGTCTCTTACGACAAGCATGGGTTACTGAAGATCAATTCTAACCCGGATCTTCACGGGTCAAACTGACAGTTATAACGAACTGTTTTGGTCTATATATAATGAACTAAAATTGGTGGTGATTTTAATTTCGTTACTGTATCTAAGGTTGACATGTATGTTATAACTCTCCATCTACACTCACACAGCATGTCTGTGTTCTCCTCATCCACGAACAGCTTGACCATGGCCTCCAAGTGCGGGGCTAGGGCCTTAGCCTCCTTAGAGGCTATGGAGGCTACATGGCTGATAGCAAGGCTCTGGATCTGCTCAAACTCGTTGCCCATGAAGGTCACTATTCTGCAGATCAACTGGGAGGCTTTCGCTGCTGTCCCCGGGTTGTCTATCTGTGTACAGAAGGAACAGATAAATGCTTTGTTTGTTTCTTGTTTAACGTGGCACTCGGCCATATCCCAGCTATAATTATGGCGGCTGTCTGTAATCTGGACTAGACAATCCAGTACTCAACATCATGAGCATCGATCTACTCAATTGGGATACGATGACTTGGGTCAACCAAGCTTGAGGAACGAACATATCTTCACGTTTCAGAGTAAAGCCAAATGTTTCTCGTCATGATGTGTGGCATTTGCAGAATTTTTCCTCAGTTGATATACAGGAATATCAGCCTAATAAAGAAAAAGCTCCAATGTTTTTGGACCACGCACACACATACGCAAGCAGGTACTCACTCACTCACTCACTCACTCGCAAGCAGGCACTCACCATCTTACACAACCTTGTACAAACAGTGGAGTATAGGTCGTAGAAGACGGTGTCGGGAGAGTTGTTGTCGGGATTGATGAATTCTCTTTGTGTCGCGGACATCGTCAAAGACATCAGAATACCAATTTCCTCATCAGACAGGATCTTAGCATCTCTGAAACCAAGATGGGAACGAAGATACTGATAAAGTACAATTCTCAGGGCCGACTTGATTAAAGGTAGACAGTGAGCGATACCCAACGGCTTAGCGATATAAACAAACACGTGACTTTAAAACATCACGATTCATTTCTGAATTATAACAGCCACTTAGAATGTATTTGAGTTGTGAGTTTAGTTTTAAGCCGCTTTTAGCAATATTCCAGCAATATCACGGCGGGGGACACCAGAAATGGGCTTCACACATTTTACACACACATGCGAGGAATTGAACACGGGTCTTCGGCGTGACGAGCAAACGCTTTAACCACTGGACTACCCCAACGCCCCTGTAAATCTGATGAAAGGTAATGTTTGGAATGAGAGCCAAGTTGCAATCTCTAAGATGACAGGTAGTTTAACTGGCAACTCATTTTTCATTTATTTATCAAAACCTTATTGTCTTACGTAATGGCGTCCATTGCCTGCGCAGCCAGGGTCTGCGCAATGTTGCGCGCTGAGGGCAGGTCCCACCGGAAGTCAGCATCTTCAAGGAGTGGCTGGAGCGTCTTCATGGAGTGGAACATCAACGTCTTTTCTTTCTGAAAAAGACCCAGTTTACTAACTACTGATATATCAAACAAGCCTTAGATTGTCGCTTATTCCTTTCAACTCAAATTTGGTTATACGTGTTGATTTAGGTTTTTAAGACTTTAGGTATCGATCGTTGGTTTCTCGATTTTTTTTCAAAAACTAAAGCTGAATTTTATCGCATTTGTTGATTTCCTTGTTTCACTATATTTGAAAAGAATTTTAAAATTCCACTGTACAACACTTTGAAGGCCATCGATAGATATATTACTTATACCAGTAAGTTGGTATGGTTTTACGCCGCTTTTATCAGCATTCCAGCAATATCACGGTGTAGGACATAAGAAATGAACTTCACAGATTGTGTTCTAGTAAGGAATAGGACCCAGGGTTTTGACAAGTGAACGCTCTAGCCACTGGGCCTCAATAAAATCAGAAGCCAAGACAATCTTCTTCATCACTTTTTCTCCGTGATCTTTGTTGAATGTGAAGTAGCCAGGCTGATAAAGCGTCATTCGTCCCACTGGAGCCTCGGTTTCGATTCCTATTTCTGGCATTCTCCGAATTCCTTGAATATTGCTAAAAGCGGCATCTAAACATATCCACTCCCTCATTTTAACCTGTTCTAAAAAATATAACTGTGTCGAACGAATCGACGTAAAACGAACGATAGTAATCGTGCTTGTTATCTTATTTTGACCTTGTTCTAAAATGTAAATTTTAAAATTTCTTATCGCTTAGTTATCCTGCTGGAAACCTCAGTGTGACCTTTTCTTAGAATATAACTTTGTAAAATTATAATGACATAGTTATCGTGCTTCTTACCTTGATATTGAACTCCACCCTTGTTACGACCTCTGACCCCAACCTGAACATGAACGTTGACCTTGATGCAAGACACTTCAAGCAATAGTGAACCATGCGTTCATTCAGCTCTTTGATGACCCGGTCACGTCTGAAACACCAACACACGAACATGATACTTATATAGTTAAAGGTGGGTGTTCCAAATCACAAATCATAATAAACTTTGTACAGTCTTCCATATAATCCACCCCGCCGTCATATGTACTTTTAACGTATACTGATGTGCAAAAGAAAGTACACACTTGGTGCTTTGAGACTATCAAAACAACGTAAATATTTTGCAAGCAATGTTCCAATTGGCTACGATATCTATGGTGTTATTGCAACACAAACACAATGTTTGTAACTTGTGAGTTGCAATCAAAACACTTTTCTAAATGTTACGCTGTTTTCAGGAAAACATTTTACCAACGCATCAGGTGTGTACTTTCTTTTGAACGTCAGTTTATATTTATACCTCTTATGTCGAGTATCCCGGTCTGAGCGTAACAGAAGTTCTGGCCCCGATTTCTAGAAACAAACTTAAGTCTGAGTTTTGACTTAAGTCTGAGTTTTGACTCAAATTTGAGAAAACGTAGGAAAATGCATTTCCCAGAATAAACTGAAATCAATATTACACTCAAACTTAGTAGACAATTTGAGTTTGGTGGGTAGATTACTTAAGTTGTTTGGGCTTTTTTTATTTAAAAAATGCAGTTGAGTTAAAAATGCAGCTGTTTCAAATTGTCAGACTCAGTTTGAAATTTGAGTAAAAACTTAAGTTTGTTTCGAGAAATCGGGGCCTGGTCTGGTCCGTTACTTATGAAGCATTTTCAAGACAAGTGACCCTAATACCTTCTTTAGGACCTTCAACTTGTTTACGTTATCACAAAATGTTTGGGTTATTATGTGTTTTGATTATCTAATTTATTTAAATAATCGTGGTTAAAATTAGAAAGAGTGGGTTGAGTTTTGTTTTACGCCGCTATTTTCCAGCAATATCACGGCGGGGGATACCAGAAATGGGCTTCACACATTGTGCCCATGTGGGAATCGAACCGGGGTCTTCAGCGCGACGAGCTAACTCCTTAACCACTAGGCTACCCCACAGCCCCTAAAATTACAAAGAGGAAAGGAAATATTTGGTTCAATAACTTACTTAATCTGTTCCAGGAACTGAGACAAGACGCTGGCGTAGAAGGTGGTCAGTGTCTCCTTGTTGTCATCCGGGTCACCAGATATCTCGACGTCAGTTATAAGGTCAAGGACATCCTGTGCATCGGTCACATGGGGCTAAAGTACAAAAATTCCAACAATTAAACCTGTTCATTTCAATGATAGCGAAATGTGTAAATGAATAAACTAAAAATACTGGAAATCGAACCCAAGATTAGTGGATTCTGGTGCGAAAGGGGGACTATCTTTCTAAGGCCAAAACTAGGGAGACAACTGGGTGACCTATGCCTTTAGATGCAATGAGCGAGTGAGTTTAGTTTTACGCCGCACTCAGCAATATTCCAGCTATATGGCGGAGGTCTGTAAATAATCGAGTCTGGACCAGACAATCCAGTGATCAACAGCATACGCATCGATCTGCGCAATTAGGAACCGATGACATGTGTCAACCAAGTCAGCGAGCCTGACCACCCGATCCCTTTAATAGTCGCCTCTTACGACAAGCACACACTGCACAGGGTATCTGCGGTATTTTGGCAACCTGTGCACGGCGTTTGTGACTTGTAAGTGAAAAGCAAAACCGTTTTCAAAATATTTACCTATTTTTTAAATAATTCCAAAACATCATATGTGTACTATCTTTTGTACTTCGCATTAGTACACTGACATTAATTATTAGTGAGTGATTCGAATCCGGGTCTTTGACCTGACCAGCGAACACTTTAACCTTTAGGCTACCCCTCCGCCCCCATCAATTATTAACGTAACGATTTGTTTCGAACACCGACCTTCCATTTCAGGAACTTGTCCTTGACAGTCAGCACCGTCTGAGCTGTGTCCGCACAGTGACGTTTGGGTATCTTTACCAGGGACTTCAGGAGGCTAATCAGCAAACCGATGTGTTCCTTGGAGCTGCAACAGAGTCCGCTTATATGGCGCTCACATCCAGGCACTTTGCCTGCTCACGGCGCTACGTACATTACTATCCCCGGTCATAGGACACTATCGTACTTTCCGATACTTTTTCAACTCCCTGGGGAGTATACAGTCATGCTGCCTGTTAGGCGCAACGAACTAAACAATGTTCGCAACGAACATTGCCAGCACATCCTCACGGATACCCATTTTACAGCTGGGTGAACTGAGACAATGTGGATCTAAGTATCTTGTCCAAGGATACTACGTAAATGTGCCCACCTCGGGACCCGAGCCTAGGTGCCTCCACCGGGGATCGAACCCGGGTCTTCAGCGTGATAGGCAGACGCCTTACCACTGCACTACTGTGCTCCACGAGGTTATGTCTCTTAATCTTAAGGACCCGTGAAAATCCGGGTTTGAATTGGTCTTCAGTAATCCATGCTTGTCGCAAGGGGCGACTCACGGGATCGGGTGGCCAGGCTTGCTGACTTGGTCGACACATGTCATGGTATCCCAATTGCGTAGATCGACGTTCATGGTGTTGATCACTGGATTGTCTGGTCCAGACTCGATTACAAACCGCCGCCATATAGTTATTGCAGAGTGCGGCGTAAAACTAAACTCACTCAATGTTCAACATAATACGGTGAGTGAGTGAGTTTAGATTTATGCACATATAGCCAAATTCCAGCCGCATCACGGCGAGGTACGCCAGAAATTGGGGAAATCGAACCCGTCAAACAACAGTAGGCGAGGGTGTGTGAGTGTGTGGGTATGTGAAGTGGGGGGAAGGGGTGTGTGTATGTGGTTAGATAGCGTTTAAAGCGTTCGCTCGTCACGATGACCCGGGTCCGATTCCCCATATGGGTACAATGTTTGAAGGCCAATTTTGGTGTCCCCCGCCGTGATATTGCGGGAATATTACCAAAAGCGGTGTAAAACTAAACTCACTCACTCACGCACTCACTTATACAATGTCTGGCCATCACTCGTTAAAGGTTCATGCCACAATCAACTCACACAAATTGAAAGTCAATTCTGATTTCGTTAAACCTCCATTCAAAACTTTATGTTTTTTTATGCATCGCACAATTTCATGTATACTATGGTCCCCACAAACCTTAGAACGTAATCGTGGCTAACCGGGATTCGAACTCACGGGCATGTGTTTCAGTCTTGCCCTAGTCAGTACTGCTGATTGGGGCGTCTTAGACGAGTTGGCGACCTTTAACCCTTCATTCCAAAGACCATACTTATAATAGCTTGTACCAAAAGGATTTTCAATATGAGGCTGCGTCATCGTTAAAGATGTCACTGCTTACTTGTTCATGCTGCCGCAGATGACGTTGCAGACGGCAGGTTTGACCAGTAAGGCGTCGAGGAAGCTGTGGTCAGTCAGCTGGTCAAGGAACTGTCCGAACGCTGGAGTCATTGTCTCGAAGAGGCTTGAATTACCCTGGAAAGGAATTCTGACATTGATCCATGGCGTCGAGTTAATATTGGCCTAGATGTCCGGTCTGGAATTACAGGCACCATATTCCTGGAACACTGCTGTAGGGGGTTAAAGAAACACAACTGAAGACATACGTCATGTTTGTTTGTTTATGCTTTGTTTGCTGTTTAACGCCGCACTTAACAATACTTATTGCTGGAGTCAATTAATCCAGTGATCAACATCATGAGCATAGACCTATGCAACTGGGATACGATGACAAGTGTCAAAAGGTCAGCGAACCTGAACACCCGATCCCCGTTATAGTCCGTTTGGCTCAATAGCGGACGGATGAATTGCAATCTAACTCGAAAACTAATAAACATAAAATACTCAATGAAACGCTGATCATAATCAAAACATCATACCCATTCTGTGAGGTTTTTGCAGAATTTTTGTCCTAAAAATTAAAAAATTGTTTAACAATTTATCATTAAAATATTGACACAGTTCACTATTTGTTACGAGGGAGGAGTGCAGAGAAAGGGACAGCCATGTGTTCGAGAACGGATGGAGACGGCACAGCACAGGTTAATGAATAAATAACTTTGTCTGTGAACGTGCTTCTCGAACACCTGGCTGTCCCTTTCTCTGCACTCCTCCCTCGTAACAAACAGTGAACTGTGTCAATATTTTAATGATAGTTTGTTAAACAACTTTATTATTTTTAGGACAAAAATTCTGCAAAAGCTCACAGAGAGGGTATGATGTTTTGATTATGATCAGCGTTTCATTGAGTATGTTATGTTTATTAGTTTTCGAGTTAGATTGCAATTCATCCGTCCGCTTTGAGCCAAACGGACTATAGTCGCCTCTTAGGACAAGCATGGGTTGCTGAAGACCAATTCTAACCCGGATCTTACTTACCAATCGCCTGTCATATTACCAAACACTCACTAACATCTTTTAACAACAGCTTATATTTGCACTGGGTTTTTTTTAGCATTTTTACTGACTGATATCTTCGCACAGAGCAGAATGGTAGAAAAGATGTATTTTAGGGATTAAATAACAAAGTGATACGAACTGAGCTCTGACCCTGACCTTCAGTACTGTGTCAGTGACGCCGTTGTACAACACCCCCACCTCCTTGACCAGATGGTGAATTTGGCGACCATGCTTATCCTTACACATGTTGACCAGAAATGACAGTACGTCACTCGACAGTTGAACAAATAGGTTACCTTCTCTGAAACAGATAGATACAGTTGGGTATGAGAGGACGACAGTTATGGTAAAAACATTATGCTTAAAAACAGATCTTTTTCACTGCGTGAACATCCGAGATCTCGTTTGGTTTGAGATCTCGTTAGGTCCGAGATCTCGTTACCTTCACAGTCAATCAGCGCCGATGCTTCCGTTCTCGGTAAGCGAAGCAGCCGTGGAAAACTAAGACGACAAGTTCCGAATGGAGATACATAAGGACACACCAAAGTGTCGTTGCTGGTCGTCCAAAATGGAGTGCCATCGAAGGGATGGTTGTATTCTTTGTAGGTACAGGTCAAAATTGCACATTCTTGGTGTTCAATAAAACAGCCGAAATCTGGCTCAAGGGTTGTGTTGCAGCTTCTAAAGCCTTGACCAGTGTTAGCATTCGTCCGTAGCACATACACTCACGACGCACTACCATGACGCTCATTACTGGTGTTCACCCATCGTGATATTGAGAGACTACTTTTGCAAGCGCGTAAATCCATACTCACTCACTCGAACACGCAACACACTCACTCGCCTTAAAAAAATATTCATCAACCAACCTGCTCGCTCATTAATTTATCCTCCAATCCCCTCACTCACTCACAGACCTACACAATGACACACTCACTCACATACCTAAACAGCGACCCACTCACAGAGTCACAGACCTACACAGCGACAGAGTTACTCACTCACAGACCTACACAGTCACTCACTCACTCACAGACCTACACAGCAACCCAGTCACTCACTCACAGACCTACACAGCGACCCAGTCACTCAGTCATAGACCTACACAGCGACACAGTCACTCACTCACTCACAGACCTACACAGCGACACAGTCACTCATTCTCTCACATACCTACACAGCGACCCAGTCACTCACTCACTCATAGACCTACACACCGACCCACTCACAGAGTCACAGACTTACACAGCGACACAGTTACTCACTCACAGACCTACACAGCGACACAGTCACTCACTCACTCACAGACCTACACAGTGACCCACTCACTTACTCACTCACAGACCTACACAGTGACCCACTCACTTACTCACTCACAGACCTACACAGCGACCCGCTCACTCATTCACTCACTGACAGACCTACACAGCGACCCACTCACTCACTCACAAACTTACACAGCGACAGTCACTCACTCACTCTCAGGCCTACACAGCGACCCACTCACTCACTCTCAGACCTACACACCGACCCACTCACTCACTCACTCACTCACAGATCTACTCAGCGACCCACTCTCTCACTCTTTTCAGATCTGCTCAGCGACCTATACTCCCTAACTCTGCGCAGTGGTCTTACCTGACAGCTGCAAGCAGGTCGTGGAGAATGTCCATGACAATCTTCAGTGTCTTGCTGCTCTGCGGGAAGTCTGCTTGACCGATTGCTTGTTGAAGTCGACTCAGATGACGTCGGAAGACGTCAACATTTTTTATTCCCTTACAAAAGGATAGTGTTGATACAAATTACCAAAAATCATTCAGTACTTAGAAGTCAACTTCAAAGTATATAGGTCTAAAATATTCACAATTTCAGTACCAGAATTCACACTTATTTCCTTATGCGAAAGCTTGTGTGTACTCAATGAATCGAAGTTATGATAACGCATGCTTGAAGGAACTGGCTGATTGCGTGCGATTGTACCCCATGGTGTGGGACATTGATCCTAATATCGGGGGGTGGGGTAGCCCAGTGGTTAAAGCGTTGGCTCGTCACACCGAAGACCCGGGTTCGAATCCCCACATGGGTGCAATGTGTTAAGCCCATTCCTGGTGTCCCCCGCCGTGATATTGCTGGAATATTGCTAAAAGCGGCGTAAAACTAAACTCACTCACTCACTCTGTGCGAGGCATCAAACAAAAGAAGTGTGAATGAGTTACGCTACCTTTTGCAATACTCGAATAAAATCACGGCAGGGGACACCAAGAATAGGGTTCATAAATTGTGAGGAATCGTGCTCGAGCCCTCGTCTTGAGGAGACGAGTGTTTATCTAATGGGTTACCCCACCGCCCCCAACAAAAGAAGAAAAAAATCTAAACCACTGGCTCTTCACTTACATGGAAGATGCCGTTTTCATAAACACTGCATATCATCTGTGAGAGGAACCTTTGCGTATCCATGACGTCATCGTCACGTGACAGGAAGGAAGTCTCGTGGAACATGTACAACTCCAGGAAGTCTTCCTGGGCCTCCACGTATAACTCTTTTCTGGTAAAGTACATGTACAATACACATCATGTATACAACTAGATTATACAGTTCGACATGCATTTGGTACATGTTAGTTCACTACCCTGTTTTGTTATGTCGTTAGACCCGTGAAGATTCGGGGTGGAATTGATCTTCAGTAACCCATGCTTGTCGAACGAGGCGACTAACGGGATCGGGTGGTCAGGCTCGCTGATTTGGTTGACACATGTCATCGTATCCCAAATGTAGATCGATGTTTATCACTAGCAAGTCATTCAAACACGACCAAGAAACTACTTCATTGACTTTAACGTAATTTGATGCAAGAATCTAGTCTGCGCTAATCGGTGTTCTTTGCTGTTTGATTAGATTACGGTTCAGTTACATGTATACACATCGATCTCAATCTCTAGATTGTCTGGTCCAGCCTCGATCATTTACAGTCCGCCGTCATATAGCTGCAATATTGCTGACTGGGGCGTTAAACAACAGACCAAACTAAACCACAAAGATGATACAATACCGTACTTTACCTGAGCTGCGTCCCTGTGTCTACATAACGACTGGAATATAGAGCAAAAGTGGATTATTTATTTGTTGGACCATAATATGGGAGTTTTAAGATAACATTTTATAAACTAATATCCAAAACAAACGATACCCATTTGTTTGAAATGACATAAAATAAAAACAAAACGATACAGAAATTTTAGATTGGTACTGGAGAATCTTTTAAATACCACGTGTACCAAAATCCTTTACCTCTCCTCTCTCTCTCTGTCTCTCTCTCTCTCTCTCTCTCTCTCTCTCTCTGTGTCTCTCTCTCTGTCTCTCTCCAGTTCTCTCTCTCTCTCTCTCTCTCTCTCTCTCAGACTTTATACAGAAATTCATTAAATATTATCATGTATAATTAATTGTTTTACCTACAAGCTCTATCACGTGTGATAGTTGAACTGCAAAGCACTTCTCTCAGAAATTATCGAGACAGTTTTGAAAAGGGCATTGTTTTCAGTATAGGGTGATGTTAAACATACGGGTCTCTCTTCTTGTCGACGACGTAGCTGAAGCTACTGCGGAGAAACCTGCTGTAGATGTCGTAGTCGAACCCTGGTTCCCTGGATGTGAACTCCCTGGTGAGAGCCTTCAGGACCGGTCGCAGCGTCTCGGGGGTCGTGTCCCACTTGGGGTAAGTAGTGTTGACATTAAGTATTATTGTAATGGAGGCCAGTAACAATGCTGTTCAATTTATGTAGATGTAGAAACTGGTATGTGTACTATAGATAACTTTCTATCATCATCACCATCATCATCATCATCATAATCATCATTGATCAATTCTTACATCATCATCATTACCATCGATCAGTTCTTACAGCATTATCATCATCATCATCATCATTGCTTAGTTCTCATATCACCACTATCATCATCATTGATCAATTCTTACATCATCATTACCATCGCTCAGTTCTTACAGCATTATCATCATCATCACCATCATCATCGATATCGTCATCATCATTGATCAATTCTTACATCATCATTACCATCGCTCAGTTCTTACAGCATTATCATCATCATCACCATCATCATCAATATCGTCATCATCATTGATCGATTCTTACATCATTATCATCATCACCATCATCATCATTACCATATATCAGCTCTTACAGCATTATCATCATCATCACCATCATCATCAATATCGTCATCATCATTGATCAATTCTTACATCATCATTATCATCATCACCATCATCATTACCATATATCAGCTCTTACAGCATTATCATTATCATCACCATCATCATCAATATCGTCATCATCATTGATCGATTCTTACATCATTATCATCATCACCATCATCATCAATATCGTCATCATCATTGATCAATTCTTACATCATCATTATCATCATCATCACCATCATCATCATTACCATATATCAGTTCTTACAGCATTATCATCATCATCACCATCATCATCAATATCGTCATCATCATTGATCAATTCTTACATCATCATTATCATCATCACCATCATCATCAATATCGTCATCATCATTGATCAATTCTTACATCATCATTATCATCATCACCATCAACATCATTACCATCTATCAGCTCCTACAGCATTATCATCATCATCGTCATTGATTAGTTCTCATATCACCATTATCATCATCACTGATCAATTCTTACATCATCATTATCATCATCATCGTCATTGATTAGTTCTCATATCACCATTATCATCATCACTGATCATTTCTTACATCATCATCATCATTACCATCGATCAGTTCTTACAGCATTATCATCATCATCATCATCATTGCTTAGTTCTCATATCACCACTATCATCATCACTGATCAATTCTTACATCATCATTACCATCGCTCAGTTCTTACAGCATTATCATCATCATCACCATCATCATCAATATCGTCATCATCATTGATCAATTCTTACATCATCATTACCATCGCTCAGTTCTTACAGCATTATCATCATCATCACCATCATCATCAATATCGTCATCATCATTGATCAATTCTTACATCATCATTATCATCATCACCATCATCATTACCATCGATCAGTTCTTACAGCATTATCATCATCATCATCATCATTGCTTAGTTCTCATATCACCACTATCATCATCATTGATCAATTCTTACATCATCATTACCATCGCTCAGTTCTTACAGCATTATCATCATCATCACCATCATCATCAATATCGTCATCATCATTGATCAATTCTTACATCATCATTATCATCATCACCATCATCATTACCATCGATCAGTTCTTACAGCATTATCATCATCATCATCATCATTGCTTAGTTCTCATATCACCACTATCATCATCATTGATCAATTCTTACATCATCATTACCATCGCTCAGTTCTTACAGCATTATCATCATCATCACCATCATCATCAATATCGTCATCATCATTGATCAATTCTTACATCATCATTACCATCGCTCAGCTCTTACAGCATTATCATTATCATCACCATCATCATCAATATCGTCATCATCATTGATCGATTCTTACATCATTATCATCATCACCATCATCATCATTACCATATATCAGCTCTTACAGCATTATCATTATCATCACCATCATCATCAATATCGTCATCATCATTGATCGATTCTTACATCATTATCATCATCACCATCATCATCATTACCATATATCAGCTCTTACAGCATTATCATCATCATCACCATCATCATCATTACCATCGCTCAGTTCTTACAGCATTATCATTATCATCACCATCATCATCAATATCGTCATCATTGATCGATTCTTACATCATCATTATCATCATCACCATCATCATCAATATCGTCATCATCATTGATCAATTCTTACATCATCATTATCATCATCACCATCATCATCATTACCATCTATCAGCTCCTACAGCATTATCATCATCATCGTCATTGATTAGTTCTCATATCACCATTATCATCATCACTGATCAATTCTTACATCATCATCATCATTACCATCGATCAGTTCTTACAGCATTATCATCATCATTATCATGGATTAGTTCTCATATCACCATTATCATCATCACTGATCAATTCTTACAGCATTATCATCATCATTATCATGGATTAGTTCTCATATCACCATTATCATCATCACTGATCAATTCTTACAGCATTATCATCATCATTATCATGGATTAGTTCTCATATCACCATTATCATCATCACTGATCAATTCTTACATCATCATCATCATTACCATCGATCAGTTCTTACAGCATTATCATCATCATTATCATGGATTAGTTCTCATATCACCATTATCATCATCACTGATCAATTCTTACAGCATTATCATCATCATTATCATGGATTAGTTCTCATATCACCATTATCATCATCACTGATCAATTCTTACATCATCATCATCATTACCATCGATCAGTTCTTACAGCATTATCATCATCATTATCATGGATTAGTTCTCATATCACCATTATCATCATCACTGATCAATTCTTACATCATCATCATCATTACCATCGATCAGTTCTTACAGCATTATCATCATCATTATCATGGATTAGTTCTCATATCACCATTATCATCATCACTGATCAATTCTTACAGCATTATCATCATCATTATCATGGATTAGTTCTCATATCACCATTATCATCATCACTGATCAATTCTTACATCATCATCATCATTACCATCGATCAGTTCTTACAGCATTATCATCATCATTATCATGGATTAGTTCTCATATCACCATTATCATCATCACTGATCAATTCTTACAGCATTATCATCATCATTATCATGGATTAGTTCTCATATCACCATTATCATCATCACTGATCAATTCTTACAGCATTATCATCATCATTATCATGGATTAGTTCTCATATCATCATTACCATCATCATCAATATCATCAATCATTTCTCACAGCATCATAATAATAATCATCATCATCGCCAACTTCGTACCCTGGAAAACAGACATTAAAAACTAGTTTTGCTTTTTTCCCCACAAAAATACGATCAGCTGCTTATGTTAGATCATCTGTGGAGCCGTGCTCACAGGCGCAAGTAGCCAAGTTTGACTTACATGGTAGTAGTTCCTGTACCCATCAGAGTAGCCCCGAATAGTGTCGATCATGGAGATGTGCGTCGTCCCGGGGCCCGTCTCCAGCATAGCTACGACGAAGTCGAGGCAGTCGGAGTAAAACAGGCCTGCTTCCCCATCTCCTGTCGCCTCAGGGTCAAGACTCCTACAGCCATAGGTGCAGGTGACGTGAAACGGAGTTTAAACGTCGCATACATGGTTATGGGGTATATAGCGGCGGGTGGGTGCCCTCGCGTGTGGGTGATGTTTGTTTGTTTGTTTGTTTGATTGTTGATGGATTCTGCACAATATTCCAGCTATATAGCAGCGGTCTGTAAATAGTCGAGTCTGGACCAGACAATCCAGTGATCTACATCATGAGCTTCAATGTACACAATAGCGGCAAGTCAGCGAGCCTGACCACCCGATCCCGTCAGTCGCCTCTTACAACAAGCATGGGTTGCTGAGGACCAAGTTAAACGCGTGCGTGCGTGTGTTCATGTTTATCTACAGGGTCTCATGGGTATTCGTATGCTTATTAGCAGGAGTAATGATGATTCTATCCCCATGGAATGAAATATATACGTTTGAATCAAATCAAACAAAATCAAATCTCTCAGTGACAAACCCGTTTTTCTATTATCATTTAATCACACAGCAAAGTTCTATTTACGCACAATCAAACTTCTCAGTAACTTCAGGCTCTAATCTAGGGGCGGTGGGGTAGCCTAATGGTTAAAGCGTTGGCTCGTCACGCCGAAGATCCGGGTTCGATTCCCCACATGGGTGCAATGTGTGAAGCCCATTTCTGGTGTCCCCCGCCGTGATGTTGCTGGAATATTGCTAAAAGCGGCGATAGACCAAAACTCTAGCTCTAATCTACTCTCTAGACAGTGGACTGTTCCATTATACCCGTGGATGTTTCCCTAATTAATCTTCTAGTAAATGTCTGTCAATCGAGTGTCGGTCAAATGGATGTATGTCAATTGGAAGATAGCCATGCCATCGTGTCCAGGCTGTGTAGTCTCGCATACTCGCGAAATCAGTGGATTGTCTCGTGCAGACTCTTATTTATAAGTCCGTCTGGCTCAAAAGCGGACCGATGAATTGCAATCTAACTCGAAAACTAATAAACATAAAATACTAAATGAAACGCTGATCATAATCAAAACATCATACCAACCCTGTGAGGTTTTTGCAGAATTTTTTGTCCTAAAAATAAAAAAGTTGTTTAATAATCTTTCATTAAAATATTGACACAGTTCACTATTTGTTACGAGGGTGGAGTGCAGAGAAAGGAACAGCCGGGTGTGCGCGAAAGGCTGGAGACGGCACAGCACAGGTTCATGAATCAATAACTTTGTCGGCACTTGTGCACGTGCTTCTCTAACACCTGGCTGTCCCTTTCTCTGCACTCCTCCCTCGTAACAAATAGTGACCTGTGTCAATATTTTAATGATAGTTTGTTAAACAACTTTTTTAATTTTAGGACATAAATTCTGCAAACAAATCACAGAGTTGGTCTGATATTTTGATTATGATCAGCGTTTCATTGAGTATTATATGTGTATTAGTTTTTGGAGTTAGATTGCAATTCATCGGTCCGCTTTTGAGCGAAACGCACTATAGATGCGGACATCATGTAGCAGGATTAAGGCAGTATCCATTGCTGTACCAGCATCCACTTACTTCACCCTCTTAATGATGTCGGTGAGGATCTCCTCACAGAACGTGCCTGCCGCTGACTCGTCGTCGGGGAAGTCGTCTCTAGCCACGCCCGTTTTCAGCAGCTGCAGCGACTTCCTGAGGTCGGCGACGGTGACGTTTTTCTCCAAATCATTGTGCTGTTTCATCAGTTCCGTCCAGTACTTGACGCTCGTCTCCTTCGTGGAGGTGAAGACGTCATACTGCTGAAGGATCGACGACAGGGACATTGGGGTGGAGACCTGGAGGCGATGGAAGGCGAATCCACCTGTAATAACAATAACTATATGGTATATACACCATGTTATTACCCTTAAAATAAATTTGTCGAATTCCGATTGGTCAATAGCCAAAGCATACCCATGTAACTAAAAATATACAGGATTAATATACTGTTCAATTCCTTTATTACAGAAATGTAGGCCATCGGCCCATAACTACATAGTGACAACATGGAACAATAATGTAGTTAAAACATGTTATGATAATGAAGTGAAAACATGTAATGATGATGTAATGGAAGCTTGTAATGATGACATAGTGAAAACATTTATCTTAATGAAGTGAAAACATGTAATAATGTAATGGAAGCTTGTAATGATAATGTAGTACAAACATAGTGAAAACATGTAATTAATATCTGTAATGAAGTAGTGAAAACATTTTATGTTAATGAAGTGAAAAATGTAATGATAATGTAATGGAAGCTTGTAATGATAAATGATAAGTGAAAACTATGTAATGATGAAAACATGTAATGAGCATGTAATGGAACATAGTGAAAACATTTATCGTAATGAAGTGAAAACATGTAATGATAATAAAGTGAAAACATGTAATGATAATGCAATGTAAGTTGTAATGACAATTAATCCAGACAGGCAGTAATAATCTAGCGAAAACATGTAACGATAAAGGTAGTGAAATTTTGTAATGATAATAGTTATGACATTTCTACTATCTCTACTATCACTGCTATGAGTGAGTATAGTTTTACACCGTTTTTAGAAATATTCCAGCAATATCATAGCGGGTGACACCAGAAATGGGCTTCACACATTTTACCCATGTAGGGAATCGAACCCGGGTGTTCAGCGTGACGGGCGAACGCTTTAACCACTAGGCTACGCGACCGCCCTGAAAACTTAATGTTGAGTGAAACGAAATGATAATGGTGGTGAAAGCCTGCAATGCTAAGAATAATGGAGTACTGTCGAAACAGTCCGAATAGATAAGCTGTCAAACCATTGCTTGTTGTCAAATTTCCTCCCGTATATTTTAAAATCTGTTAATTGTAAACTCGTGTATCTATTCAAATTAAGGTACAGGTGTCTTCACAGACTGAGAGTTCAGCCCTTAACAACAGGAAAGCACACGAAACGCATGTCGACGTTAACCCAGTGATTTTTCTCGGGTATGTTGTAATGTATATATAGGTCAACGCAACCAAGAAATAATACAACGTGTCAGATACATCCAATCAATACAGCACAAGTAAACCAATGAAGGCAATACAACACAACAACGGAAGATGTATACAACATTGTATTCCACAACTCACCCGTATTCTTATAACTCGCTGTTCGGGGTAGTCTATTCGGGGTAGTCTACCCAGTCGTCATGTACACCCGCGAGTGTTGGCGCTGCTAGTTTGTTGACACGGTCATAGAGTCGACCGGTGTATATCTAGGTATGGCATGACAGTATTTATAAAAAAATAAATGTGTATTCATGGTTAGGGCACTGGCATGCTTATTAATAGCCCTGGACGGGATTTTTAAATCGGTACCTTGAAGGTTAATGTTTCAGTTGAAGCCACGTGTGGGGTGAAGCGTGATATTTAACATGACCAGGCAACGATGCGATTATCTGCTACGTGGACGTTGTAGTAGCACCAGACGTTGTAATGTCGTGTATCTATTGCGCAAGGAGGTGTTTATTGATCGCAGTAAAACCAGAATAGCGCTGTATTTGCACAAGCATTGTTTAAGTCTGTTGGCGTCTCTTAGCAACAGTCAACAAAGAGATCAAGGGAAGCTACTCTAGTTTTCCTCTGTTATCAGTTGAAGACAAAACATAAGATAGTTCAAGGTATCCTATTCCAGTTTTCGTTTGTTGTTTTTTAACGCAGGACTTTATCGGTCACAGTTAGGACATGTTGCATGAGTAGGAAATCATAGCGATAGTCCAAAGGGTGACTCGGTTTCCGTATTTTTTTCCGTTAAGGTAGAAATATTACCGACTAGTACTGAGAATCGAACAAGTTCCCCTTGGAAATATTGGAAATCGTTAACATAGCCGATCCCATTGGTAATATTTCAACGAACAGCACTAGTAATGACGGTGGGATCAGACAGAGTTGCGCCCCTTAGTAGTACCAGAATACGCTAATCCAGATCCGCTTTTGTAGTGGATGGTAATCATAAAAAGTCACAACTGAGTTTGTAAGCAATTTATTGTTTTCCAAACACGATTTTGAAAAATTAATGTTACCGGACTATTTTCAATAACGCATTCAACAAAAAATCTAATACCATGTGTTCAATCGTTAAAGAAGCTATATGTCAGTCTAGAAGTAAGGCATTAGGTGTAAATGGTACAATATGATCACAAAATGTGAAAGTAAACGTTAGAGGTGAGGTGAGGTGAAATTGGGTTTAACGTGGTGCTTGAGAATATTTCGCTCATATGACGACGTGCATGCGTGTGTATGTGTATGTGCGGCTGCTTGTACTAGCCCAGACTTAAGCTGGTTTTATAGTGCTAGCCCACTGAGATACCATGCCGCAGTGAAGCATGAATACCCCACTCAGACACATTATACTGACTCCGAGCCGACCAGTCCTTGTTTTACCCATTAATGCCGAGCGCCAGGCAGGGACCAACAAGTACCATATTTTAACGTCTCTTGGTATGACGTGGTCGGGGATCGAACCCGCGACCTTCCGCTCTCCAGGCGGACGCTCTAACCACTACACCACGGAGGCGGTCGTAAACGTTAGAAAAATAGACTGAACCATGAAGGAGCATGAATATTCAGGGGGAGGACTGTTTTATGAAATTGTGTGCTGTCTTGAAAATGCCCAAACTACCCATGATCCCTTATTTCATTTGTTCAGTAATGAATAAAACTGCAACTGCATATATGTGAATCTTACGTCACCACCGGCCTTTGGTTCTCGTGTATTTCTGATTTAACAGCGTTTAAACGATACTAAACATGGCGAGCTCAGTGATAACTCTGGGTCGTCAGTTATGTCCCTAACATACCATAGAGGAACCGTTACATACCATAGATGGACAGTTACTCAGTATTCAGATTTATTTTTTTGACTCGCTTTTTTGTAGTTCCTACTCCGAACAAAATGTAAGGGGTCATGGATATTTTCTGGACATGTTCATGACAATTTTTTTAGTCTTCCCGACAGAAAAGAAGTCCCCAAATATTCATTCATCCGTAACATGTCTAGTTCAATATATGGAATCCGTATCATTTAAATACTCTCCTTCAGGTCCATTTTTAATAATTTTTAAACACTTCCCCGCGATAATATATGCAGATACATTTTTATTGCTCAAGACGGAATCAACACCACCATTTATTCGAACTATTATAAATGAATGTGCCCATCTACAGATCATATTTGAAGAAAATCCCTAAAAATTCTTAGTCTCATATGTCCTCCCCACTTTAATATCATATCTCATTTGTGTAGATCGATGCCCATGATGCTAATCACTGGATTGTCTGGTTCATACTGAACTATTTACAGGCCTCTGTCATATAGCGAAGCTTAGTGCGATGATAAACAATGAACAAACAAACAAACACTCATTATCTCCCAAAGGGAGGTAATTTTCAAGGGAGATAACAACCCATATTAAACCCGTTGCCCTTTAAAAACACGACCACCTGAGCTATACGGAAATGTTCAGGTCTACAGAGCCTGAAGGAAAGTCAATTGTAACAATCCAGAGGGAGATTCGCAACCAAAGAATTCCAACTTTAGGAGTACAACAGTTGATATGCACCAACTTACACAGAATGATCCCTTTGGTATGATCGAAACTCATATACCTTTGCATAAACTTAACATATCCCAAAAAAACCTTGGTAATACAAACAACCTTGGTAAACCAGGCAGCCGTGTTTTCATTCAAACTATATGCGACTTGCATTATCAACAGAAGTTACTAGCTGAAATATCACTATGATCTCTGTCACAGGCTGTTGGTGAAGTTCCTGCCATTATGTTGCTGTTGTTGCTGAAGTAACCAGCTGAAATATCACTATGATATCTTTCACAGACTTATGGTGACGTTTCTGCAAAGTCGTACCCAACTGAAATATCACTATAATATCTGTAAATGACTGTTCGGGATGTTTGTGTTATTCTTGGGTGTTGGTGAAGTTGTAATACGCAGGCGCAGCTTCTAAAGATAACAGCGACGTTGCTGGTTGCACGTTGTCGATCCTGCTCAGTGAGCTATATGTAACAATCTGTTAATGTAGTTCCGGCAGTGTTGTTTCTGGGTGTTGTTGAAGTCGCTGGAGATGCTCAGGATCCTGTCATCTTTCTTGAGCTGTGTCAACTCCTTTTGCCGATGTATGGAGCCAAGGTCCTGATTGAAAAGACCACCGCCCAAATTAGCTGACCCCCCGTCACCACAGTAGATCACCGCCACATCGGCTGAAACAGAAAACAGTTTTACTAAACGATTTACTTAACATTTATCGTATACACAATGTCATTTGTTAAGTAGTCAAATGTAACACGTGATATCTGGGATAACACTTTCTCAGCAAAGTACAGATTCTAGTACTTTTATAGGGTTCATGACCAAACCTACCGAAAAAGTTCACAGCTTATACCAAAACCTACTGACACAACTTCACAGGCTACCTCCAAACCAACAGACACAACTTCACAGGCTACTTCCAAACCTACAGACACAACATCACATGCTACTTCCAAACCTACTGACGCAACATCACAGGCTACCTCCAAATCTAAAGACACAACATCACAGCCTACCTCCAAAGCTACAGATACAACGTCACAGGCTACCTCTAAACCTACAGACACAACATCACAGGCTACCTCTAAAACTACAGACACAACATCACAGGCTACCTCCAAATCTACAGACACAACATCACAGGCTACCTTCAAACCTACTGACACAACATCACAGGCTACCTCTAAACCTACTGACGCAACATCAAGGACTACCTCCAATCCTACTGACGCAGCATCGCAGGCTCCCTCCAAACCTACAGACAAAACATAACAGGCTACCTCTAAACCTACATAAAAACATCACAGGCTACCTCTAAACCTACTTACACAACATCACAGGCTACCTCCAAACCTACAGACACAACATCACAGGCTACCTTCAAACCTACAGACACAACATCACAGGCTACCTCCAAACCTACCGACACAACTTCACAGCTTATCTTCTGACACAACCTCACAGGCTACCTCCAAACCTACAGACACAACATCACAAGCTACCTCCAAACCTACTGACACAACATCACAGGCTACCTCGACAAACCTACAGACACAATATCATGGCTTATTTTCCGACACAACTTAACAGCTTATCCCCATACCTACAGACACAACTTCACATCTTATCTTCCGACACTACCTCAGCTTACTTCCAAACCTACTGACACAACTTCACAGCTCACCCTCTGACACAACTTCACAACTCACCCCCAAACTTCCAGAGACTCCGCACAGTGGTCACCCTGAGATCGCCAAGCCCCTTAGTCGGATCCTCCAAGATGACGTTCCGCTCATTGAAGTCGACAAAGACGAGGAAGACGCGCGATCCCGGCAGTTCTTTTATGTCTGCGTGGCACCGGATGACCCGAGTGTGGATGGTCGGACATGGTTGCTGTACAGACTCGAACACAGACCTGGTCTGATCGGCATGTTTCAACTCCGTCTCAGTATGGAAGGTCACCACACACAGCGTGCCCTCCATCGGTCCCGCCCACGACAGCTCGTACACCTCCTCACGTCGGAAGCCTCTCTGCAGAAAGATACGCCAGTGCAGGGCCACGTTTCACAAAGCTATCGTAGCGCTACGACTGTCGTACCTCCTATACTGTAACATAAACTTACGACAGCCGTAGCGCTACGATAGCTTTGTGAAACGGGGCCCAGAATTGTATTGTACGAGGGCAACGATACAATACATCAATTTACAACTGTATCCCAACACATACAATTCAGTACACGATGTAAAAACACGCGAATAATAACAAAAACTGTTCAAAAATTAATGTTTACAGATTCCTTTACATTTCCTGATTGCATGTAAATGGCAGAATCTGCACAGTGAGTGAGTGATTTAAGTTTTAAGCCGCTTTTAGCAATATTCCCGCATTACCACGGCGGGGACACCAGAAATAGGCTCCACGCATTGTACTGACTGACTGACTGAGTTTGGTTTTCCGCCGCTTTTAGCAATATTCCAGCAACATCACGGCGGGGGACACCAGAAATGGGCTTCACACATTGTACCCATGTTGGGAATTGAACCCGGGTCTTCGGCGTGACGAGCGAACGCTTTAACCACGAGGCTACCCCGCCGCCCCTGTGCAGTGACCCACGCTTATGTTCCCCCAATGCAGGATGCAATCGTTACTGCCTGAAATTTGTAAATAATTGATTCAGGATTGTGTTGCACCTGCAAAAACGGAGAAGACATGAAAATATCAGTACGGTATCGAGATACGAATTGTAAAATAGCATGGAGATACTGCCAAAGACTCTGACAGTTTTGATAGTTTTAAAGCAAAACTGAAAACCCACCTTTTCTCAGTATACTTCTCATAACTTCACCCATCTTCATCTTTGTAGCGCTTTGAGCATACCCAAGGGCGTGGAAAAGGCGCATTATAAATGTGCATTATTATTATTATTATTATTATCTTGACTGTCATGTGTTGATCCTAGGCGTACTAGGTAGAATAATTATTAAGTGTTGCAGGTCTACAGGGTGATTAGTTTATATTGTTACTTTAGGTGTCTATTACCGTAGTGTCTTGGCACACGTGATAACACTATATATCTCAGCTATTTAAATACTATTTGAATGATAATAATTGTCGGTGAAGTGGCAGTATAGTAACAAAAGTAGTAGTAGCAGTAGTATTGGTAGTAACAGTGGTGGTGGTAGTGGTAGTCGTGGTGGTGGGAGTGGAAATGGCGGTGACAGTAGTAGTTGTAGTAGCTGAATGGTAGTAGTAGACTAGGAGTGGTGGTAGTTTTAGTAGTGGTTGTGGGTAGTGGTAGTGGTAGTAGTTGTATTGGTAGTGGTAGTGGTAGATGTAGTTGCAGTAGTATTATTATTAGGAGGAGGAGTGGTGGTGGTTGAAGTAGTAGTAGTAATAGTAGTAGAAGTAGTAGTAGGTAGTTGTTTTAGGAGTAGTATCAGCAGCAGTAGTAGTAGTAGCAGCAGTAGTAGCAGCAGCAGCAGTAGTTGTAGTAGTAGTAGTAGCAGTAGTTGTAGTAGTAGTGAGAGAGAGAGAGTTTTATTCAGTAAAGGGGCCACAGGCCCATTATACATCAGGGTCCCGTTCCTCAAAGCGATCGTAGCGCTAAGATGATCGTAACTCCCATACTCTAACATAGACTTACGACAGTCGTAGCGCTACGATCGCTTTGAGGAACGGGGCCCTGGTGTACAGAATATACAATCATTAGAGCACCGTACAACATCATGAGAGCTGCACGATTATTCATTTGTGGGTACGAAGACTGAAAGACATTTATTTCGTTTTTTCAAGGCAAAAAATAGATATTTTGCAAGACAGTTTATAAAATAAGTATTCTTTGATGTAAGCAACTGAGCTAATTTCACTTCAGATGGATATATGTGATAATATTTAGGGAATATCATTTCTTAATTTCCCATAAAAAGGGCATTCCAGGCAAAAGTGATATTCATTTCCTATGTTAGGTATGATACAAAGCGGGCACCCTTTTAAGACCTAAATGTCTACCGTACTCTATCATCACATTGTGGTTTGAGCAACGAAATCTACTTAAGAAGATTCGAAACTGTTATACACTAACACTATCGATATAGAACTCAAACGCTACACCTTCTTTGAGCCTGCGATAAAAATCCAATTTCGAAACAAGTATAATACGAGATGACCACAACTGGTTATCTATATCAATACATCTTTGCTTAAATAATGATATGAAAGTAGAGATACTTCCAACACTTTGACTGGCCCACACACTGCCAAAACCATAACTGTACAAAAGAGATTTCACCTTAAAAGCCCAACAATCTATACCTTTTTCAGCAAGACAATACTGATACTAATGTACCTTATTTAAGATTACATTCTCAACTTGAGACAGGAGGCAAACCCAATATTTAACAATCTTAATGTACTGATTTACCTTTAATGAATAACGACCAATCTCAGCACGCGCTGCAATATTTGGCGTGTATCTTGAAAGGCCCAAAACCTGTTTACAAAACCGTTCGTGTACATTCAATACAGATGGCGACGGGTGGAAACCCCAGACTTTACTTCCGTATAGTAACAATGGCAAGACCTTGACATCAAATATATAGAGCAGAACATTAATTGGTAGATTATAAAAATTCTTAACCGATGATTTGAGAATATTCAACACCTCCCATGCTTGGTCAGCCAAAGTTTTCTGTGTAACATACCATGATCCAGAGGAAGAGAAGTGAACACCCAAGTATTTATATGATGCAACAATTTCAAGCAACTTTCCATTCAAATGGAACTTTTCATAATGTCTTAGTCGACCAGCCTTCCTGAATACAATAACTTAACTTTTATCAATATTTATTTTCAATTTCCACTTGTTACAATGCGAAACTAGCTTGTCTAGCTTGTAGCAGTAGTAGTAGTAGTGGTAGTAGTAGAAGTAGCAGTAGTTGTAATGGCAGTGGTAGTAGTAGTGGTAGCAGCAGTAGTTGTAGTTACAGTAATGGTAATAGTAGTAACATCAGCAGTCATCGAAGCAGAAGAAGTAGAAACAGTGGTAGTTGATGTTTCACCTGTGTATTGTTATGGAATGCTGCTGGTGCTGACACTGGTGCTGACACTGGTGCTGACGATGATGACAGAGTCTGCCTCACATACATCACCACAATGACGACGGCTATGATGTTTAGCAAAGTCAGGTAAAGGGCGATATCTGAAAAACAAGTCCATATACAAATACGTATTCACATAAATACGCCGATGAATACATTCTACACATGACTAATATTCCTCTATAGAGCTGAACTTGCTATTTTAAAATTAGTAGTATTCCTTGAAACACTGAACTAAGTGTCCTGCTCTGCATGGTGAAGAAAGGCCCCAAATTGTATGTGTGAGGATCGCAACACTGCAATAAAGCTACTCTCATGTACACAGCTAACGCTGTCTTCACTCGCTTACATTATCCGACCAGTCTAAACGTCCCTATACAAGTGCCTACACTTGACTACGCTCAGCCATGTCTACACTTGACTACGCTCAGCCCTGTCTACACTTGACTGCACTCAGCCCTCTCTACACTTGACTGCACTCAGCCCTCTCTACACTTGACTACACTTAGCCATGTCTACACTTGACTACACTCAGCCCTGTCTACACTTGACTACACTCAGCCCTCAGCCCTGTCTACACCTGACTACACTCAGCCCTGTCTACACTTGACTACACTCAGCCCTGTCTACACTTGACTACACTCAGCCCTGTCTACACTTGACTACACTCAGCCCTGTCTACACCTGACTACACTCAGCCCTGTCTACACCTGACTACACTCAGCCCTGTCTACACTTGACTACACTCAGCCCTGTCTACACCTGACTACACTCAGCCCTGTCTACACTTGACTACACTCAGCCCTGTCTACACTCAGCTCTGACTCACACTCAGCCCTGTCTACACCTTGACTACACTCAGCCCTGTCTACACTTGACTACACTCTCAGCCCTGTCTACACCTGACTACACTCAGCCCTGTCTACACTCTGACTGCACCTCAGCCCTGTCTACACTTGACTACACTCAGACTACACTCAGCCCTGCCTACACCTACACTCAGCCCTGTACACTTACACTGCACCTCAGCCCTGTCTACCTGACTACACTCAGCCCTGCTCCACACTCTGACTACACTCAGCCCTGTCTACCACTTGACACACTCAGCTCTGTCTACACTCTACACTCCCTGTCTACACTTGACTACACTCAGCCCCTGTTCACACTTGACTACACTCAGCCCTGTCTACACCTGACTACACTCAGCCCTCAGCCCTGTCTGCTACACTTGACACTTGACTACACTCAGCCCTGTACACACTTTGACTACACCACTCTCAGCCCTGTCTACACCTGACTCTACACTCAGCCCTGTCTACTTTCACTCAGCTCACACTCTGTCTACTTACACTGCACTCAGCCCTGTCTACACCTGACTACACCTCAGCCCTCAGCCCTGTCTACACACCTCAGCCCTGTCTACACCTTCACACTACACTTGACTACACTCAGCTGCTCCACACTTGACTCTACACTCTGACTGCACTCTCAGCCCCTGTCTACACCTGACTACACAGCCTGTCAGCCCTGTCTCTGCCACTCAGCCCCCTCACTCAGCCCTGTCTACACTCAGCCCTGTCCTGTTCACACCTGACTACACTCCTTGTCTACACTACACTCAGCCCTGTCTCACACCTGACTACAGCCCTGTCTCTACAGCCCTGTCTACACTCAGCCCTGACTACACTCAGCCCTGTCACTACACTCTCAGCCCTGTCTACACTTTTGACTACACTCTCTCAGCCCTGTCTACACTTTTGACTACACTCAGCCCTGCTAGTCCTGCCTCAGTCTACACTTGACTTGACTAGCTCAGCCCTGTCTACACCTGACTACACTCAGCCCTGTCTACACCTTGTCTACTCAGCCCTGTCATACCCTCGCATACATGGCCTACACCTACCAGTCTCAGCCACTCACCGTGAAGCGTTGATTTGCCTTTCAGCTGACTCAGCTCTGCCTTGGTCATGGCGCCGTCTAGTTCCTCCCCGTCTAGTTTCCTCTCAGCGGTGTCATGCTTTCCCGCAAACTCTTCCACCTTCTTGTTTGTGGCGTCTCGGTGCTTCTTAAACTCCTCATAAGCTGAATTCGACTGCTTAATGTATTCCTTAAGTCGACCCCCGTTCTCCTCCGTGGCCTCCTTAGCTTCTATCGCCTTACCTCGAATGTCTCCCATCTTGGACTCTATGCCAGGTAGTACGACCTCCATCAAATTATTTTGGGTTTCGTTCAGTTTGTTAATCCTATCCTCCAGCTTTCCAAACTTCGTGTTGGTTTCTGTAAGAAGTGTCCTTGTCTCAGCAAGCGTAGAACGGACTTCAGCAAGATTGGTATTTGTTTCATGTAATGTCTTGTTTATGGCTTCATTTGCTTCTGTAATCGTCATTACGTCAGCTTCAACTTGTTTAAAATCTGCCAGGTCGTTGCCTTTACCTTTACCCGCAGAACTCATGGTTTGCAAATGTCGATGATGGTCCTTAAGAATCCTCAAAGGTTCAGACATTTGACTCGGATCTTTAAAGACCGATTCAATTCCTTCAGTCCACTTCTTGCTAAGAACGTCTACTGTGATCTTTAGGTTGCTATACTCACTCTCAAGGTGGCTGCAATCTGGCGTGACCTGTTTCGTCTTGGGAACGTCTTCAGGCACTTTACACGAGGTCTTTGATGACAAGAGTCTCTGAATACATGTCTTGGTCTCCGAAGGACTTTTTCCACATTTCTCGTTGAGAACGTCCAACAGAGCGCGCTCGGTATTGTCGGGTGATGAAGGGTAAAGCAGGCAGATCACGATGACGAGTACCATAATCTCCAATGCTGGTTTCCTATCAGATAAAACACGGAAATATCAGAAGCAGGTAACATACTCTGGATGCGGAAAACCATGTCTCGTCAACCCAGACCAATGAAGATCCGCGTTGGAATTGGTCTTCAGCAACCCATTTATGTAGGCTCGCTGACATAATTGACACATGCTATCGTATCCCAAATGCGTATATCACCGCCCATGATGTTGATTATTAGAACTGATGTAACGGTAAGAGCATGTTTGATGGAACTGACTGATTGCGTGCGATCGGGTGGGTGGTGGGGGTGGGGTTTGTTGTTGTTAGCACAGTGGTTAAAGCGTTCGCCCGTCACACTGAAGACCTCGGTTCGATTCCCCACATGGGGATGTCCCCCGCCATGATATTGCTGGAATATTGCTTACAGCGGCGTAAAACTATACTCACTCATAACAAGGATAGTAGGGTTAGTAGCTTATCAGAACTATTATCATTACAAAATTTCACTACCTTTATCATTACATATTTCCGCAAGATTATTACTGCCTTTCATGATTAGCTGTCATTACACCTTACATTGCATTATCACTTCATGTATTCATTTCATTAACATAAAATGTTTTCACTAATCTGGCAATGTACATCTATTTCGCTATGAGTTTAAGAAAAAATATTGCTACAGAAAGAATTTATAAGTGACTTCTATCTACTCATGTAAACTCTAAATGTACTACAGGCCTGTGTCCTTTTTAAGTACTGCAATAAAGATTTATTTTCATTACATGCTTTCATTACAATATCATTACATGTTTTCACTTCATTAACATAAAATGTTTTCACTACAGCCCATTTCTGGTGTGCCCCACTGTGATGTTGCTGGAATATTGCTAAAAGCGGGGTAGACTAAACTCACTGTCACTATTCTTTGGGAAAATGTACTAAATCAAATAACGGGTGGTTTGACTAGCGTTTTAATATTACACATTTTAAATTTCTCAATTTTTATGAAAAAGCGTACTTCTAACAGAATATTTACAAGGAATTACAATTCAACGAAAAGGTATAACTGAGTTTGCAGTTACGACTTAAATATCATATCAATAACAACAAATAAAAATTACAACAAAAAAAACAAACTTTTAGCCATTAATAGTTTTACTTACCAGTACATCTGTATTATGTCTCTGTGGGTCACTGGATCAGACGGGCGTTCGTCGTTGTCAGCATCTGATATCTCACCGTCTTGACTATCACCTCCTCGTGGCGGCTGATCGCGAGGTTTTGAGCCAGGTTTGTCGGCCTGAGTTACCTCCCCCTCCACTGTTCGCCGGCAGGCGTTTGCGAGGGCTGGGCATGGTACACGGTTGGTCGAGTCTCTGTTTGGACAACTGTTTTGTGTCTGAATGTGTCACTCACATACGAAACGTTGGTTAGGTCGTCTCTAGCTTGCTTTGTTGATACGAATTCGCCATCCACATCTGAACTCCATGAATCACTCGGACAAACCGCAACGAAGACTGGGAATCCCACTTGGATCTACATTGAAGGTGACCTCTGACCCAGGCCCCGGAACGAGCATGTTTATACAGCGCAGTGACCTAATATGCTTTCTAGGAAACCGACAGAACTAGGCGCAGGCGTTTAATGTGTACAATAACCTCTCGATATGTCTTGGGATCGATCATTTAATATCTTGGAAAGAGGAGTAGAGCTTCGGGGCTAGGAATTTTTTAAACTGAATATTTTTTTTATGTATATTTTTCAACTGCAGGTGGAAAACCACAATTTGTTTACAGAAGAACTATGGGAGTAAAATTACAGAGGAATAAAAAAATAAAATCTCAACAATGTAAATTTTATGGAGCCTAATTTCTTTTGTTCTATCCAGTCTTTCAACGCTTGACAAAGACAATTTGTGTTTGCCGAAATCACTGGCTTTGAGACACAGAATTTCTGTCTCAGCGCCTCACACCCGGATTGAGTACGAGACAGGCGTCTGTCTATCTTCTAGCCCCAATAAACAGATTAAATTACAATGGAGCGGTGGAGTAGCCGAGTGGTTGAAGTGTCCGCTCGTCTCACCGAAGACACTGGCTCGATCCACACATGGGTACAATGTGTGAAGCCAGTGTTCGAAATTACATTCGGTCTTTAGGCCCGAAGCCGACTGAAAACTATTCGGACCCACAGCTTTTGTTTTCTGCAGGTCCTTATGGCCGACAGCTTTTTCATCCCCAATAACTAAGAGTATTATTTCCATATTAAAATATAGGCCCTACACATTCTGATCAGGACACACAACTTTGTATGGTTCTGGGTCCTTAGGGCCTGCAGCTTTTCAGGGTTAAGGGCAAACACTGTGTGAAGCACATTTTAGGTTTCAACACGTGATGTTGCTGGAATAATGCTGGAAAAGCGGCATAAAACCATACTCACTCACTCACTCACTCACCATAAGAATAATAACGCCGAATGCCAATGACAAGTACACCAACATATACAGTGTGGTGTTGTTTTATTCACTGTCGTGGCAGATTCAGACATGGGCGGGTTTAACATCAGCGACAAGCTACAGCTTCCCAAACAAAATACAGTTGTTGTTTTTTTATAAAAATAAACGATGATGTAATGTGCTTTGTGATAATCACCCTGGATTAACGGATTAATAATACCACAAGCACTCCCGTTTCCACAGATTCTCCAATCACAAGGCTAGCCTCGTCAGGTCACAATCTCCACCCTTCGAATACGGGGGTCACTTGTTTACTCAAACATGAGGGACGCTGTGTTGACTCAGACGTGGTGGAAGGTGTGGTGGTTCTGACACAAGGGATGCTTGTTTGGTTACTGCTTGTTTACTCAGACACAAGGGATGCTTGTTTAATCAGACACAAGGGATGCTTGTTTACTCAGACACAAGGGATGCTTGTTTACTCAGACACAAGGGATGCTTGTTTACTCAGACACAAGGGATGCTTGTTTACTCAGACACAAGGATGCTTCTTTACTCAGACACAAGGGTTGCTTGTTTACTCAGACACAAGGGATGCTTGTTTACTCAGCTACGAGGGATTGTTATTTACTCAGACAAAAGGGATGCTTGTGTATTAGGACACGACGGATGCTTGTTTACTCAGACACAAGGAATGCTTGTTTATTCAGACACAAGGGATGCTTGTTTGCTCAGCCACGAGGGATGCTTGTGTACTCAGACACAAGGGATGCTTGTTTACTCAGACAAAAAGGGATTCTTGTTTACTCAGACACAAGGGATGCTTGTTTATTCAGACACAAGGGATGCTTGTTTATTCAGACACAAGGGATGCTTGTTTACTCAGACACAAGGGATGCTTGTTTACTCAGACAAAAAGGATGCTTGTTTACTCAGACACAAGGGATGCTGTTTATTCAGACACAAGGGATGCTTGTTTACTCAGACACAAGGGATGCTTGTTTACTCAGACACAAGGAATGCTTGTTTACTCAGACACAAGGGATGCTTGTTTGCTCAGCCACGAGGGATGCTTGTTTACTCAGACACAAGGGATGCTTGTTTACTCAGACAAAAAAGGATGCTTGTTTATTCAGACACAAGGGATGCTTCTTTACTCAGACACAAGGGTTGCTTGTTTACTCAGACACAAGGGATGCTTGTTTACTCAGCTACGAGGGATTGTTATTTACTCAGACAAAAGGGATGCTTGTGTATTAGGACACGACGGATGCTTGTTTACTCAGACACAAGGAATGCTTGTTTATTCAGACACAAGGGATGCTTGTTTGCTCAGCCATGAGGGATGCTTGTTTACTCAGACACAAGGGATGCTTGTTTACTCAGACAAAAAGGGATTCTTGTTTACTCAGACACAAGGGATGCTTGTTTATTCAGACACAAGGGATGCTTGTTTACTCAGACACAAGGGATGCTTGTTTACTCAGACAAAAAGGATGCTTGTTTACTCAGACACAAGGGATGCTGTTTATTCAGACACAAGGGATGCTTGTTTACTCAGACACAAGGGATGCTTGTTTACTCAGACAAAAGGGAAGCATGTTACTCAGCCATGAGGGATCGTTGTTTACTCAGCCACGAGGGATTGTTGTCTATTCAGACAAAAGGGATGATTGTTTACTCAGACACAAGGGATGCTTGTTTACTCAGCCACGAGGGATTGTTGTTTACTCAGACAAAGGGATGCTTGTTTTTTCAGACACGAGGGATGCTTGTTAACTCAGACAGAAGGATGCTTGTTTACTGAGACACAAGGGATGCTTGTTTACTCAGCCACAAGGGATTGTTGTTTACTCAGACAAAAGGGATGCTTGTTTATTCAGACACAAGGGATGCTTGTTTACTCAGACACAAGGGATGCTTGTCTACTCGAACACAAGGGATGCTTGTTTACTCAGACAAAAGGGATGCTTGTTTATTCAGACACAATTTTTAAGGGATGCTTGTTTATTCAGACACAAGGGATGCTTGTTTATTCAGACACGAGGGATGCTTGTTTACTCAGACACAAGGGATGTTGTGTTGAACCGGACAGGAGGGACGTTGTGTTGATTAAGACACGGGGGCCGCCATATAGCTGGAATATTGCTGAGTGCGGCGTAAAACTAAACTAACTCACTCACTTAAAACACGTGGAACTATGCGCAGTCTCAGTCACAAAAGATTCTGAATCGACAGATGGCAGCATTCCACGACACAAACAAAGTTTAAAACTATTTACATGAAAACGATAAGTTGTAGTTTATACAATTCAACAAGTGAAATATACATTAAATAATCTGCATAATTGTAATACTGTTGGCCAAAAGAGTGCATGTTCGTCACGCATTCGGCTATTGACTCTCAGGAATCATGAAACACCTTCGGGTAATACTCGCTTTAGAACGACCTCAGAACTTCACTGACATTGCGAGAATTATAACTCCAATAGAATCAAAGGAATATCTATGCGGAACAGTTGCTCACGACATTATGAAACATGTTTTTATGTCATGCCAGTATAACCTAGTAGAAAGTAATTTTTTTCTATTTGAAAGAATCCGTGACTTTCTTGACATAGACATTGTTGTTAAAATGTGGGTGGAAGACGATGATGTATTCCTGTCATTCCTCCTCGGAGGTATACCTGACCACTGTAAGGATGTATTGGACTATAATGTTTGGTCAGAACTGATTGTAATGATTAGTTTCTCAGTTCGCAGTTGGGAGAGAATACTCCGGCAATGTTCATAAATACCTTCAGTTCTTTCACAATTGAATATTACTGTATAATATAAGTACTAATAGTTAGAACCTTTTCTGTACTGTTGTTTATAATACAAATGTAATCTTCATTTTATGGAAGAAATAAAGAACATCTATCTATCTACCTTCGGGTAATTGTGACAGCTCTTCAAAATAACAAAGCCGCTGGTATAGGGGAGGACATTTTATTTCGTAGGGTAGTCAGTCCACAAAACATAACCCGCTCTATGGAATGGAATTGAGTTTACAATTCTACCCCTTTTTGGCACCTTCTGTGGCAAGTAACAGTGCTGCTGCTGTGCTGTGCAATGCTGGATACTAAGTGCCATGTGCTTGGACACTCAGGGTATTTAATTGCCTAAAAAAACAGAGACTTAATCTCTAGTCACATTACACACGATATGAAATTGAGGCCAGAATGAACCACTTCACTTCCATAGTGATGTAAATATTCCACAAATTCAGATGCACCTCAACCAACATAGAATTTCACTAACAAACCCTCAACAAAACCTTTTATCAGTTTTGTAAATGTGATTTTTAAACAACCACAATGTTTATTAAATAACCCTTCACCAATGAAAGCTTTAAACATATTTTTGGAGTTTAGCAGTTTATACTTTTCATTTGCATAATTTTATAATTACATAAAACACCTTCACCTGATAACAATAAAATCTGATATGTCTCAATTGACATCATATCCTGCTACATAATGACCTCCAAGAATGATGAAACACTTCGGGTAATGACCTTCAGAATTTGATAAATGCATGGTATAAATATTGACATCTACTATCTTTCTTATAATTAGATTAATGATAACTGGAAAAAATGTCCGTAATATAATATAAGGTCCCGATTTATGGCCCCACTTTCCTCTGTAGTTCTTTTATTGTTAAAATTGTCATCCCAAAACTCTGTGATAACTTTTATTTAAGGGATGATAATAATGAGCACTGTCTGCAAATGTAAGTACCTGTATTAATCAATATTTTATTCAAACGAAAAAAAATGACCTTCAGAAATCAGGAATCATGTCAGCTAGTGACCTGTAGTACCGTAATCCAATCGGCTAATGACCAGGGTGACTTTACAACAGCCGACTGACGAACTGCTAGGTTATAGCACTGTTGGATAGAGGCCCGCGTGACATTACGACTGTTTGTAAATGACCAGGTAGCCATTGTACAATACACCTTTAGCTATGGTTAACTTAAGTCTATGCTAAGATATGGGAGCTACCGTCACCTTAGCGCTAAGATCGCTTTGTACATCTGTTCCCTGATGGACTATATGTCGATTGATGACTTCTGGGACGGCATCATTGTCTAATGTCACATTAATACATAGTAAACAGCTGCTATTCGTTCCTAAACTTTGTTAGATTGCTACCCGTGGTTGTTGAAGTCATAATCAGCTGAAGTAGTCTGCTGTCTCTTTAACAGTCTGTTGATGAAGTTCCTGCAGTGTTCTTTCTGGTCGATGCTGAAGTCGTTGCAGATGCTCAGAATTCTGTCACTTTTCTTGAGCTGAGTCAACTCCTTCTGTCGGTGGATGGAACCGAGATCGGGATTAAAAAGACCACTGCCCAAATTCACGGATCCCCTGTCCCCACAGTAGATTACCGTCACGTCGGCTAAAAGAGTGAGTGAGTGAGTTTAATTTTACGCCACACTCGGTGTTACTGACACTTCCATAACACTCTCAGCTTGGATTCCTGTGCACCTCTAAATCACATTTTAAACTGATTAAAAATTAAAATTTCATTTAACCTCTCCAATGAATACATTGTTCTTATACGATATTGTCAGTATTTCCTGAAAACCTTTAATACGTTTCACTAGGCTCACGTCCACTTTTCTTAGCGCCTGACACAACTTCCCTTATTATTTTTTTACATAACTTTTAGGCTTACCCCGAAACACCACCCTCCTACTTTACCTTGACACAACTTCACATCACAACACCAAACCTACTGACACACCTTTATATCTTACCCTCTGACACAACTCACCTCCAAACCCCCAGAGACTCCGCACAGTGGTCACCCTGAGATCGCCAAGCCACTTAGTGGGATCCTCCAAGATGACGTTCCGCTCATTGAAGTCGACAAAGACGAGGAAGACGCGCGATCCCGGCAGTTGTTTAATGTCTGCGTGGCACCGGATGACCCGAGTGTGGATGGTGGGACATGGTTGCTGCACAGACTCGAACACAGACCTGGTCTGGTCGGCATGTTTCAACTCCGTCTCAGTGTGGAAGGTCACCACACACAGCGTGTCCTCCATCGGCCCTGTCCACGAGAGCTCGTACACCTCCTCACGTTGGAAGCCCCTCTGCAGAAAGATACAGGGCCCCGTTTCACAAAGCTATCGTAGCGCTACGACTGTCGTACCTCCTATACTGTAACATAGACTTACGACAGTCGTAGTGCTACGATAGCTTTGTGAAACGGGGCCCAGGATTGTATTGTACGAGGCCAACGATACAATACATCCATTTACAACTTTATCCCAACACATACGATTCAGTACACGATGTAAAAACACGCGAATAATAACAAAAACTGTTCAAAAATTAATGTTTACAGATTCCTTTACATTTCCTGATTGCATGTAAATGGTAGAATCTGCACAGTGAGTGAGTGATTTAAGTTTTAAGCCGCTTTTAGCAATATTCCCGCATTACCACGGTGGGGACACCAGAAATAGGCTCCACGCATTGTACCGAACGCTTTAACCACTAGGCTACCCAACCGCCCCTGCGCAGTGGCCCACGCTTATGTTTCCCCAATGCAGGATGCAATCGTTGCTGCCTGAAATTTGTAAATAAATGATTCAGGATTGTGATGCACCTGCAAAAACGGAGAAGACATGAAAATATAAGTACGGTATCGAGATACGAATTGTATAATCTCAGTTATTTAAATACTATTTGAATGATAATGACTGTCGCTGAACTGTGGCAGTAGTGACAAAAGTAGTTGTTGTAGTAGTAGTAGTGTTGGTGGTAGTGGTAGAAGTAGTTGCAGTTAATAGTAGTAGTAGGAGGAGGAGTGCTGGTGGTGGTGGTAGCTGAGTAGTAGTAGTATTGGTAGTAGTAGTAGTAGTAGTAGTATTGGTGGTGTTGGTAGTAGTAGTCGTGGTGGTGGTAGTGGAAATTGTGGTGACAGTAGTAGTTGTAGTAGCTGAATGGTAGTAGTAGACTAGTAGTGGTGGAGGTAGTGGTGGTAGTTGTAGTTGTGGTTGTAATGGTAGTGGTTGTAGTGGTAGTGGTAGTAGTTGTATTTATAGTAGTAGTAGAAGTGGTAGAAGTAGTTGCAATAAATAGTAGTAGTAGGAGGAGGAGGAGTGGTGGTGGTGGTAGTTGTAGTAGTAGTATTGGTAGTAGTAGTAGTAATAGTAGTAGTTGTTGCAGGAGTAGTAGCAGCAGCAGTAGTAGTAGTAGCAGTAGTTGTAGTTACAGTAATGGTAATAGTAGAAACATCAGCAGTCATGGAAGCAGAAGAAGTAGAAACAGTGGTAGTTGATGTTTCACCTGTGTATTGTTATGGAATGCTGCTGGTGACACTGCTGGTGTTGACACTGGTGCTGACGCTGATGACAGAGTCTGCCTCACATACATCGCCACAATGACGACGGCTATGATGTTTAGCAGAGTCAGGTACAGGGCGATATCTGAAAGACAAGTCCATATACGGATACGTATTCACATAAATACCACGATGAATACATTCTACACATGACTAATATTCCTCTATTTAGCTGAACTTGCTATTTTAAAATTAGCATTATTCCCTGAAACACTGAACTGAGTGTCCTGCTCTGCATGATGAAGGAAGGCCCCAGAGTGAATGTCTGCGGGACGCAACACTGCCATAAAGCTACTCTCATCTACATAGCTAACAATGTCTACACCTGCTTACATTATACGACCTGTCTAAGCGTACAAAAGAGTCTACTATTGACTACACTCAGCCCTGTCTACACCTGACTACACTCAGCCCTGTCTAAACTTCTTTACACCCAGCCCTGTCTACACTTGGCTACACTCAGCCCTGTCTACACCTGATTAAACTCAGCCCTGACTACACTTGTCTACACACAGCCCTGTCTACACTTTACTACACTCAGCCCTGTCTACACCTGTCTACACATGACTACACTCAGCCCTGTCTACACTTGACTACACACAGCCTTGTCTACACTTGACTACACACAGCCGTGTCTACAATTGACTACACTCAGCCCTGTCTACACCTGTCTACACATGACTACACTCAGCCCTGTCTATTATCCCTTGAAATACTGAACTAAGTGTCCCGCCCTGCTTGGTGAAGAAAGGCCCCAGATTGTATGTATGAGGATCGCAACACTGCCATAAGCTACTCTCATCTACATAGCTAACGCTGTCTACACTCGCTTACATTATCCGAACTGTCTAAACGTCCCTATACAAGTGTCTACACTTGACTACTCTCAGCCCTGTGTACACCTGACTACACTCAGCCCTGTCTACACTTGTCTACGCAGCTAAATACCCTCGAATACATGGCGTACACCTACCAGTCTCAGCCACTCACCGTGAAGCGTTGATTTGCCTTTCAGCTGACTCAGCTCTGCCTTGGTCATGGCGCCGTCTAGTTCCTCCCCGTCTAGTTTCCTCTCAGCGGCGACATGCTTTCCCGCAAACTCTGCCACCTTCCTGTTTGTGGCGTCTCGGTGCTTTTTGAACTCCTCATAAGCCGAATTCGACTGCTTAAAGTATTCCTTAAGTCGACCCCCGTTCTCCTCCGTGGCCTCCTTAGCTTCTATCGCCTTCCCTCGAATGTCTCCTACCTTGGACTCTATGCCAGGTATGACGATCTCCATCAAATTATTTTGGGTTTCTTTCAGTTTGTTAATCCTATCCTCCAGCTTTCCAAACTTCGGGTTGGTTTCAGTAAGGTTTGTCCTTGTCTCAGCAAGCGTAGAACGGACTTCAGCTAGATTGGTATTTTGTTTCATTTAATGTCTACACTCGCTTACATTATCCGAACTGTCTAAACGTCCCTATAAAAGTGTCTACTATTGTCTAGACTCAGCCCTGTCTACACTTGACTACACTCAACCTTGTCTACAACTGACTACACTCAGCCTTGTTTAAACCTGTCTACACTTTACTACACTCAGGCCTGTCTACACTTCTTTAGACTCAGCCCAGTCTACACCAGACTAAACTCAGCCCAGACTACACTTGTCTACAGTCAGCCCTGTCTACAGCCAGCCCTGTCTACACCTGACTACACTCACCCTTGTTTACACCTAACTACACTCAGCCCTGTCTACACCTTACTACACTCAGCCCTGTCTACACTTGACTACACTCAGCCCTGTCTACACATGACTACACTCAGCCCTGTCTACACTTGACTACACTCAGCCCTGTCTACACTTGACTACAATCAGCCTTGACTACACATGACTACACTCAGCCCTGTCTACACTTGACTACACTCAGCCTTGACTACACATGACTACACTCAGCCCTGTCTACACTTGACTACACTCAGCCCTGTCTACACTTGACTGCACTCAGTCCTGTCTACACTTCACTACACTCAGCCCTGTCTACACTTGACTACACTCAGCCCTGTCTACACTTTACTACATAGCTAGATACACCCGCATACATGGCCTGCACCTACCCGTCCCTTTCACTCACCGTGAAATGTTGATTTGCCTTTCAGCTGACTCAGCTCTGCCTTGGTCATGGCGCCGTCTAGTTCCTCCCCGTCTAGTTTCCTGTCAGTGGTGTCATGCTTCCCTGCAAACTCTGCCACTTTCTTGTTTGTGGCGTTGCGGTGCTTTTGAAACTCTACATATGTCCAATTCGCCCAAACAATGTGAGCTTTTATAAGATCTCCATTTGTGCTGGTGTTCCGTTGGACTTGTTCCACTTCTTGATGGACAACGTCTATGTATTGTTTGAGGGTCGGTAGTTCCGTAAGCACAAGCTCATTTCTCCAAGACGCTAATGACTTAACACTTTGTTTCGTTGCGCTCAATTGTGAAGAAAGATCTTCAGAGGTTATATTTATTGCAGTAATGTTTGATGTGATATTTCCCACTGATTGTGTCACTGCTTCAAGCTTGTCGACGTTACTGAAGACCTGCGTCCGAACAGACTCAGCTAAATGTTGAAGGCTACTTACATTTTCCTGAAGATTTGCGACATCAAAACCCAAAACCTTAGATACGTTCTTCAACGTTTCCACTTCTCTCTTCACAGAATCATGTTCGTCCTTAAATTCTTCCTCCCTTTTAAGAATTTCATTTATACGCTTTTTAAAATCAAGAGATGTGTGAATTGCCCATAGAATATGACCTTGAAGTAATCCTGAACTCTCACTTGCATTTTGTCTCGCCTCCTCCAGCAATTTACGATCATCTGTTATGTTCTGTTTAATCATGGGCAATTCCTTCTCAGAGATCTCAGTTTTCCAAGACATTAACAAAGCCGTGCTTTCATTCATAGCCTGATACATGGTTGACATTGTACTATTGATGCCAGCCATTTTTGTGGTGATGCTTTTCACTTCAAATGAAAGTTCCTGTACGCACCTTGCATTTTCTGCTGCAGCCTTCTCAGCATCTTCGGCCATCTTCCGCGTGGCATCTCCCGTATCTGCAATCCGCCTTTCCCGTGCGTCTAATTCAGCAAGCCTTGTGACCACGGCTGTAACAATATGGGCGAGCTCTGAGACAGTGGTGTTGACAGAGGTGACATTGATGGAAATACTTCCAACATCCTGCATCAGTGTATCAACCTTCTTCAAGCAGCCTTCGACACCACGTGTCGCATCTTTTGCATCTTGTCTGATTTTCGAGGGTTCCAAAGTTTCAATCTCAGTTTTCCAAACATCAATATTTTCAAAACGATTAGTTAAGGACTCCATCTGAGCAGAGAGTTTTGAGACCGTTGAGTCCAGTCTGTTGCCACTGTTTGTAAGTTGCTCTCGGTGCTCTTTGAACTCCTCATATGCCGAATTCGCCCAGTTAATGTGATTAATAAGTTTACCTCCGTTTGTATCCGTGGCCCACTTAGCTTCATCTGCTTTCCCCCTGAATCTGTCCCATCTTGGACCTTATGTCGGGTATTACGTTCTCCGTCACATTCCTTTGTTTTTCGTCCTGTTGGTTAATCCTGCCCTCCTGTTTTCCAACCTTCGTGTTGGTTTCAGTAAGGTTTGTCCTTGTCTCAGCAAGCGTAGAACGGACTTCAGCAAGATTGGTATTTGTTTCATGTAATGTCTTGCTTATGGCTTCATTTGCTTCTGCAATCGTCTTTACGTCAGCTTCAACTTGTGTCACATCTGCCAGGTCGTTGCCTTTACCCGCAGAACTCATGGTTTGCAAATGTCGATGATGGTCCTTAAGAGTCCTCAAAGGTTCAGACATTTGACTCGGATCTTTAAAGACTGATTCAATTCCTTCAGTCCACTTGTTAAGATCGTGTACTGTGTGCTCTAGGTTCTTATACTCACTCTCAAGGTGGCTGCAATCTGGCGTGACCTGTTTCGTCTTGGGAACGTCTTCAGGCACTTTACACGATGTCTTTGATGACAGGAGTCTCTGAATACATGTCTTGGTCTCCGAAGGACTTTTTCCACATTTCTCGTTGAGAACGTCCAACAGAGCGCGCTCGGTATTGTCGGGTGATGAACGGTAAAGCAGGTAGAACACGATGACGAGTACCATAATCTCCAATGCTGGTTTCCTATCAGATAAAACACGGAAATATCAGAAACAGGTAATATACTCTGGATGCGGAAAACCATGTCTCGCCATCCCAGACCAATGAAGATCCGGGTTAGAATTGGTCTTCAGCAACCCATGTATGTAGGCTCGCTGACATGGTTGACACATGTTATCGTATCCCAAATGCGTATATCACCGCCCATGATGTTGATTATTAGAACTGATGTAACGGTAAGAGCATACTTGATGGAACTGACTGATTGCGTGCGATCGGGGGGCGGTGGGGTTGCCCAGTGATTAAAGCGTTCGCCCGTCACACTGAAGACCTAGGTTCGATTCCCCACATTGGCACAATATGTGAAGCCTATTTCTGGTGTCCCCCGCTATGATATTGCTGGAATATTGCTAAAAGTGGCGAAAAACCACACTCACTCATAACAGAAATAGTAGAGATAGTAGAAATGTCACAACTATTATCATTACAAATTTTTACTACCTTTATCGTTACATGTTTCCGTTAAATTATTACTGCCTGTCTTAATAAATTGTCATTACAACTTACATTGCATTATCATTACATGTTTTCACTTCATTAACATAAAATGTTTTCACTACAGCCCATTTCTGGTGTCCCCCACTGTGATGTTGCTGGAATATTGCTGAAAGCGTGGTAAAACTAAACTCACTTTGGGAAAATGTACTAAATCAAATAACGGGTGGTTTGACTAGCGATTTAATATTACACATTTTAAATTTCTCAATTTTTATGAAAAAGCGTACTTCTAACAGAATATTTACACGGAATTACAATTTAACGAAAAGATATAACTAAGTTTGCAGTTACGACTTGAATATCATATCAATAACAACAAATAAAAATTTCAAAAAAAACGAATATACTTTAAGCCATTAATAGGTTTACTAACCGGTAGATCTGTATTATGTCTCTGTAGGTCACTGGATCAGACGGGCGTTCGGGCTGCACAGTTGAACTGTTGTAGTCAGCATCTGATATCTCACCGTCTTGACTATCACCTTCTCGTGGCGGCTGAGCGAGAGGTTTTGAGCCAGGTTTGTCGGCCTGAGTTACCTCCCTTCCACTGTTCGCCTGCAGGCGTTTGCGAGGTTTGTCGGCCTGAGTTACCTCCCCTCCACTGTTCGCCTGCAGGCGTTTGCGAGGGATGGGCATGGTACACGGTTGGTCGAGTCTCTGTTTGGACAACTGTTTTGTGTCTGAATTTGTCACTCACATACGAAGCGTTGGTTAGGTAGTCTCTAGCTTGCTTTGTTGATACGAATTCGCCATCCACATCTGAACTCCATGAATCAGTCGGACAAACCGCAACGAAGACTGGGAATCCCACTTGGATCTACATTGAAGGTGACCCCTGACCCAGGCCCCGGAACGAGCATGTTTATACAGCGCAGTGACCTAATATGCTTTCTAGGAAACCGACACAAATAGGAGCAGGCGTTTAATGTGTACAATAAGCTCTCGATATGTCTTGGGATCGATCATTATATCTTGGAAAGAGGAGTAGAGCTTCGGGGCTAGGAATTTATAAACTGAATATTTAGTTTATGTATATTTTTCAACTGCAGGTGGAAAACTACAATTTGTTTACAAAAGAACTATGGGAGTAAAATTACATAGGAATAAAAAAATAAAATCTCAACAATGTAAATTTTATGGTGCCTAATTTCTTTTGTTCTATCCAGTCTTTCAACGATTGACAAAGACAATTTATGTTTGCCGAAATCACTGGTTTTGTGACTCAGAATTTCTGTCTCAGCGCCTCACACCCGGATTGAGTACGAGACAGGCGTCTGTCTATCTTCTAGCCCCAATAAACAGATTAAATTACAATGGAGCGGTGGAGTAGCCGAGTGGTTAAAGTGTCCGCTCGTCTCACCGAAGACACGGGTTCGATTCCCACATGGGTACAATGTGTGAAGCCAGCGTTCGAAATTACATTCGGTCCTTAGGCCCGAAGCCGACTGAAAACTACGCGGACCCACAGCTTTTGTTTTCTGCAGGTCCTTATGGCCGACAGCTCTTTCATCCCCAATAACTAAGAGTATTATTTCCATATTAAAGTATAGGCCCTACACATTCTGATCAGGACCCACAACTTTGTATGGTTCTGGGTCCTTAGGGCCTGCAGCTTTTCAAGATTAAGGGCAAACACTGTGTGAAGCACATTTTTGGTTTCAACACGTGATGTTGCTGGAATAATGCTGGAAAAGCGGCATAAAACCATACTCACTCACTCACTCACTCACTATAAGAAAAATAACGCCGAATGCCAATGACAAGTACACCAACATATACAGTGTGATATTGTTTTATTCACTGTCATGGCAGATTCAGACATGGGCGGGTTTAACATCAGCGACAAGCTACAGCTTCCCAAACAAAATACAGTTGTTGTTATTTATAAAAATAAACGATGATGTAATGTGCTTTGTGATAATCACCATGGATTAACGGATTAATAATACCACAAGCACTCCCGTTTCCACAGATCCTCCAATCACAAGGCTAGCCTCGTCAGGTCACAATCTCCACCCCTCGAATACGGGGGTCACTTGTTTACTCAAACATGAGGGACGCTGTGTTGACTCAGACGTGGTGGAATGTGTGGTGGCTCTGACACAAGGGATGCTTGTTTGGTTCCTGCTTGTTTACTCAGACAGAAGGATGCTTGTTTACTCAGACACAAGGGATGCTTGTTTACTCAGACACAAGGGATGCTTGTTTGGTTCCTGCTTGTTTACTCAGACAGAAGGATGCTTGTTTACTCAGACACAAGGGTTGCTTGTTTACTCAGACACAAGGGATGCTTGTTTGCTCAGACACAAGGATGCTTGTTAACTCAGCCACGAGGGATTGTTGTTTACTCAGACCAAAGGGATGCTTGTTTACTCAGGCACAAGGGATGCTTGTTTACTCAGCCACGAGGGATTGTTGTTTACTCAGACAAAAGGAATGCCTGTTTACACAGACACGAGGGATGCTTGTTTACTCAGACAAAAGGGATGCTTGTTTATTCATACACAAGGGATGCTTGTTTACTCAGACACAAGGGATGTTGTGTTGAACCGGACATGAGGGACGTTGTGTTGATTAAGACACGGGGGCCGCCATATAGCTGGAATATTGCTGAGTGCGGCGTAAAACTAAACTAACTTACTCACTTAAAACACGTGGAACTATGCCAAGACTCAGTCACAAAAGATTCTGAATCGACAGGTGGCAGCATTCCACGACACAAACAAAGTTTAAAACGATTTACATGTTGGGAGAGAATACTCCGGCAATGTTCATAAATACCTTTAGTTCTTTCACAATTGAATATTACTGTATAATATAAGCACTAATAGTTAGAACCTTTCTTGTACTGTAGTTTATAATACAAAAGTAATCTTCATTTTATGGAGAAAATAAAGAATATCTATCTATCTACCTTCGGGTAATGACCTCCAGGAATGATGAAACACTTCGGGTAATGACCTTCAGAAATCAGGAATCATGTCGGCGAGTGACCTGTAGTACCGTAATCCAATCGGCTAATGGCCAGGGTGACTTTACAACAGCCGACTGACGAACTGCTAGGTTATAGCACTGTTGGATAGAGGCCCGCGTGACTTTACAACAGCCAACTGACAAACTGCTAGGTTATATCACTGTTGGATAGAGGCCCGCGTGACTTTACAACAGCCAACTGATAAACTGCTAGGTTATAGCACTGTTGGATAGAGGCCCGCGTGACTTTACAACAGCCAACTGATAAACTGCTAAGTTATAGCACTGTGGGATAGAGGCCCGCGTGACTTTACAACAGCCAACTGATAAACTGCTAGGTTATAGCACTGTTGGATAGAGGCCCGCGTGACGTTACGACTGTTTGTTAATGACCAGGCTAGCTTTTCTCGAAACGTTCGTAGCCCTACGAACTTATTAAGCCCATTATTAACACATTGGCTACGATCAAATATAAGAATTGTTAGGGCTACGAAAGGTTCGAGAACAAGGGCCCAGGCTAGCTATTCTGGAAACGTTCGTAGCCCTACGAACTTCTTAAACCCATTCTTAACACATTGGCTACGATCAAGGTTAAGAATTCTTAGGGATACGAACGTTTCGAGAATAAGGCCCCAGGTAGCCGTTGTACAATACACCTTTAGCTATGGTTAACTTAAGTCTATGTTAAGGTATGGGAGCTACAGTCATCTTAGCGCTAAGATCGCTTTGTACATCTGTTCCCTGATGGACTATATGTCGATTGATGACTTCTGGGACGGCATCATTGTCTAATGTCACATTAATACATAGTAAACAGCTGCTATTGGTTCCTAAACTTTGTTAGATTGCTACTCGTGGTTGTTGAAGTCGTAATCAGCTGAAGTAGTCGGCTGTCTCCTTAACAGTCTGTTGATGAAGGTCCTGCAGTGTTCTTTCTGGTCGTTGCTGAAGTCGCTGCAGATGCTTAGAATTCTGTCACTTTTCTGTAGCTGAGTCAATTCCTTCTGTCGGTGGATGGAACTAAGATCGGGATTAAAAAGACCACTGCCCAAATTCACGGATCCTCTGTCACCACAGTAGATCACCGTCACGTCGGCTGAAAGAGTGAGTGAGTGAGTGAGTTAGTTTAGTTTTACGCCACACTCGGTGTTACTGACACCTCCATAACACTCTCAGCCTGGATTCCTGTGCACCTCTAAATCACATTTTAAACTGATTAAAACTTAAAATTTCATTTAACCTCTCCAATGAATGCATTGTTCTAATACGATATTGTCAGTATTTCCTGAAAACCTTTAATACGTTTCACTAGGCTCACGTCCACTTTTCTTAGCGCCTGATACAACTTCCCTTATTACTTTTTGACATAACTTTTAGGCTTACCCCAAGACGCCACTCTCCTACTTTCCCTTGACACAACTTCACATCTCACCACCAAAGCTACTGACACACCTTTATATCTTACCCTCTGACACAACTCACCTCCAAACCTCCAGAGACTCCGCACAGTGGTCACCCTGAGATCGCCAAGCCCCTTAGTGGGATCCTCCAAGATGACGTGCCGCTCATTGAAGTCGACAAAGACGAGGAAGACGCGCGATCCCGGCAGTTGTTTAATGTCTGCGTGGCACCGGATGACCCGAGTGTGGATGGTGGGACATGGTTGCTGCACAGACTCGAACACAGACCTGGTCTGATCGGCATGTTTCATCTCCGTCTCGGTATGGAAGGTCACAATACACAGGGAGTCCTCCATCGGCCCCGTCCACGACAGCTCGTACTTCTCCTCACGTCGGAAGCCCCTCTGCAGATAAACAGACATAGTTATGGTAGTGGTTATATCATTAGCCGTAGAAGTAGTAGTAATAGTAGTAGTAGTGGTGGTAGTGGTAGTAGTGGTAGTAGTAGTATTAGTGGTAGTGGTGGTAGTAGTGGTAGTAGTAGTAGTAGCAGTAGTAGCAGTGGTCGTAGTCGTAGTCGTAGTCGTAGTCGTCGTAGTCGTAGTCGTAGTCTCTAAATATGTCAGTCTTACCAAGATAGTTTAGCGGCTGACATCGATCAAGTCGCGTCAGCGCGTCGCAAAGTCTAGGAGGTAATTACACCCGGAAAAAACAGGTTATAGGTTATAGTCACATGACTGAAGTTATCCCCCGGGGTACCCATGAACAGAAGCAATTTTGAACAAATTCACTTTCCTTAGGCGAGCCCCACATGTTTCGTTGTTCGGCAGGACTGAAGTCCAAGAAACTATCAGAAGTCAGGCTGCCAAACACGGTCACCTATCCACAGACCCTCCGCGCCCAACGTTGCTTAACTTCAACTGATTTGTGACCTGAGCTCTATGCACAGGACCACACACCACCAACGTCACTTTCAGTCGTATAACGACGAGGTCGCATGATTCGACGAACAAGCGTTCGTGAGACCAAAGTAGAAGTTGTATTAGTTATGGCAATAGTAGTAGTAGTGGTAGTAGCAGTAGCAGTTGTATTATTAGTAGTGGGAGTAGTTGTAATAGTAGCAGTAGTAGTAGTTGTAATAGTAGTAGTAATAGTAGTAGGTTGAGTAATCGAAGTAGTGGCGGTAGTCGTAGAAAAAAGGAGTAGTCGAAGTATTAGTAGGAGTAGTAGTACAAGAGGAAGAAGTAGTCGAAGTAGAAGTAGTACAAGAGGAAGAAGTAGTCGAAGTACAAGAGGAAGAAGTAGTCGAAGTAGTAGTAGTACAAGAGGAAGAAGTAGTAGTAGGAGTAGTAGTACAAGAGGAAGAAGAAGTCGAAGTAGTAGTAGTAGTACAAGAGGAAGAAGTAGTCGAAGTAGTAGTAGTACAAGAGGAAGAAGTAGTCGAAGTAGTAGTAGTACAAGAAGAAGAAGTAGTCAAAGTAGTAGTAGTGCAAGAGGAAGAAGTAGTCGAAGTAGTAGTAGTAGTAGTTGTAACAGTAGTAGTAACTGCTGCAGGTTGAGTAATCGAAGTAGTGGTGGTAGTCGTAGAAAAAAAGAAGTAGTCGAAGTAGTAGTAGGAGTAGCAGTACAAGAGGAAGAAGTAGTCGAAGTAGTAGTAGTAGTAGTAGTAGTTGTAACAGTAGTAGTAACTGCTGCAGGTTGAGTAATCGAAGTAGTGGTGGTAGTCGTAGAAAAAAAGAAGTAGTCGAAGTAGTAGTAGGAGTAGCAGTACAAGAGGAAGAAGTAGTCGAAGTAGTAGTAGTAGTACAAGAGGAAGAAGTAGTAAAAGTAGTAGTAGGAGTAGTAGTGCAAGAGGAAGAAGTAGTCGAAGTACAAGAGGAAGAAGTAGTCGAAGTAGTACAAGAGGAAGAAGTAGTCGAAGTAGTAGGAAGAGGAAGAAGTGAAGTGAGTGAGTAGCACAAGAGGAAAAAAGTATTCGAAGTAGTAGTAGTACAAGAGGGAAAAAGTGAAGTGGAGAAGTAAAGTAGTAGTACAAGAGGAAGAAGTAGTCAAAGTAGTACAAAGTAAGAGAGTAGTAGTACACAAGGAGGAAGAAGTAGTCGAAAGTACAGGAGGAAGAAGTATCGAGTAGAAGTGAGTACAAGAGGAAGAAGTAGTCGAAGTACAAGAAGAAGAAGTATTCAGTAGTAGTAGTACAAGAAGTAGTCGAAGAGTAGGAAGTACAAAGAGGAAGAAGTAGATCGAAGTACAAAGAGGAAGAAGTATTCAAGTAGTAGTAGTACAAGAAGAAAAGTATTGAAAGTAGTGAGTACCGAGGAAAGTAGAAGGAAGAAGGAAGAAGTAGTGAGTAGGATGTAGTGAGTACAAGAGGAAGAAGTAGTCAAAGAAGTAGTGAGATGGTGAGTGAGTACTAAAGAGGGAGAGAAGTAGTCGAAGTACAAGAGGAAGAAGTATTCCAAGTAGAAGTAGTACAAAGTGAGTAGTAAATAGAGTAGTCCACAAGAGGAAGAAAGTCGAAGTAGTAGTAGTACAAGAGGAAGAAGTAGTCAGAAGTATTAGTAGTAGTACAAAGAGGAAGAAGTGAAAGTAAAAGTAGTGAGTAGTATGTAGTAATTACAAGAGGAAGAAGTAGTCGAAAGTACAAGAGGAAGAAGTAGTCGAGTAGTAAGTACAAGAGGAAGAAGTAGTCAAGTGAGTAGTAGTAGTACAAGAGAGGAAGAAGTAGTCGAGAAGTACAAAAGAGGAAGAAGTAGTGATCGAAGTAGTAGTAGTAATTACAAGAGGAAGAAGAAGTCAAAAGAAGTAGTAGTACAAAGGAGGAAGAAGTATTCGAAGTAAAAGAGGGAGTAGAAGTAAAAGTAGTAGTAGGAAGTAGTACAAGAGAGGAAAAGTAGGTCAGAAGTACAAAGAGGAAAAGAGAGTAGTCGAAGTAGTAGTGAGTACAAAGAGGAAGAGTAGTCAAGTAGTTGTGAGTACAAAGAAGGAAGAAGTAGTCAAAGTAGTAGTAGTACAAAGAGGAAGAAGTAGTCAAAGTAAGTAGGAGTAGTAGTAGTAGTAGTAGTAGTAGTAGTTAGTAACAGTAGTAGTAGCTTCTGCAGAGAAGTAAGAAGTAGTTGTAACAGTAGTAGTCGAATTGAACAAAAGAGAAAATAGTACAAGAAGTAGTAGGAGAGTAGTACAAAAAGAAGAAGAAGTAGTCGAAGTAGTAGCACAGAGGAAGAGAAGTGTACAAGATCAAAGTAGTCAAAGTAGTACAAGAAGGAAGAAGTAGTCAAAGTAGTAGTAGTACAAAGAGGAAGAAGTAGTCAAAGTAAGTAGTAAGTACAAAAGGAACAAGTAGTGAAAGAAGTAGTAGAAGAAGTACAAAAGAGGAAGAAAAGTAGTCGAAGTAAGAGTAGTGCAAGTACAAAGAGGGAACAAGTAGGAGTAGTAGTACAAAGAGGGAAGAAGAAGTGAGAAGTGTAGTGAGTACAAGAGGAAGAAGTAGTCAAAGTGAGTACAAGAAGTGAGGTCAAGTAGTAGAAGTAAGTACAAAGAGGAAAAGTAGTCAGTAGTAGTAGTACAAGTTATGTCACAGTAGTAGTAAAGGTTGGGAAGAAGTGTGAGTCAAAAAAGTAGAAGTAGAAGTAGGAGTAGTAGTACAAGAGGAAGAAGTAGTCAGAGTAGTAAAGTAGTAAGATGGTAGTAGTACAAGAGGGAAGAAGTAGTCGAAGTGGTAGTAGTACAAAGAGGAAGAAGAAGAAGTAGTCGAAGTAGAGGAAGTGAGTACAAGTAGGAGTGAGTAGTCAAAGAAGAAGTGTCGAAGTAGTACAGGAGGAAGAGTAGTCGAAGTAGTAGTAGTAGTAGTAGGAAGAAGTAGTTTAAACAGTAGTAGTAACTGCTGCAGGTTGAAGTAATCGAAGTAGTGGTGGTAGTAGTAGACAAGAAAAGAAGTAGTCGAAGTAGTAGTAGGAGTAGCAAGTACAAGAGGAAGAAGAAGTAGTCGAAAGTAGTAGTAGTAGTAGTAGTTGTTAACAGTAGTAGTAACTGCTGCAGGTTGAGTAATCGAAGTAGTGGTGGTAGTCGTAGAAAAAAAGAAGTAGTCGAAGTAGTAGTAGGAGTAGTAGTACAAGAGGAAGAAGTAGTCGAAGTAGTAGTAGTAGCACAAGAGGTAAGAGTAGTAAGTGTAGTAAAGTTGAGTAGGGAATAGAATTAGTCAAGTAGAAAGAAGAAAAGAAGTAGTCGAAGTAGAAGTAGGAGTAGTAGTACAAGAGGAAGAAGTAGTCGAAGTAGTAGTAGTACAAGAGGAAGAATTAGTCGAAGTAGAAGTAGAACAAGAGGAAGAAGTAGTCGAAGTAGTAGTAGTACAAGAGGAACAAGTAGTCGAAGTAGTAGTAGTACAAGAGGAAGAAGTAGTCAAAGTAGTAGTAGGAGTAGTAGTACAAGAGGAAGAAGTAGTCATGTAGCTGTGAAAGCAGTAACAATAGATGTTAAAGTACCTCCTGTATATCGTTGCATGAGGTTGTTACTGCTGGTGCTGCTGGTGCTGGTAGTGACGCTGATGACAGAGTCTTCCACGCATACATCATTAGAAAGACGCTGACTATGGTGTTCAGCACAGTCAGAAGGAAGGAGATATCTAAAAGACAAAAACATATGCAGACATGTGGCATAAATCATTAAAGAGCAGCCATTCAAAATTAAATCACTTGCTGCCCCGTTCTGAAATACGACATAATGTGTTGAAGCCTTCCACCAACCCGAGTGGATATTCAGAAAAGGAAATGGACGTTTACGCGTTACGGTATACCTATTTGTTTGTTGTTTGACTCGTTCAAATATTCATTGAAGACCTATCTTTTCAGGACATATTACGAGTGACTTGTACAACTGCTGCAGTTGTTAGCTGTACACACGGCGCCCCATGAGCATACACTTTTAATAGTGTGTGGATACGGCGCCATACAAATGGACATGATTATGGCTTACGCTGCACTCAGCAGTATTCCAGCTACATGGTGGCGTCCTATAAATAATCGAGGCTGGACCAGACAATCTAGTGATTGACATCGATGTGTATACATGTAACTGAACCGTAATCTAATCAAACAGCAAAGAACACCGATTAGCACAGACTACATTCTTGCATCGAATTACGTTGAAACCCATGAAGTAATTTCTTGGTCGTGTTTCATTGACTTGCTACCACTCGGTCTTTACTTAACAACTGCTTATCAATATATCCTGAGTTGGATATACATGATTTGTGTGTTTGTTGTTTTACGCCGCACTCAGCAATATTCCAGATATATGGCGGCGGTCTGTAAATAATTTAGTCTGGACTAGACAACCCAGTGATCAACAGCATGAGCATCGATCTCCGCTATTGGGATACGACATGTGTCAACCAAGTCAGCATGCCTGAACACCCAACCCCGTTAGTCGCCTCTTAAGACAATCATGAGTTGCTGAAGATCAGTTCTAACCCGGATCTTCACGGGTGAGACAATCATGGGTTCCTGCAGATCAGTTCTAACCCGGATCTTCACGGGTGGAAATACACAATGCCTTTCAGAAAGAGGTTAAATGTAACGTATGTCAAACTGATCATTACACTTTCTGAATAATGACCTGGTCTGGTATTTATTGGGGGCGAGTTCCATGTGGGTTTCGAACCCACACTGCCAGCGTGTCTGTCTGAGCGTACTCACCGTGATATGCTGATTTGCCTTTCAGCTGACTCAGCTCAGCCTTGGTCATGGCGCCGTCTAGTTCCTCCCCGTCTAGTTTCCTGTCAGTGTTGTCATGCTTTCCCGCAAATTCTGCCACTTTCTTGTTTGTGGCGTTGCGGTGCTTTTGAAACTCTACATATGTCCAATTCGCCCAAACAATGTGAGCTTTTATAAGATCTCCATTTGTGCTGGTGTTCCGTTGGACTTGTTCCACTTCTTGATGGACAACGTCTATGTCTTGTTTGAGGGTCGGTATTTCCTTAAGCACAAGCTCATTTCTCCAAGACGCTAATGACTCAACACTTTGTTTTGTTACGTTCAATTGTGAAGAAAGATGTTCAGCCGTTATATTTATTGCGGTAATGTTTGATGTGATATTTCCCACTGATTGTGTCACTGCTTCAAGCTTCTCGGAGTTACTAAAGACCTGCGTCCGAACAGACTCAGTTAAATGTTGAAGGCTATTTACATTTTCCTGAAGATTTGCGACGTCAAAACCCAAAACCTTAGATACGTTCTTCAACGTTTCCACTTCTCTCTTCACAGAATCATTTTCGTCCATAAATTCTTTCTCCCTTTTATGGATTTCGTTTATGTGCTTATGGAACTCAACATATTTGTCTTTTGCCAATAGAATATGACCTTGAAGTAATCGTGAACTCTCACTTGCATTTTGTCTCGCCTCCTCCAGCAATTTACGATTATCTGTTATGTTCTGTTTAATCATGGGCAATTCCTTCTCAGAGATCTCAGTTCTCCAAGACAGTAACAAAGCCGTGCTTTCTTTCATAGCCTGATCCATGGTTGACATTGTACTATTGATGCCAGCCATTTTTGTGGTGATGCTTTCCACTTCCAGTGAAAGTTCCTGTACATTCCTTGCATTTTCTGCCGCAGCCTTCTCAGCATCTTCGGCCATCTTCCGTGTGGCATCTCCCGTATCTGCAATCTGCCTTTCCCGTGCGTCTAAGTCAGCAAGCCTTGCGGACACGGCTGTAACATTATGGGCGAGCTCTGAGACAGTGGTATTAACAGAGGTGACATTGATGGAAATATTTCCTACATCCTGCACCAGTGCATCAACCTTCTCCAACCAGCCTTCGACGCCACGTGTCGCATCTTTTGCATCTTGTCGGATTTTCGGCAGTTCCAAATTCACAATGTCAGTTTTCCAAACATCAATATTTTCAACACGATTAGTCAAGGACTCCATCTGATCAGAGAGTTTTGAGACCGTTGAGTCCAGTCTGTTTACACTGTTTGTAAGTTTCTCCAATTTTTTGGGGTGATCTTCAGTTATATCCTTGTGATTCTGTGTATTATGACCAGGTTGGGATACAGCCTCCTCCCCATCCTCTTCTAACTCGTGAACTCTCTTTTCCAACCTGGCAACTCTTTCTTCCATAACTTTCGACTGCTTAGCGAGTTCCTCAATTGTATAACCCTTACGTTTCAGGCGAGTGCGACATGTTTCCGTGCTTCCAAGTGTCTTGTCGTTCCTCTCCGACTTTTCAAACGTTTGTTTCAAACATTGTTTCTCTGGGCCATGTTTGTAGAAAGGGTATGGAGAAGCGTCTGGAATACCCCAAGAAAGCACGCTGATCAGGAAGAGAATTGTGATGAAGAGCATCAATGTAGTCCTGTCTCTAATTGCCATTACGCTGAAATGACAAGTGAAAGATAACATCATTGGACATCACATTGTAGCTATGATATGCTGGAGGGAGGGAGTATGGTTTTACGCCGCTTTTAGTAATATTCCAGCAATATCACGGCGGAGGACACCAGAAATGGGTTTCGCACATTGTACCCATGTGGGGAATCGAACTCGGGCATTCGGCGTGACGAGCGAACACTTTAAACACTAGGCTACACCCCACCCACCCCCACCCCACCCAGTCCCAATGATATGCTGGAACTCATGTAGGCATTTATATTGTAAAATGTATTTATCTTCACAAATATTGCATACCCGCATATTTCTATTTGCTTTAATCAAAGTAAATCTACAAAAAAAATATAATAGGTAAGTTTTTATAGCTATAAATCACCATCAGAAAGATTACATATGAGACCGTTTTGTGTCATAAAAGCTGATATTTAATGTCGGTTAGCCTACATCTGTTGTTGTTCTACCCAGAATGGGAACAGCGAAACACAATGGTTCTCATAGAACGCTATATATAATTTTGAAAGTAACAAATAAACCCGTTTAAATTGAAAGGGAATCCCAGTGAAATGGGAAATCCTGAACCTGATGGAATTTAGGCTTGCTTCATTTACTGCTTTAGCATTGCAGGGAGGGCTGGGCAGTAAGGACAATAATGTGGTTCAGCAGAGACCAGTCTAATCTATGGTCTCTCAGTTCAATACCCGTGAAGGTCCGGGTTAGAATATTGATCTTCAGTAACCCATGCTTGTCGTAAGAGGCGACTAACGGGATCGGGTGGTCAGGCTCGCTGACTTGGTTGACACATGTCATCGGTTCCCAATTGCGGAGATTGATGGTCATGTTGTTGATCATTGGATTGTCTGGTCCAGGCTAAATTATTTACATACCACCGCCATATATCTGGAATATTGCTGTGTGCGGCGTAAAACTAAACTCACTCACTTCTCAGTTCAGGGACTGTGAGATAGACTATGGTTGTCACCATGGCCTTCTCGAGTTATTTCCCTTGAATGATCAAGGCATCTAGCTTAAGTTTCTCTGTGGCCCGACATGCTTGTGTCTCTACCGTGTAAACTATAAGTATCGTATCACACATTGTGTACCTTGTGAGCCGCTATGGCGCCAGTAACTTATCAGCGTCGATTCTTCCAATAGACTTTGTCTTTTGTGCCACGTATCATTCCAACAAAATGAAACACACTGGGAATCCCACAGGGAACTACATACTATATGACCTCTGACCCTGGCCCTGAAGCGAGCATCATGTAATCGTAATTTGACCTAAATTCGAGTTCCAGGAAACGGGAACCATATGCAACTGACTAAATGCAACGTGTACATGCTATTTGATGACAGAATGTGCGAGACAGATTGAGGAGGTAGGTTGTTGTTGTAAATGTGTGAACATCTATAAATAACCTAATCTATAAAAGATTTATTGATAGCGGTGATCATGCTCAAGAGGGCGTGGTCTGTCGTTCTTCCTTTTTTATCAAGTGGGTAGGTAGGTATAGGCAGGTATGTGGGTAGGTAGGTACAGGTAGGTATAGGCCAGTGAGTGAATGAGTTTTACGCTGCTTTTAGCACTATTTCAGCGATATCACAGTGGGGGACACCAGAAATGGGCTTTGCACATTGTACCCATGTGGGGAATCGAACCCAGGTCATCGGCGTGACGAGCAAACACTTTAACAACTAGGCTACCCCACAGCCTAGCCTTTGAGGATTCAGCCATTAACAATATCAATTACTTATTTAAACTACCAATCATAAAAGTACATCTATTTACAAAAATATATTAATTAAAATTTGTCAATCAATTCTACCTCTTTTAAATATTCAATCTTAAAATGGTAATTAAGATTATGAAAAAGATCCTTCAATGGTTTGACATTAAAATATTTACCAGTTGTGATGGAAAAATCAACACAGTCAAGTAGGACATGCTTGACCGTGATTCTTTCATCACAAGGGATGCAAAACGGAGGATCCTGACCTTTCAATAATTATTCTGAGTGTAAGTGTGTATATCGCGTAGGGAACTGCTGCAGGAGTGAGTGAGTGAGTTTGGTTATACGCCGCTTTTAGCAATATTCCAGCAATATCACGGCGGGGGACACCAGAAATGGGCATAACACATTGTACCCATGTTGGGAATCGAACCTGGGTCTTCGGCGTGACGAGCGAACGCCTTAACCACTAGGCTACCCCACCTCCCCAACTTCTGCAGGAATGAGTAATGGTTGAATAGACACAATTAAATTCAACGTACGTACGTATAGACGTATCTTGCTCAATCATTACATTGTCGTACTATATGTTACAGATATGTTTGTTTTTGTTTGTTGTTTAACGCCGCACTCAACAATATTCCAGTTATATGGCTGCGGTCTGTAAATAATCAAGTCTGGACCAGACAATCCAGTGATCAACAGCATGAGCATCGATCTAGGAAATTGGTATGCGATGACATGTGTCATTCAAGTCATTGAACCGGACCACCGTATCCCGTCAGTCGCCTCTTACGACAAGCATGGATTGCTGAAGATGTATAAATAACTCCTTGTAGAAATCTATATTGAAAATCTAAAAGTTTTGTGTCTTGCAATCCTTTTCTGTATGCTGTAAATATATTTTTCCAATCAAAGTCTATTTCAGGAAATAGCAGCTGCCATTTATTACACATATTTGGGTGTATATCATTGGAAATAAGTTTATCATAAAAAGTCCTTCATCCTGAAGTGATGTTTTTACTAGATATATCTGGCATTGGTTAATATTTAAATCCCTGGCTGGTATAAAAAGACAGTGGTTAAGAGCATTTATCCAAGAGTCAGGTAAGACATGTAGTTAATATTTATAATCTAAAAAAGTGCTTTTGATACCATATATTTCTTTTAAAGATTCTATTGACAATAATCCAGTTTCATCACAAATATCCCAAATATTTATAATTCCTTTATCTGCCCAGTTATTTATGAAGTTTAATGAATTTTTTAAATTATGATTAAACCATAATGGTTGGGATTTGTGCACAGTTTCCTGGGCTACCTGGTACCACAACTACACCAGTCAGCCCTGCAAACCACACATTGCCTGACTTAAAGAGAGAAAACACCAGAAGTCATGGACCATCAAAAGCGACGGCTTCAGGCGCAGATAAAGGACAATTTACAGAAGATTGGACGGCGACTAAATGGACGACCTATGACTGTGGCTTTTATTGGAACCATTGGAGTTGGCAAGTCTTCCCTAATCAACACCATCGCGACGGCCATGGGCACCGGATTTTGGCAGCAACACGCTTACACTGGAGGCCACGGGGGTCAGGCTGACCCGGTCACGGCAGTCATCAGAAGGTACGGCTCTATAATATAAGGATCATCATCATTGTCATCGTCACGATCACAATGTCATCATCATCATCATCATCATCATCATCATCATCATCATCATCATCATCAACATCAACGTCAACACCACCACCCTCTACCTCGACCTCCCTCTTTTCATCATGATCATAATCGTCATCATCATGATCATCATCATCATCATCATGATCACGATCGCAATCCTCCAACCCGATCTCCTCCTTTTCATCACCACCACCACAACCATCATCATCATCATCATCATCATCGTCATCATCATCATCATCATCTCCGTGATCGCAGTCCCTCAACTCGTCTTTTAATCATCATCGCCACAACCATCATCTTAATCATATAAACCACAATTCTCCGCCACCATCATCATCAAGTCTGTAATGATCAACGCCATCACAGTCATCACCATCAGCATCCGCAAAGTATGAGAGACTTTGTTCAGGAAGTGTATTATAATCACCAAACTCTCCAAAACATAATATGGTAACTTGTGTTGTATTTGTACAATCTCAAAGCTGCAAGTTAATTGCATCAGGTATAACATAATCATAGTTTATATCTGTTTCCCAATGAAAGCCGTTTAGTTACTCATACGCTAAATCTCATGACGTAAAGACTAAGAGGATGTACATGTAATTTGAGTGTAAAAATAGCTAACCAGTTTTTATTGCAGTTTCCATTCATTATCATGCTTCTGTCGTGTTGTACCCTGTGTATGTCCGTAGATATCCACAATGTTGCCGACCGGAAGAGCATCGTAACCAGCTCTTCCCAACTCTAATGGACGTCCAGGGACTTCCGGATCATCCTGACGCCATCTGGCGGGAGGCTCTGTCCCTTTTGTTCTATGGGCATATTCCCGAGGAAGCAAACCTGCACGACGTGGTAGACTACCTACAGGCCAGGGATGACATACGGCGTCCGAGGTACATTCGAGGTCGCGACCGCCTGAAGGTGGACCGGGTTGTCGTTGTTGCCTCTGCCCAGGAACATTTACCCAAGGGTCTGCTTGAATCTGTTGTTAAGATTGCCAGGCCTGTTAGCGGACGCAGTCGAAGAGGTTAGTGGCATGTTTTCCTGTGGATGAAGAAATGACATTATATGTAGCAGGAATGACATTGGATGTAGTATGAATGACACTGGATGTAGTATGAATGACACTGGATGTAGTATGAATGACACCGGATGTAGCAGGAATGACACTGGATGTAGTATGAATGACACCGGATGTAGTATGAATGACACTGTATGTAGTATGAATGGCACTGGATGTAGTATGAATGACACTGGATGTAGCAGGAATGACACCGGATGTAGTATGAATGACACTGGATGTAGTATGAATGACACTGGATGTAGTATGAATGACACTGGATGTAGTATGAATCACACTGGATGTAGCATGAATGACACTGGATGTAGTATGAATGACACCGGGTGTAGTATGAATGACACTGGATGTAGTATGAATGACACCGGGTGTAGTATGAATCACACTGGATGTAGCAGGAATGACACTGGATGTAGTATGAATCGCACTGGGTGTAGTATGAATGACACTGGATGTAGTAGGAATGACACTGGATGTAGTATGAATCACACTGGATGTAACATGAATGACACCGGGTGGAGTATGAATGACACTGGATGTAGTATGAATGACACTGGATGTAGTATGAATCACACTGGATGTAACATGAATGACACCGGTGTAGTATGAATGACACTGGATGTAGTATGAATGACACTGGATGTAGTATGAATCACACCGGGTGTAGTATGAATCACACTGGATGTAGCAGGAATGACACTGGATGTAGTATGAATCACACTGGATGTAACATGAATGACACTGGGTGTAGCATGAATGACACTGGATGTAGTATGAATCACACCGGGTGTAGTATGAATCACACTGGATGTAGCAGGAATGACACTGGATGTAGTATGAATCACACTGGATGTAGTATGAATCACACTGGATGTAGTATGAATCACACCGGGTGTAGTATGAATCACACTGGATGTAGTAGGAATGACACTGGATGTAGGATGAATCACACTGGCTGTAGCAGGAATGACACTGGGTGTAGCATGAATGACACTGGATGTAGTATGAATCACACCGGGTGTAGTATGAATCACACTGGATGTAGCAGGAATGACACTGGATGTAGTATGAATCACACTGGATGTAACATGAATGACACTGGATGTAGTATGAATCACACCGGGTGTAGTATGAATCACACTGGATGTAGCAGGAATGACACTGGATGTAACATGAATCACACTGGATGTAGCAGGAATGACACTGGATGTAGTATGAATCACACTGGATGTAACATGAATGACACTGGATGTAGTATGAATCACACCGGGTGTAGTATGAATGACACTGGATGTAGCAGGAATGACACTGGATGTAGTATGAATCACACTGGATGTAGCATGAATGACACTGGATGTAGTATGAATGACACCGGGTGGAGTATGAATGACACTGGATGTAGTATGAATCACACCGGGTGTAGTATGAATCACACTGGATGTAGCAGGAATGACACTGGACGTAGTATGAATGACACTGGGTGTAGTATGAATGACACTGGACGTAGTATGAATGACACTGGGTGTAGTATGAATGACCCTGGATGTAGTATGAATGACACTGGATGTAGTATGAATGACACCGGGTGTAGTATGAATCACACAGGATGTAGCAGGAATGACACTGGATGTAGTATGAATCACACTGGATGTAGCAGGAATGACACTGGGTGTAGTATGAATGACACTGGATGTAGTATGAATCACACCGGGTGTAGTATGAATCACACTGGATGTAGTATGAATGACACTGGACGTAGTATGAATGACACTGGGTGTAGTATGAATCACACCGGGTGTAGTATGAATCACACTGGATGTAGCAGGAATGACACTGGACGTAGTATGAATGACACTGGGTGTAGTATGAATGACACTGGACGTAGTATGAATGACACTGGATGTAGTATGAATGACACTGGATGTAGTATGAATCACACTGGATGTAGCATGAATGACACTGGATGTAGTATGAATGACACCGGGTGTAGTATGAATGACACTGGATGTAGTATGAATGACACCGGGTGTAGTATGAATCACACTGGATGTAGCAGGAATGACACTGGATGTAGTATGAATCGCACTGGGTGTAGTATGAATGACACTGGATGTAGTAGGAATGACACTGGATGTAGTATGAATCACACTGGATGTAACATGAATGACACCGGGTGGAGTATGAATGACACTGGATGTAGTATGAATCACACTGGATGTAGTATGAATCACACTGGATGTAACATGAATGACACCGGGTGGAGTATGAATGACACTGGATGTAGTATGAATGACACTGGATGTAGTATGAATCACACCGGGTGTAGTATGAATCACACTGGATGTAGCAGGAATGACACTGGATGTAGTATGAATCACACTGGATGTAACATGAATGACACTGGGTGTAGCATGAATGACACTGGATGTAGTATGAATCACACCGGGTGTAGTATGAATCACACTGGATGTAGCAGGAATGACACTGGATGTAGTATGAATCACACTGGATGTAGTATGAATCACACTGGATGTAGTATGAATCACACCGGGTGTAGTATGAATCACACTGGATGTAGTAGGAATGACACTGGATGTAGGATGAATCACACTGGCTGTAGCAGGAATGACACTGGGTGTAGCATGAATGACACTGGATGTAGTATGAATCACACCGGGTGTAGTATGAATCACACTGGATGTAGCAGGAATGACACTGGATGTAGTATGAATCACACTAGATGTAACATGAATGACACTGGATGTAGTATGAATCACACCGGGTGTAGTATGAATCACACTGGATGTAGCAGGAATGACACTGGATGTAACATGAATCACACTGGATGTAGCAGGAATGACACTGGATGTAGTATGAATCACACTGGATGTAACATGAATGACACTGGATGTAGTATGAATGACACCGGGTGTAGTATGAATGACACTGGATGTAGCAGGAATGACACTGGATGTAGTATGAATCACACTGGATGTAGCATGAATGACACTGGATGTAGTATGAATGACACCGGGTGGAGTATGAATGACACTGGATGTAGTATGAATCACACCGGGTGTAGTATGAATCACACTGGATGTAGCAGGAATGACACTGGACGTAGTATGAATGACACTGGGTGTAGTATGAATGACACTGGACGTAGTATGAATGACACTGGGTGTAGTATGAATGACCCTGGATGTAGTATGAATGACACTGGATGTAGTATGAATGACACCGGGTGTAGTATGAATCACACAGGATGTAGCAGGAATGACACTGGATGTAGTATGAATCACACTGGATGTACCATGAATGACACTGGATGTAGTATGAATGACACCGGGTGTAGTATGAATGACACCGGGTGTAGTATGAATCACACTGGATGTAGCAGGAATGACACTGGGTGTAGTATGAATGACACTGGATGTAGTATGAATCACACCGGGTGTAGTATGAATCACACTGGATGTAGTATGAATGACACTGGACGTAGTATGAATGACACTGGGTGTAGTATGAATCACACCGGGTGTAGTATGAATCACACTGGATGTAGCAGGAATGACACTGGACGTAGTATGAATGACACTGGGTGTAGTATGAATGACACTGGACGTAGTATGAATGACACTGGGTGTAGTATGAATGACATTGGATGTAGCAGGAATGCCACTGGACGTAGTATGAATGACACTGGGTGTAGTATGAATGACACTGGATGTAGTATGAATGACACCGGGTGTAGCAGGAATGACACTGGACGTAGTATGAATGACACTGGGTGTAGTATGAATGACACTGGACGTAGTATGAATGACACTGGGTGTAGTATGAATGACATTGGATGTAGCAGGAATGCCACTGGACGTAGTATGAATGACACCGGGTGTAGTATGAATGACACTGGATGTAGAATGAATCACACCGGGTGTAGTATGAATGACACTGGATGTAGTATGAATCACACTGGATGTAGTATGAATCACACTGGATGTAGTATGAATCACACCGGGTGTAGTATGAATCACACTGGATGTAGCAGGAATGACACTGGACGTAGTATGAATGACACTGGGTGTAGTATGAATGACACTGGACGTAGTATGAATGACACTGGGTGTAGTATGAATCACACTGGATGTAGCAGGAATGACACTGGACGTAGTATGAATGACACTGGATGTAGTATGAATGACACTGGACGTAGTATGAATGGCACTGCGTGTACTATGAATGAAACTGGATGTAGCAGGAATGACACTGGACGTAGTATGAATGACACTGGGTGTAGTATGAATGACACTGGACGTAGTATGAATGACACTGGGTGTAGTATGAATCACACTGGATGTAGCAGGAATGACACTGGACGTAGTATGAATGACACTGGATGTAGTATGAATGACACTGGACGTAGTATGAATGGCACTGGGTGTAGTATGAATGACACTGGATGTAGTATGAATGACACTGGATGTAGTATGAATCACACCGGGTGTAGTATGAATCACACTGGTTGTAGCAGGTATGACACTAGATGTAGTATATGAATCACACTGGATATAGCATGAATGACACTGGATGTAGTATGAATGACACTGGGTGTAGTATGAATGACACTGGACGTAGTATGAATGACACTGGATGTAGTATGAATGACACTGGACGTAGTATGAATGACACTGGACGTAGTATGAATGGCACTGGGTGTAGTATGAATCACACCGGGTGTAGTATGAATCACACTGGTTGTAGCAGGTATGACACTGGATGTAGTATGAATCACACTGGATATAGCATGAATGACACTGGATGTAGTATGAATGACACTGGGTGTAGTATGAATGACACTGGACGTAGTATGAATGGCACTGGGTGTAGTATGAATGACACTGGATGTAGTATGAATGGCACTGGGTGTAGTATGAATGACACTGGATGTAGTATGAATGACACTGGATGTAGTATGAATCACACCGGGTGTAGTATGAATCACACTGGTTGTAGCAGGTATGACACTGGATGTAGTATGAATCACACTGGATATAGCATGAATGACACTGGATGTAGTATGAATGACACTGGGTGTAGTATGAATGACACTGGACGTAGTATGAATGACACTGGACGTAGTATGAATGACACTGGATGTAGTATGAATGACACTGGACGTAGTATGAATGGCACTGGGTGTAGTATGAATGACACTGGATGTAGTATGAATGACACTGGATGTAGTATGAATCACACCGGGTGTAGTATGAATCACACTGGTTGTAGCAGGTATGACACTGGATGTAGTATGAATCACACTGGATATAGCATGAATGACACTGGATGTAGTATGAATGACACTGGGTGTAGTATGAATGACACTGGACGTAGTATGAATGGCACTGGGTGTAGTATGAATGGCACTGGGTGTAGTATGAATGACACTGGATGTAGTATTAATCACACCGGGTGTAGTATGAATCACACTGGATGTAGCAGGAATGACACTGGACGTAGTATGAATGACACTGGGTGTAGTATGAATGACACTGGACGTAGTATGAATGACACTGGGTGTACCATGAATGACACTGGATGTAGTATGAATGACACCGGGTGTAGTATGAATGACACTGGATGTAGTATGAATGACACTGGATGTAGTATGAATCACACCGGGTGTAGTATGAATCACACTGGATGTAGCAGGAATGACACTGGACGTAGTATGAATGACACTGGGTGTAGTATGAATGACACTGGACGTAGTATGAATGACACTGGGTGTAGTATGAATCACACTGGATGTAGCAGGAATGACACTGGACGTAGTATGAATGACACTGGATGTAGTATGAATGACACTGGACGTAGTATGAATGGCACTGGGTGTAGTATGAATGACACTGGATGTAGTATGAATGACACTGGATGTAGTATGAATCACACCGGGTGTAGTATGAATCACACTGGTTGTAGCAGGTATGACACTGGATGTAGTATGAATCACACTGGATATAGCATGAATGACACTGGATGTAGTATGAATGACACTGGGTGTAGTATGAATGACACTGGACGTAGTATGAATGACACTGGATGTAGTATGAATGACACTGGACGTAGTATGAATGACACTGGACGTAGTATGAATGGCACTGGGTGTAGTATGAATGACACTGGATGTAGTATGAATGACACTGGATGTAGTATGAATCACACCGGGTGTAGTATGAATCACACTGGTTGTAGCAGGTATGACACTGGATGTAGTATGAATCACACTGGATATAGCATGAATGACACTGGATGTAGTATGAATGACACTGGGTGTAGTATGAATGACACTGGACGTAGTATGAATGGCACTGGGTGTAGTATGAATGACACTGGACGTAGTATGAATGGCACTAGGTGTAGTATGAATGACACTGGATGTAGTATGAATGACACTGGACGTAGTATGAATGACACTGGACGTAGTATGAATGACACTGGATGTAGTATGAATGACACTGGACGTAGTATGAATGGCACTGGGTGTAGTATGAATGACACTGGATGTAGTATGAATCACACTGGATGTAGTATGAATCACACCGGGTGTAGTATGAATCACACTGGTTGTAGCAGGTATGACACTGGATGTAGTATGAATCACACTGGATATAGCATGAATGACACTGGATGTAGTATGAATGACACTGGGTGTAGTATGAATGACACTGGACGTAGTATGAATGGCACTGGGTGTAGTATGAATGGCACTGGGTGTAGTATGAATGACACTGGATGTAGTATTAATCACACCGGGTGTAGTATGAATCACACTGGATGTAGCAGGAATGACACTGGACGTTAGTATGAATGACACTGGGTGTAGTATGAATGACACTGGACGTAGTATGAATGACACTGGGTGTAGTATGAATGACCCTGGATGTAGTATGAATGACACTGGATGTAGTATGAATGACACTGGATGTAGTATGAATCACACCGGGTGTAGTATGAATCACACTGGTTGTAGCAGGTATGACACTGGATGTAGTATGAATCACACTGGATGTAGTATGAATGACACCGGGTGTAGTATTAATCACACTAGATGTAGTATGAATCACACCGGGTGTAGTATGAATGACACTGAATGTAGCAGGAATGACTCTGGATGTAGTATGAATGACACTTGGTGTAGTATGAATGACACTGGACGTAGTATGAATGACACCGGGTGTAGTATGAATCACACTGGATGTAGCAGGAATGACACTGGGTGTAGTATGAATGACACTGGATGTAGCAAGAATGACACTGGATTTAGTATGAATGACACTGGATGTAGCAAGAATGACACTGGATGTAGTATGAATGACACTGGACGTAGTATGAATGACACTGGATGTAGCAAGAATGACACTGGATGTAGTATGAATGACACTGGACGTAGTATGAATGACACTGGGTGTAGTATGAATGACACTGGATGTAGTATGAATGACACTGGGTGTAGTATGAATGACACTGGATGTAGCAAGAATGACACTGGATGTAGTATGAATGACACTGGACGTAGTATGAATGACACTGGGTGTAGTATGAATGACACTGGATGTAGTATGAATGACACTGGGTGTAGTATGAATGACACTGGGTTTAGAATGAATGACACTGGACGTAGTATGAGATGTAGTATGAATGACACTGGATGTAGCAGGAATGACACTGGATGTAGCAGGAATGACACTGGGTGTAGTATGAATGACACTGGGTGTTGTATGAATGACACTGGGTGTAGTATGAATGACACTAGGTGTATTTTGAATGACACTGAGTGTAGTATGAATGACATTGGGTGTAGTATGAATGACACTTGGTGTAGTATGAATGACACTGGGTGTAGTATGAATGACATTGGGTGTAGTATGAATGACACTGGGTGTAGTATGAATGACACTGGGTGTAGTATGAATGACACTAGGTGTATTTTGAATGACACTTGGTGTAGTATGAATGACACTGGGTGTAGTATAAATGACACTGGGTGTAGTATGAATGACACTGGGTGTAATATGAATGACACTGTGTGTAGAATGAATGACACTAGGTGTATTTTGAATGACACTGGGTGTAGTATGAATGACACTGGGTGTAGTATGAATGACACTAGGTGTAGTATGAATGACACTGGGTGTAGTATGAATGACACTGGGTGTAGTATGAATGACACTGGGTGTAGTATGAATGACACTTGGTGTAGCAGGAATGACACTGGCAGTAGTATGAATGACACTGGATGTAGCAGGAATGACACTGGGTGTAGCATGAATCACACTGGGTGTAGTATGAATGACACTGGATGTAGCAGGAATGACACTGGATGTAGTATGAATCACACTGGATATAGCATGAATCACACTGGATGTAGTATGAATCACACCGGGTGTAGTATGAATCACACTGGATGTAGCAGGAATGACACTGGGTGTAGTATGAATGACACTGGATGTAGTATGAATGACAGTTGGTGTAGTATGAATGACACTGGATGTAGCAAGAATGACACTGGATGTAGTATGAATGACACTGGACGTAGTATGAATGACACTGGGTGTAGTATGAATGACACTGGATGTAGTATGAATGACACTGGGTGTAGTAGGAATGACACTGGGTGTAGAATGAATGACACTGGACGTAGTATGAGATGTAGTATGAATGAAACTGGATGTAGCAGGAATGAAACTGGATGTAGCAGGAATGACACTGGGTGCTGTATGAATGACGCTGGATGTACTAGGAAAAACACTGAATGTTGTATGAATGACACGATATTTAGCAGTAATGACACATCCAACCATAGTTGGTTCCAGCCCGCAAAGAAACACATTTAGTTTCAATGTAACAGGATACTTTTTCCCCAACAGGCATTCCCATATTTGGAATCATGACAAAGACTGATCTCGTAGACCCTGATGTCGACCTCGACTACCTGCAGAGGGAGGAGAAGTTCAAAGATATCTTAGGTCTACATGGCACGCCACGCTTCCTCCGATGCATCAACTACTGCAGCGCCATCGACCCCGACAACAACATGATCTTCACCAGCTACCCATACATCGACGTCCCAGTACTTCGTCTTATGACCCAGATCTGTGACCCAGCCATAGAAGTAGTTCATCAGCAGGAACCCTACCCCTACCGGCAGCTAGCCAGGGAAAAGACCTGCTGGATCGTGATGGCTATCGTTGTAATCTTTCTGGCGTTTGTATTTATTTTACGTTGAATGCTCTTTGATATTCATTTCGAGTTTATAGACACCGAACTTGTGGAAATTGTTTATGACAGACTGCTCAAAACATTGTATTACACGAGAAGGTCATCCTCGATAACTCCAGGGTATAGGTTCCGATATATATAGTAGACTGTCAGTTTTACCTTAAGTCATGGCAATGCATACTATAGAAATGATCCCTAAAAGTATGATATATATAGTGGAGGGTTATCGGAACGTACACCCTGGAGTTATCGAGGATGCGAGAGGGTAAGCTCTAGACATTTCAGTTAATATACTGGACAAAATAAGTTAGGGATATTGGTATTTTTATGATTGATATCTTATCAGTGTGTCTATTTTAGGACATAAATTCTGAAAAATTATCACAGCGTTGGTTTGATGTTTTGATTATGATCAGTGTTTCATTGAGTACTTTATGTTTAGTAGTTTTCAAATTAGATTGCAATTCATCGGTCCGATTTTGAGCCAAACGGACTATAGGCTTAAGTTGCATGATCGATAGAGCGTTTATGCGAGGTAGGAAACATCGGTCACATAACAACGTATGGTATGAATTTACACAACGTTTCTGGGCTGCCTCTTGTCCCTTCATATAGGTGAATGGCAGAGTATGATTACGAGAAAAATATATAGTATGTACAGTGAGATAGTATTACAGATTAAGATGTGCAGAGTTCAAGGAGATAAAGTGGTACGTTTGTGCAATGGATAAGATTGGTATGTACAGAGTGTTTATACAACGAAAAGGATACTATTAGGATAATGACAGGATTGATTGGAAGCCACTTATGAAAACAATGATAGGAAAACGCACACATGAAAACAATGATAGGAAAACACACATCAAAGCATGTACAGTGATTAGGGGGAACATGGGAAAACATGTACAGTGATTAGGGAAACATGGGAAAACGTACGCTGATTAGGGGGAACATGGGAAAACATGTACAGTGATTAGGGAAACATGGGAAAACATGTACATCGAAAGCCTCCATCGATTTTCTCTCCAATTGCTGATGTTGACGGCCAAAATGTCAGTGTCTTCCCAATTGACGGTATGGCTGGGATATCTGATCACGTGTTCAGATAGGGCTGATATCATATCCGAGCTCTTCTCCAATGCTTTGTGTTCTTTATACGAGTACATACCTTCCAACTTCTAAATGCCCCTCAAGCATCTGTTTGCATGTTTGTTTACATCACGGTTTTTAGTAATTCCATTTTTTATGTTGTTATTTATTTGCATTTTTGTCAAGCTCTGTGATCCAAAGCGAATTCCTTTTAAGATAATAAAGTATTGTCTGTCTGTCTGTCTGTCTGTCTGTCTGTCTGTCTGTCTGTCTGTCCGTCCGTCTATCTGTCTGTCAAGAAGCAGTCGGGTCAGAATACAACGGCAGTTGTAATGCTGGAATAACGATCGGAGGCCTTATTGGCAATAACAATAACACACAGAAATAACTGGAGCCGGTGGATTCATATTAGTCAAGGTGAAGAAAGTCGTAGGCATTGTCGGTGTAGACATAGAGATGTAGGGTGGCTATCGTTCATCGTCTCGAATAAAGGGCGGTGAGATCGCCTGGTGGTTAGAGCGTTCGCTCGTCTCACCAAAACCCTGGTTCGATTCGCTACATGGTACCAATGGTGTGCAGCGGATTTCTGTTGCCCCTCGTCGTGATATTTCCTTCACCTGTGTCTTTGACCTAAAGGGGCGGTGGGGTAGCGTAGTAGTTAAAGCGTTCGTTCGTCACGCCGAAGACCCGGGTTCGATTCCCCACATGGGTACAATATGTGAAGCCCATTTATGGTGTCCCCCGCCGTGATATAGCTGGAATATTGCTAAAAGCGGCGTAAAACTGAACTAACTCACTCACTTTGACCTAAATACAATGAAACCTTAGATATCATACAGTAAGTTAAATGTTCCTGGACTTTTAAAGAATAAATATTCAAAGTGCAGAATCTGAAATTTGGTTCTAAGGGACCGTTCATAATTTATGGCTGGGGTGGGGGTAGGGGTGAGTTTAAGGGAGACACACATTTTTGTTCTCGGGAGGTGGGGCAGGGGGGGTCATAATTTTTTTACACATGTACTAGGGGGCGTCGTCATTGATTTTGTACATGACATGCAAGGGTGTGTCATTCACAGTGTACATGCTTCTCCATAAAACAAACAGTCATCACACCCACCACCACACACACACACACACACACCCCTCAAAACCAAAACTTATGAACGGTCCCTAATGTGACTTTGACATGGTAACGATAGAAATTCGAAGAAAGGCAATGACTTCAAATCCCTATTGTTTTCAGTCACCAGTTACAAAAGACAGATCATGCGGTTTACGTCAAAACTAATTCATATGCTAAAATAACCAGCTGTCACAGTCATGCGACCACACCTGTGAGAACCACCTGTGAAGTGCCTACCCTCTAATCAAATACGGCGAGCCCGGAGAGACACTAAATAAATCGATAAATTCACTGCGCTGAACGGGACCCAACCACGGGTAACCAGTTAGTCATATTACATGCTATCGACATACATAACATATAATATACGTGGCCACAGCTGGCTGTGTCAGCTCAATACAACAAAACCATTACGCATGGATAAAAAAAATCACAACTATTCATCTTCGATTGGGAACGAAGCGAAACTAACATTCAATAGCACTTTGTGAATTCTGGGCCCTGGAGCGAGCACTGTAATCAATTCAAAGCAGTGGATTTGCCCTGGCGTCTCCACCCCATGTAAGAGGAAACGAAAGCGAAAGTAAACAATGATCATTTCAGCTGCGAAATAGGCATGGAAACATATTCCGATAACAAGACAAGACTGGTTATACAGAAATACACATTTGAGCAATACAAGCTACACATGTTGCCATACCACGCCACCACCTCTACTTCTTTCACTACTACTGCTTCTGCTACGACTACTATTACTACCACAACTACTACTGTAACCCATGCTTGTCGTAAGAGGCGACTAACGGGATCGGGTGGTCAGGCTCGCTGACTTGGTTGACACATGTCATCGGTTCCCAATTGAGCAGATCGATGCTCATGTTGTTAATCACTGGATTGTCTGGTCCGGCCTCGATTATTTACAGACCGCCGCCATATATCTGGAATATTGCTCAGTGCGGCGTAAAACTAAACTTACTCACTACTGTTACTACAACCACTACTACTACAACTACTACTACTACTACTACTACTACTACTAATGACTACCTGCAGTACTAGCACTGGCACTAGTACAAATACCACTATTACTATAACTATATCTAACTACTACTACTACTACAACAACTACTACTACTACTACTACTACTGACTACCTGCAGTACTAGCACTGGCACTAGTACAAATACCACTATTACTATAACTATATCTAACTACAATTACTACTACTACTACAACTATTACTTCTACTACAACTTCTACTACTAGTATTACAACTAATATTACTCCTACAATTAGGGAAAGTTCATAATATAAGGCTGTGTGTGTGATGATGTGATGATGATGATGATGATGATGATGATAATGATGACGATTTTAAGGGGGGGGCACCCATTTTGTTCTAGAGTGGTAGGGTGGTTATGAATTTTGTATGTATGTACGGAGGGGGGTTGGGAGTAGGGGTCGGCAATATTGTACATAGTAAACTTATGCTAAAAAATTATTGGAAGGGGGTGGGGGGGTCATTGATTTTGTACATGATATGCAGGGATGTCACTTACTTTGTACATAAAGTTTAGAGGGGGGGAGTAGTTCACATTGTACATGCTACTCCAGAAAAAAAACATCATCACCACAACTACGTTCTACTAAAAACAGTACCAACGATGATGATGGGAGGGTACCCGGGTTTGCTGACAGCCATTCAGCCCTTCCGACACTCTTGGAAATGCAATATTCTGCCATGTTGGGGATCTTACACATTCTCTGAAAAACTCTTGTTGGGTTCGACATGGCAGCGCTTCCTGGAAGAAGTCCCATCTCTGTCTGGGCTGCGTGTAGAGGGGCCAAGGGCTTCAGCTGATGTTGAGTAGGGCTTCAACGAGTCCATTTTCTTGGACTCGAGTACTCGAGGTGTGAGACTCGACTCGGACCCGAGTACTCGAAATTCATACCTTTCAAACAAACGATAGCGTAACCGGCATGACATGTGTTCCGATCACACAAGTGAACACTTACTTCTTTTCGATTTCATATCGTCGTGTGATTAACATTTCCTATTGGTCAGAATCAGTATTTGGATGTTTACTTGCCAAATGTTGCTTTTTTCATCGTACTGGTTGTACTGCCTGCATAAGGCGGTGGCATTTGGTTATTTTTCTCTTTTCAATATTATCCAGATCAAGACACGCCCATACATTTGATTTTTTATCGTTCTCCATGTCTGTTAAGATAGTTACCTAATCATTTTAAGAAGTGAAATCTCAAACGATGTATAATAATTACTCTCATCTGCAGACTTGTAACAACTAATACCATACAGCCATACCGTGTGAGGAGTAAACTATTTAATCTAGGTGTTAATAAAAACATTATCAGATGGGTTAAAGAATTCATGGTACATAGAACTCAGTATGTCAGTGTCAGTGGCTATCAATCTTCTTTCCTCTCAGCCTCTACTGGAGCTCCACAGGACTGTGTTCTTTCATCCGTACTCTTCGTTTTGTATACCAATGCCTGTTACTTGTCATTAAATGACTTGTTTACTGTGAAATTCGCAGATGACGCCACTGTTACTGGCCTAATTTCTGATTCTGAACCTTATTATCGTCAAGGCATTGACAAAACCGTAATGACAGTTTTTATCAAACCTTTATTCAAAGTGTGTTGACATACAATTTTCTATGTTGGTATGGGGTCTGTCTGATCGCAACAAAAACAAACTTTTCAAAATTGTTAATACTGCCGGCAAAAGTTCGAGTATATTCCTTTTATCTATGAGCGCCAGATTGTCAAAAAGGCAACTAAAATTAGATTTGATAGTTAACATATTTTATCTCACCATTTTGAAGTACTGCTTTCTGGACGCTGCTGTCGATTACCTTCCCTCAAAACAAACAGAGCTCGACAGTCTTTCATACCATTAAATATTCGTGAACGCAACAAATATTTTGAATTATCACCATGTGATAACAACTAGAATTATTCAGCCTCTGTACCTATGTGGTTAATTGAATTATATCATGTCAGTTTTATTGTGTAAATAGCTTTCGTTTTGTGCATGTAATTATTGTGTATATTTTTGTGAATTGTGTACATATTCATTTTGAGACAGTTTGGATGTATAAGAATTTCCTCCGGGATAATAAAGTTATATCTTATCTTAATATTAGACGTTAACGGCCGCTCATGCTCAGCACATGGCAGACAGTCTGTCAAAGTAACCCAACAATTCGAGCTATCTCCCCTTTTCGAGTCCTCGAGTCCTAGAAAATGGACTCGAGTCCAGCTAAACCCGACTCGTCTTCGAGTACTCGAGTACCCGTGGAAGCCCTAATGTTGAGCACAACCAACCTAACCATGTCGAAGGCTATTCATATAGATCACAGAGGTCGATAATCGTTAACTATATATCGATCGAATATAGGTAAATATCGAAGAAGTAACTTTGAGAAAATATGCCAAAAATTGTCTCAAAGAAATGAATATGTTTCACATCACTGATGAGTGGTGACATATTTTTGCATGGATTATTAACAAACAGCAACATAATTTGAAGAGGATAATTTCAAAGCAGACCATGAATAAAGTCCAAAATTTGTATATTGTTTTTTTCTACCATAAAAGTTAATGTACGATATTATCGATAACACAATCGATGCCTAGGTGTCGATTAACGATTGACGCCGCTCTGGGCGAGAATGTGAATTGTGCCAAAACGAAAGCCAGACTTGACAAAACGGAAGCACAGTCCTGGAGAATCTTGGATTCTAATCCACGATCATAGGCGCCTTAAGCCCAAATGGACGCAACTCCGCCGCAATAACAGCAGCTGTGCTCACCGAGCCACAACCTCCGTTCTCCCCTCACAACAACAACAACAACACAAGCATAGGTTGTTGAAGACCAATTCTAATAGGGACCTTCACGGGTCCCAGGAGTATGAGGAGAGGTGGAGGTTTCCAATGTTCAGTACATAAATATAGTATGTGTGTGTGTATTTTGCCACAATACCGTATGGAATTGCCAGCTCTGTTGAGCATTCCACGAGACTTTCCTACTGTGACGTCATATACAAAACACAGAACCCGTGAAGATCCTGGTTAGAATTGGTCTTCGGTAACCCGTGCTTGTCGAAAGAAGTGACTAACGGGATCGGGTGGCCAGGTTCGCTGACTTGGTTAACACATGTCATCGTATCCAAATGGCGTTGATTGATGCTCACGATGTAGATCACTGGATTGTCTGGTCCAGACTTGATTATTTACGCATTTACAGATGGCTGCCACATAGTTTGATTATTGGTGTGCGGCGTTAAACAATAAACACCGTGTGCATGAGATACAATATCGATTTAATATGAGCTATATAGCAATTCAAAGCATCAACAATTTGTTTCAAAGTCAAAACTGTCCCTGCTGTGATCAGCTGTATTCCTGTGGTAAACATTTCACTAAGGGGAGGCAACTCCGTTACCATTTCGGAAATTAATTTATGGCGTTGAATACGCATGGAGAATGCAGGGTGACGTTAGACTACTGGAGATATCGCCCGGTCTGACATTTCCACACGGGGTGGGTTCGTTTAAACGCGACAGGGGCAGAAGAGATCTAAAAAATGACCCCTTTGATAAAATCAAGGAAGACGGCAACCCTTGTGATCATAACGGGGAATATAGTGGATTCAAGCCAACAATAAGCGGATCATGACTGAACGAAGGTACGTAACTCTACTCATCACTGTGGAAACCTTAGATATCTGAGTGACGCTGCTCAAAGAGGGTTCTTTGTAATTACGAGGAGTCATTAATTATTAATGCGTATAGTCGCATTCCCACTGTATTTGTAGATAAAGACTGACTGACTGAGTTTGGTTTTTACGCCGCTTTTAGCAATATTCCAGCAACATCACGGCGGGGGGAACACCAGAAATGGGCTTCACACATTGTACCCATGTGGGGATTTGAACCCGGGTCTTCGGTGTGACGAGCCAACGCTTTAACCACTAGACTACCCCACCGCCCCTGTAGATAAAGAGATAGTTATGGCTCAATCCCTCTTTGGACAGTAGGAACGGTGGGGTAGTCCAGTGGTTAAAGCGTTCGGTCACCACGCTGAAGACCCGGGTTCGATTCCCAACACGGGTACATTTCTGGTGTTGCTCGCCGTGATATTGCTAACAGCGGCGTAAAACCATACTCACTCACTCTCGACAGTCTTCCCAGGAATTATAAATACATTATCAAACCTCCACTATCCAATATACCATGTCTCCAATCTACAATGATGAATACCCTGTACATTCGACTTCAATGTCGTCGTTGTGGAAGTGACGTACCATCTCTAATAACTCCACGTGCGTAATTTGATAGCATTGCTCCGAATAGGGTTGAGAAGGAACGTAGATTAGGGAACCGAGTCGGGGTTATTATTGCAACAGTGTGGCAATATAATACCCTGGACATTGCTATCCTATCCACTGCTCCGGAAAAGCATTATGACAAATTGCTCAAAACGGCGGCCCATAAACCTATATGTTATATCTGGACATATTATCCGATAAAAGCGCTTACGCCCCCTTTCCAGTTAGACAACGCTGTCTTTTATTCACCAGTCAGCGGATAATCCGCTTAATCTAATGCCAATAATGATGATTATTGCACAGTCGGTGTGTCTCATTAAAAGCTCACTCACAGCCATTAAATACACTGAAAGGTTCTAATTCAAGTGCTTTAAGACATATAGTTCATTACATCTCAAGGGAGGTACACAAACTGGTCCCTCCGCGGCGATTATCACGTGATAGGTCCTTTAGTGGTCGGTCCTTAGCTAGGAAGGACTTAGTATCTGGTCTTCGCTTTTTCCTGATCCGTAACTTCCTGGAGTCAAGGTTTTTGCAATCTTCCTTTATTATGGACCACACAGACACCAGAAAAACCTGTTATATTCTATGTTCTTTTACGATCTTCACAATTCGATCAATTTGTGACTGGTTGAATTTCTCAAACACGCTGAGCATGCGTTGGTCGTTGTCAAGGCGACGGAGTTCGGGATGATTCCTGATCGAGGTCAAGTTGCTGTTGTATAAAGTCCCGGGTGGCAGGGACCTCGAGCCGCCATCTCTGCTATATATTACTACGACATCACCTGAAACATAATCAAAAAATCCAGGGATTAGGAAGGGACAAAACTCTGCACAGCAACTTTCAGCTGCAAAATGACGAGTCACCATAAATATTCTATTCAAATTCATAATCGTCAGAGTGCGTGAGTTTTATTTTTACGTCACTTATAGCAATATTCCAGCAATATCACGGCGGGGAACACCAGAAATGGGCCGCACACAAAACCATGTGGAGAATCGAACCCGGGTCTTCAGCGCGAACGCTTTAACCACTAGACTACACCCACCGCTCCAGTAGTTAAGAAGGGCCTTACCGTTACGACAATCGTGTCTCCCATAGGTAACTAACTTAACTCACTCCTTCACATACTCTTATCATCCGTATGTTTTCGTTACCAAATGAGAAACCATTTATTTTGGTCTAACAATGTTTGTAGTGGATTACAACAACAGTGTTCTCACCTCCCATTTTGCGGATAGCTTGTACTGTTGTAAGCCTGAGATCCCCCAGTCCTTTCGTGGGGTCCTCGAGGATGACATGCCTCTCGTTGAAATCCACAAACAGAAAGTAGACTTTACAAGGTGGAAGCCTTAAAATAAGCTCGTGCCCTTTGACGCAGTGCTTCGTGACAGTAATGTGTCTGGTGGCATCGTTCTGTGATAGGACAGCATCGACTTGGGTGTGGTGTTGGTTGATGGTGTCTGAATGGAAGCTGACCACACAAACACGGTTCTCAAGATGGCGGGGTGAAACGCTGTTCAAAATATTCTCGTCTCCCTAGAAATACATCTTTTTGTTATGGGCTGTACCAAAATTAGAGTGAGTGAGTTTAGTTTTTAGCAATACCCCTGCAACGACGGAGGACACCAGACATGGGCTTCACAAATCGTGTCCACGTGGGGAATCGAACTCAGGTCTTTGGCGTGGCGAGCGAACGCATTAACCACTAGGCTACCCTTCCGCCCTGAACCAAGACGTATTACTAGCAGCTCCAAATTAATGACCAATATAAATATATTTGGACGCGTCACTTTAGATCGCGCCCAAACCAGATTGAGCAGTGAGAAAGATTATAATGCAAATGATTGAGAATTGCTCCCCTTGAAACTTTTACGTCAAACCGTACATCACCCACGACACAGATGATTACGTTGAAACCGAGTAGTTAGTTTACAATTCAATTACCTATCGTTTGACACAAAACTGTTTGCACGCCATGGGCTAAAATTCGTGTGGACCTCAATTCGGGATTCCCAGTACATTAAGGTGTTTGGGGCTGGGCTTCTAGGGATCCCCAACCTTCACGTTGTTTCCAAAACCTATCTCGTTGCGTTTATTCTGTCCTTCAGCATATTGGCTGTATTATAAACTGACTTATGAAGGAAAGTACACCACTAGTATTTAGGGAATATTTAAGAAAATACGGCGCAAAATATTTTGAGTTTAGTTTTACGTCGCACTCACCAATATTACAGCTATATGGAGGCGGTCTGTAAATAATCGAGTCTGGACCAGACAATCCAGTGATCAACAGCATAAACATCGATCTGCACAATGGCAGAACCGATGACATGTGTCAACCAAGTCAGCGAGCCTGGCCACCCGATCACGTTAGACGCCTCTTACGACAAGCATGGGTTACTGAAGGAGCATTCACGGGTCCAAACTATTTTGGACCGTGCTTTAGCGAGGAACATGAGGCGCTGGCAACCCTGCATATGGGTACGATATCCGTGATGTTTAAGCAACAGGCTCACAATGCCTGTGATTCGTAAATCCCAAAGAAAACACGTTTCAAAATATTCTCATTTCTAATGGAAAATATTCCCAAAGCGTCAGGTGTTTATTTTCTTTTGTAAGTCAGGTTATGGTCTTCTTTATAGTGAGTGAGTATGGTTTTACGCCGCTTTTAGCAATATTCCAGCAATATCACGGCGGGGGGACACTAGCAATAAGCTTCACACATTGTACCCATGTTGGGAATCGAGCCCAGATCATAGGCGTGACGATCGAACGCTCTAACCACTAGGCTACCCCGCCGCCCTTCTTCTTTATAAAAGCCGTATATTTTCTGTTCTGTCTCAAACAAGGCATACCCGAATGACGTCGTTATTAAGGCGTGGTTCCCCATTGGGGAGGCCTCGCCTTGCCCCTCCCCCTGGGCGCTCCCGCATGGTGGCTAGCACGTCAGTGAAGCTGGTCCACATCTTCCACACAGCAGCCATTGCCGCGATCTCTAGTATCCCCATCAACAAGATGAGGAAAATCCATTCTGGAACAGAATGTACACTTTTACAGTGAGTGAGCGAGTTTAGTTTTACGCCGCTTGTATCAGTATCCCAGTAATATCAAGGCGGCGGACACCAAAAATGGGCTTCACACATTGTACCAATGTGAGGAATCGAACCCGGGTCTTCAGCGTGACGAGTGGACGCTTTAACCACTAGGCTACCCCACCGCCGAGGTACCCGACAGCCCCCCATCGCGTTTTAAGCCAATAAGGATGGGGAACGCGAAGTGATGAAGGTCTGACACGTTTACCATTCCTTGAAACAGGCACTGCTAAAAAAACGAGAAGCACAATCAAAGCCAAGATCACAGGTTTCTGGTACATCTAAGGGACATAACTCTGTATAACCGTAAAACAGCTGGACCTTTAGAATGGACCACAAAATAAGAACTCTCGATTCTTAATTTTACTCAAGTTATTCTTTTCAGGACGTGCACCATAGCTTGCGAAGATTTAAAACATATACATGTATGTACCTACCCTTAGACAAAAACTTGTTGGTGAGTTCTTCCATGCGACCGTCGAGGATGTAGCTTTTCAGTTCAACGTTGGAGTAGTTGCTGTACATGTCATCACGCATAATCGTGATGTTGGCCTCTAACCACTTAATCTTTTCATTGTCTGCGACATTCTGCTTCAAGCACTGGTCCAGTGTCGTGGTCATTGTGTTCACCTGCTGATGCAGTGTGGTAGATGACGAGGTGTAGTCGTTGCTGTTCCTGACGTTCACAAAGGCGGGGGCAAAATACAGGGTGCCGAGTGTTCCCAAAATGCCGCCTGCTAATCCTCTAAAAAAACAAGTGTTGATTGAAGAAGTCGGTGTCATTACGCCTCTTTAACAGGATTATATTAACATCAAGGTGTCTTGAGTTATTGAGTGAATGAATGAGTGCTTGAATGAGTGAGTTTAATTTTACGCCGCTTTTAGCAATATTCCAGCAACATCACGGCAGGGGACACCAGAAATGAGCTCAACACGTTGTACCCAAATGAAGAATCGAACCAGGTCTTCGGCATCTTTGCGTGAGTGAGTGGTGAGTATATTTTAACGCCTCTTTTAGCAATATACCAGCAATATCACGGCGGGGGATACCAGAAATGGGCTTCACACATTGTACCCATGTGGGGAATCGAACCCGGGTCTTCAGCGTGACGACCGAACGCTTTAACCACTAGGCTTCCCCACCGCCCGAGGAAAACCCGAAGCCACACACCATTGAGAATCAAAGACATCAGGGAGTGTGGGGTTCGAACCACTGTCAAAATAGCCTTGATTGATTGATTGAGTTTTTATGCCATCTTTAGCAATATTCCAGCATTATCACACCACAAATTGTGAACATATATATTTTTTGTGTACATCTGTGGACCGGTGAAGGTCCGGGTTAGAATTGATCTTCAGCAACCCATGATAGTTGTAAAAGACGGATCGGGTTAGCTGATCTGGTTGACACGCAGCATCGTATCCCAGTTGTATAGTTCGACGCTCATGCTGTTAATCACTGGAGTATCTGGTCCAGACCATTATTTGGAGGACGTCGTAATATAGCCGGAATATTGCTGAGTGCGGCGTAAAACAACAAACCAACTTAGCAAAATTTTACAATGTTAGTATAAGAGTAGGACATGCATGCATACATACATGCATGCATGCATGCATGCATACATACATACACACACACACACACATTCCCATCCTTACGAGGTACCCATTCTCAGCTGGGTGGACTGGGACACATAGTCACAGTACTTTGTCCAAGCTTACTGCACGTTGCTGTACCCGCAACTGGGTGTTTGCACGTATTCATGTGGCCACCATCTGGTCATATACCAACGGATTCGTGGGTTCTTCTAAGTGCACAGGGTTGTGTACTGTACACTAGGGGTTGTGGCAACACTGAAAGAGTCTGCACACATAGTTGACTTCAAGGTTTTTACACCCGGTCACAGGTGGGCTCGATCCCGTCACCTCAAGCTCGCTGGATCACTAGCCTGGCGCTTTAGCCAGCTCGCCCACCGCGCCCCCACCGATTCCCCCGGAGCCAGGGGAGGTCACTCTATTTTGACTGTCAGCCAGACAACACAACATAGGATCCCTGAAATTTCACGACGTTGTACCAAATCATTTATTCATGTATTTGTCCAAAATATGATCATCACTCACACGCATAAAAATGCATATTTCAGACATTCCAAATTTCTTCAAAACTGTTGACCCATACTACGATATTAAATATATTTTCTTATCAAAGCCTTTACAATCTAGATCCACAACGAAAAGTTGGTCTGTTCGTTTGTCTTGTAAACCAGAGATAAAACTATAGCAATGTCAGCAAATAGTGACAAGGAAATTTGCCCAAACAGGGCACCGTTCGACAAAGCGATCGTAGCGCTAAGGTGATCGTAACTCCCATACTTTAACATAGACTTACGACAGTCGTAGCGCTGCAATCGCTTTGAGGAACGGGGCCCTGGATGACATTTACACAGGTTTCACAGTGACACATGTGCCACGAAAATTCATTTGTAAGAAATGAAAATAGAAAGGGGTTGATATACAGCCTTGCCAAGCACCAAGTCCCATCTGTAATGTTTCAAATAATTCTCTCTTGATTCTTAACAACTGCCAATATGTTACTCCACATTTAAGCTATAATATACGTAAGACTTTTTGGAATAACTTACTTCTCATTTAATGAATCAAAAACATGTAAAACCGACAAACAATTTCTAAACTAAATCTTTGCGTGAGTGAGTGGTGAGTTTAGTTTTACACCTCTTTTAGCAATATACCAGCAATATCATGGCGGGGGATACCAGAAATGGGCTTCACACATTGTACCCATGTGGGGAATCGAACCCGGGTCTTCAGCGTGACGACCGAACGCTGTAACCACTGGGCTACCCCGCCGCCCCTCTTTGAATGGGAGAAGCCAGAAGAAGAAGTTAAGCAGCACATATATCGAAGAAAATGTGTTATCTATCTGTCGTATCTGTCTCGTCAAAGAAATACAGTTTACGCACTGGACGAGACATTACGGGAATATGTGAGGAAACAAATTCTGTCTAAGGCCATGATGTTTGTTAAGCAGAGTAACGTCCCTTGGACACCATGACCGTTGGTTCGAATCCTATACTCGCCCTGGTTATGATCACTGTCAGCACTGCAGGTTCACGTACTTGGTTTACCAAGGCAATATGTGTCAACCCTACTGTCCTAAACATTTAGAGTGAGTGAATATGGTTTACTTTAGCCTTTAGCTATAATTCTGCAATATCCAAGATAGCATTCGGACGTTGGCCCAACGTTGGCAATGTGGGCAAAACCATTGCCAACGTTGGGCCAACGTCTGAATGCTATCTGGGATCGCGGCGGGGGCACCAGAAATGGGCTTCACACATTGTACCCATAATGGGACTCCAACCCGGGTCTTCGGTGTGACGAGCGAACGCTTTACCAACTAGACTACCCCGCTGTAAAAGATGTAAAAAGGATTACAACGAGACTAGATACTTACGTGGCTGTAGACATTGCACATATGAAAAATAAGGGATCCTGTAAAACACGTTGGAACTTTGGCTGGTGGTTAGCTTGTAGCGCGTCAGTTCCGGGGATATCAGCCGCAGGATCTCTCTTGGTCACTGTAGTCTCTCTGTCAGGCGGTGCCCAATCTGGCTTTGCGTGTGTTTGTGATCCCTTAGTGCCGGGGGTATCTGCTGAAGTTTCTCTGTTGGTCACTGTGGTCTCTCTGTCAAGCGTTGTCGAATCTTGCTCTGCCTGTATTTGTGATCCCTTGCCTCCGTGTGTATGTGCCACAGGATCGCCGTTGGTCACTGTGGTCTCTCTGTCAAGCGTTGTCGTATCTTGCTCTGCGTGTATTTGTGATCCCTTGCCTCCGTGTGTCTGTGCCACAGGAGGCCGTGCCGGATCTGGCTTTGCGTGTGTTACTGACCCTTCAGTAATGGAAGGCTCTGCGCCAGAGGACGCGTTTGCTTCTGTCCTCTCCTCACAGATACACTTGCTCGTCGTTTTGTCTTCTCGTAACCCTGTCTCTTTCAAATCGGCCGTTGCGTTACCGCCCGATGTATATTTATGCCCGACAACGTTTGTCTCCCTTTCATTTCCAGCCAGACCTCCAGTTAGGGTTGATTCATGTCCCGAACTTACTTCGCCTGTCATCAGTGACGAGTTGTCCTGGTCCCTAGACGCCATTCAAGCGTGGAATAGACGTGGTTGTAAGAGCTGGCGACAAGTCGTCATTCGGAGTGCACTTCATATGCTGATAGTTGTTATTCACTCTGTTTAACATGAATATTGTTCCACCCAGGCAATGACCAATGTCCAACCACCTGCTTCTCGCCCTCTCCAAGTGACATGGACTGCTCACGGAACTATTTCGCCTTCTCCCTGAAGAAATATATACGTAATGCTTGATCGGGTCCACTTCAATACATCCCCGCTCAGTCGTTAGTTAGATTTCCAGGGCGAGAGGACAATGTATTTGTGTCTCCACGTTCTGTTTACTCACTGCGCAATAACATAAACCAGTCTCAAAGGTCAACCTGACCTAAACATCGCTTCCAAGAAACAAACGACACGCCTGCTGTAGAGGCAGTCTGGGATCCTGGGGATTCCCCGAAATCCGCCTCACATATCAATCCCAACGCGTAAATAAATAGTCCTTAATGCATCGTATCTCTTTGTTGTTAACATGCGATTTTAACCAACAGCATACCGCTTGCATATAAAATGAGTGTCATACGTTACAATATCATGCTGACATGATGAACATATATTGTTGAATCCGTATCGATCGAACGAACTGTTGTCGGCAACCGTGGCGGAGGAATATGTTGTTAAAAATAACCACACGTAAAGTTGAGCTCGGCGTAAGGATAAGAGGGCCTCGCCACAACAACACGACATATTTGTCTCGGAGGGGCTGAGAAGGCTGGACTTGAGGTAGGTGTAAGCAGATTTATGTATTGTACACATTCTACACATACTGACATGATTTCATAGGGCTGTAGCGTGTATTATAACATGCCAGTCTCAATTTCTTGGCCTGAATATGTTAACAAGTCACAGCCAGGAATGCGATTGAGCATGACAGTCTTCAGACTGTGACAGGGTGACCCTTGATACAACAGTTTTGTGTTTCAGTCTGAGCGAGCAAGTATGGTTTTGCGCCGCTTTTAGCAATACTCCAGCAATATCACGGCCGGCGACACCAGAAATGGGCTTCACACATTATTTATTTATTTATTTATTCTCATTCATTTATTTATTTATTTATTTATTTATTTATTTATCTATTCATTCATTCATTCATTCATTCATTCTCATTCATTCATTCATTCATTCATTTATTTATTTATTTATTAGCACAGTCTGACACATTATTACCAGTTCCACAGAAATGAGGTATAGTGGTTAAAACGTTCGTTCGTCACTCCGAAGACCCGGGTTCGATTCTCCACATGTGGACAATGCGTGAAGCCCATTTCCGGTGTCCCCCCGCCGTGACATTGTTGGAATATTGCTAAAAGCAGCGTAGAACTTAACTCACTCACTCAAATGATGATAATAACACTCGTGACAATGCCAATGACGATGACGAATCGGAACCTCGAAAACAACAACCTTTGTTTTTAATGTGGACCCAAATAATCTGAACATCATGGGGCTGAAATATATATTTTTGCTGAAATGTTAGCGATTTGAGTCACTGAATGCTTTTCGCGGTTGTCAAGTAGACCATAAACGTAGCATCATTTTAGGTTTAGTCTTTAGTTCACAACCCTTTCGTTAGCCCCCCGAGGCCATTGTAACCATAGCGACCGGGAATAGTTGAGCTTAGTCAAGGTTCATAAATAGTTTAGCTGAACAGACTGTATATGAAGGACCGTCGGAATATGTGTATATTTCAAAATAATCGTTTTCTTCACTTAGCTGCGTTGTTTTGAACCTGGTCGGAAGTATGTGACGTCACTACTATTGTGAGGTGAGGTGAAATTGGGTTTTACGTCGTGCTTGAGAATATTTCGCTCATATGACGACGTGCATGCGTGTGTATGTGTATGTGCGGCTGCTTGCACTAGCCCAGACTTAAGCTGATTTTATAGTGCTAGCCCACTGAGATACCATGCCGCAGTGAAGCATGAATACCCCACTCAGACACATTATACTGACTCCGAACCGACCAGTCCTTGTTGTACCCATTAATGCGCCAAGCAGGGACCAACAAGTACCATATTTTAACGTCTTTTGGTATGACGCGGTCGGGGATCGAACCCGCGACCTTCCGCTCTCCGGGCAGACGCTCTAACCACTACGATTCCCGACAGGGGTACAATGTTTGAAACCCATTTCTGGTGTTCCCCGCCGTGGTATTGTTGGAAAACAGCTAAAAGCGGCGTAACAAGACTTCACTCACTCATGTAATATTTCTGCCTGGCTAGACTATAAAATTCCGAAACAGACTATAACCCAATACCCTATTGTATAGGAGATTTGCCACGTCAGATCATGAGTGATGTCTACATCTGGACAGTAGAGACTGTCTGAATGACATATATCGTCTCGCACCTCGAGCTCAGTGTCGCAGTTAATGCAGCTGCGATCATGGTAAACACTGAAAGCCTTACTATTGGCTAATCCGTGATTTCCGAGAAAGGTCTGGTCACATGATATGCAAATCAATCCATGGCAGTGATACAGAGTAAAATCATCACTGTGACGTAATGTGTAGTAATATCTAGTTCGGGATGTACATTAGAGTGAGTGAGTTTAGTTTTACGCCGCTTCCAGTAATATTCGTGCAATATCCCTAGGTATGAGGGACACCAGAAATGGGCTTCACGCATTGCACTCATGTGGGGAATCGAACCCGGGTATTCGGCGTGACGAGCGAACTCTTTAACCACTAGACTACCCCCAGCGCCCTCTGTACATAAAAACAACTTTTTAATAAACAGTGCTATCTTCAACAAGCGAGTAGTAAATGTTATCTGGCAAACGAACGTAATCACAATGAATTCACAGTCTGGAGATTCTCACCGTAAAGCTGAAAGTCATTCGAGATATGTTGACACTGTTTTCTACGTATATTACTCAGACTACACACATATAGGTTTGGATTTACGCCAGAAGTTCCCGTTCCTGTTCGGTTTACTGAAACTCGCTGCGTAGTTTGTTTTCTAAGGTTTAATAATAATACATTTGTTACGACACTCTGTTGATTTAGCACTCCATTATTGCTAAAGTAATGTAGAGTATTTATTATAATTCTTTTTCTCGCCATTTGTTTACATTGCTTTAACCATAATTATATTTTTCACCAAACATTGCCACGCGGTTAAGGCATACTAGTCAAGGCTATCTATAGTATACTAATGATAAAGACCGCCTCCGTGGTGTAGTGGTTAGAGCGTCCGCCCGGAGAGTGGAAGATCGCGGGTTCGATCCTTGACCGCGTCATACCTAAAAGACGTTAAAATATGGTACTTGTTTGTCCCTGCCTGGCGCTCGGCATTAATGCGTACAACAAGGACTGGTCGGCTCGGAGTCGGTATTTATGCTTCATGGTATCTCAGTGGGCTAGCACTATAAAACCAGCTTAAGTCTAGGCTAGTACAAGCAGCCGCACATGCACATACACATGCATGCACGTCGTCATATGAGCGAAATATTCTCAAGCACGACGTAAAACCCAATTTCACCTCACCTCACCTCACCTCACTAATGATAAAGTCTTTATCTTTCCAGTTACCATTGTCCTTACTTTCAATTGAGTATCAGATTCACTTTTAACAACATTAAATATAGGTTCAATCTTAATTACATCTAATTTACATAGAATTTAGCTATAGTGAAGCCACAGTTGACAGGATTTGGTTCAAGTACCTGATTACTCAAAACACAAACCGAAAAATGCCAAACATGCTCCTGGTGTTTATAATTGTTTGTTTGTTTGTTTATTAAGATCACACTCAGCAATATTCCATAGATATAGGTCGTTTAGCCCAAGTTGTTTACAATTCTCGTCCTATGGGGGCGGTGGGGTAGCCTAGTGGTTAAAGCGTTGGCTCGTCACGCCGAAGACCCGGGTTCGAATCCCCACATGGGTACAATGTGTGAAGCCCATTTCTGGTGTCCCCCGCCGTGATGTTGCTGGAATATTGCTAAAAGCGGCGTAAAACTAAACTCAGTCAGTCTCGTCCTATGACGTGTGACGAGTGAATTGGTTTTACGCCCCATTTACAATAACCTAACAATATCACGGCGGGGCACACCAGAAATTGGATTCACACATTGAACCCATGTGGGAAATCGAACCGGGCCATTGGCATGACGAGCGAACGCTTTAACCACTAGGCTACCCTACTGCCCCCTCGACCTAACAATACGCCCAAAATGTAAAACCTGAAAAACAGTGTCATGTATATCTACGCTTTTTTTAACCTTGTTATGATTTTTCCCTTGTCGATGATATTTTGTTATGTAGTGTAAATAATACTATATATAGGTAAATGCAAATCATTATTTGAACCCGTATCGAAATAAGTAAATTACATAAAATAAATGAAGACAAAATTATTGTTTCAAAAGACAGTGACGTGAATGAAGGACGTACAATAAGTGTAGCAGGAACTTTCAATGTATATTTCAGAATTCCAAATGGATGACATTGATCGCGAATCCTTCTCCGTCTTGAGCCAAGACTCGGACGCCGAGACGGACATCCAGGAAGGGGACTGGACGCCAGACTTCCAGAAAAACCAGAAGAGATTGAGCCTCATCAGGAGGATACGGAAACATTGTGGAAAGGATGACGGCATCACCAAGCCTCTCAATGTTGTAGTTATAGGTCAGTATTGATTTTGGCGGTGGGGTAGCTCAGTGGTTACAGCGTTCGCTTGTCACGCCAAAGTCCGGGTTGGATTCCACACATGGGTACAATGTGTGAAACCTATTTCTGGTGTCACCCGCCATGATATTGCTCGAATTTTGCCAACGTCGGCGTAAAACTATACTCACCAAATCTGTATTGATATAAATCCTGTCCTTCATGACAAGAAACGCGGAGTTGTAGAGTCGCTTCCCTTAGACGTTACAGAATCCTAGATCCAATTCTTTGGGTAATACTCCATTGCTTCCTTTATGGGAAGTCGATGGGTAGCCCGGTGGTTAAGGCGTTCGTTCTTCACGCCGAATACCCGGGTTCGATTCCCCACGTGGATACAATGTGTGAAACCAACTTCTGGTGTCGATTGCTGTGATGTTGTTGGAATAAAAGCGGCCTAAAACCTAACACACTCACTCCGTTTGTGTACACGAAGTGACCTAACACTTAACACTATATAACCCAACTCACAACCCGTGAAGGTCCGGGTTAGAACTGGTCTTCATCAACCCATGCTTGTCGTAAGAGGCGACTAACGGGTGGTTAGGCTCGCTGGCCTGGATGACACATGTCATCGTATCCCAATTGCGTAGATCAATGCTCATGCTGTTGATCACTGGGTTGTTTGGTCAAGACTCGATTATTTACAATCCGCCGCCATGTAGCTGGAATATTGCTGAGTGCAGCCACAACAACAACAAAACCAAACTCACTTACTCACTCACTTTGTGTCTCTTTCTCCAGGGCCTGCTGGAGTTGGCAAGTCGGCGTTCATCAACACCGTCGGAGCAGCGTTTGATGGTGTCTGCTGGCGGGAACACAGCTACTCAGGGTCCCACGACAAAGCAGGAGATCAGATCACGGTATTCACTACAAGGTAGGATGCATGGTGAAGCCTCTTGAACTCGAGTGAGTTTACGTCGCTTTTAATAAAAACCCATCAAATTCACGGCGGGGAACCAGTAAATATATAGGTTTACACGTTGTACCTTTGTAGGAAGTCGTACTGAGTCTTCAGCAACTAGAACTCGAAGCACATAAGTCGAATTATCCGAAGCATCACAGCTGCCATTGTTGGGCCACACTGTCAAAAATAAACCTACGGGTATTTTAAAGCTCGAGTGAAGAGGTTTGCCCCCTTTTGCCCGCCAGGGTTCAATGATAGTTGGTCAAAAGCCTAGATTCCCTAATTACACGCCACTATTGCATGGCTTTGTTGATACTTCGTCGTTCGTCGCAGTCACTGCAGAAACGGTGCCATTTTAAACCTGACATAGTGCCTAGGAGATAGTTTCTCTTGGCGCAAAGATAAGAAATTGGGTGGTTCTCACAAACACGTGCACAGAAGGCCCATTGGACACCTGTTATTGTTTCACTCCATTTCATTATCTGAGGGGTCGTTAGGGTAGTCCAGTTCGATCGTCATGCCAAAGACCCGGGTTCGATTCCCGAATTGGGTACAATGTGTGAAACCTATTTCTGGTGTCCCGCAGCGTCATGTTGATGGTATATTGCTAAAAGCGGTGTAAAACAATACCCACTCACTATAGTCTACATTACTGAAGATCAATTCTAACCCGGGTTTCATGGGTTGTGAATATTCCAGTCATAGTGTTAACCCGGACTTTCACGGGTGGATTAAGCATTAATGGTTTCCATAAAATTGCTCTGACACGTGTGTCATATCTACCAAACTCGAATAAACATTTACATATTACCTGGGAAATGTTCGAATCCTAAAACTAATAATGTCGATGTCAAACTTCCTTGGCATGGTAACGTGAAACGTGTTTCGTTTGCTAGCTATGAAAAGTGCTGCAATGCCCAAAAGTACCCGGATGATCTGTTGCCAACACTCATCGATGTCGCTGGATTCCACGACGAGGCGAGTGATAAGTTTGTGGAACTACTTCGCATTGTGTTCTACGGTCGACTTCCGGTGGGCGAATCACTAGCGGAAGCGGAGAGGTACTACAACGACTGTGGATTGGAGGGACTCCGGTCAAAATACAACCAAAACAATGAGAAGCTGAAGGTTGACCGGGTCATCTTCCTGTCCTCAGCCACCCAGGACTTCCCAGAGAACCTCATCTCGTGTGTGATTCAGGCAGCCAGACCGTCGGGCATCTATGACAAGAAAAGAAGTGAGCAGTAGTTTTAAAAGGGATCCAGGCAGAATTGGTCACAGTACGTCATTGATGGTAGTACGATTAGTTTGTTGTTTAACGCCGCACTCAGCAATATTCCAGCTATATGGCGGCGGTCTGTAAATAATCGAGTCTGGACCAGACAATCCAGTGATCAACAGCAGGAGCATCGGTCTACGCCGATACGTTGACATTTGTCATTCAAGTCAGCGAGCCTTACCACCCGGTCCCGTTAGTCGTCTCTTACGATCAGAATGGGTTACTGAAGATAAATTCTAACCCGGATCTTCACGGGTATCACGGTAAAGACTTGCTTCACTTACTCAATGCTCCAGATTTGCCTTAATTGTGTTTCAAGGGACCTTTGGGGGAATATGTTTCAGTATCATACCAATAAATAAGTTTCGAGAAGGCGGCTAATAGCAAATGCCTTCATCACTTCGACTGTCATCCCAAATGGAGCACTGAATGAGTGAATATGGTTTTACGCACATTTAGCAATATTCCGGCAACACAACGGAGGGGAGATAAAAAAAAGGGCCTCCCACGTGGGAAATCGAACCCGGGTCTTCGGCGTCACGACCAAACGCTTTAACCACTAGGCAACCCCACCGTCCCCGAATGGAGAAGATACTCCATGATATGATTAAAATACTCTGATATTGAAACAACATCTCTCATTCACTAATCAATACGACATTTTTTCTTTCAGCAATTCCTTTGTTCGGCGTCATGACGAAATATGACAAGGTGATCCCACAGGAAGAGTTTAAAAAACTGGAGGGAAAATCTGCCAATATTGACGTCATCGGGCACGAAGACTATGCCGAGCGAGAGAGTAAGTTCATCAAGGCATTGGGTCTTGGGGGATCCAAACACCGGTTCCTCCGCTGCTCTAACTACTGCGATGACACAGACAAAGACAACACGCGCATAGAGACCGTCATCCCTGACCTTGACCTTCCCGTGCTGAAATTCTTCACCCAGGTCAGTGACCCAGTGATGCAAGTGCTGAACAAGGGTGAGACCTACTCTCAAGGAATCGCACCTGAAACAATTCCAGTACAGGAAGCTGCGACCCCGACGCAAACGCCCGCACAGAAAGGCGGGACTGAAGTCAAAGGGAGCAAAATGGGCATCGTTGAAAATTTTGGAGAGACTGGTGTTTCGGTTCTGTTGATAACAATCGAGGCGATCTTTGTGGCGTTTTTCCTGTCCCTCCTTTTGAAGCCGCAGGTGGACGTCAACAAGGTGAAGGTCGCTTGTCAGTTTATGTCTGACCGGAAGACACCCCACGCCCAGGCCGGGATGACCGACATATGCAAGGCCGTGAGCGACTCGGATGTCTGGGCTGGTTTCACGTTCTATCTTGCACTTTTGATACTGATTGTCATAAGAGTAGCGTCGACGCTTTTCACCATAAATATCTTTAGACGAAACTGATAGCTTGGGATTCTTTCACGTCACGGACATGGCTCAATGTATTAAATAACATAAACGTCATAATCAAATTTAACGTCTTTCATTATACATTGGTATTTCTGGAAGAGTGAGTGAATGTGTATGGTTTTAAGCCGCATTAGCAACAGGAACGCTGTAGCACCATGGGGCAAACCTGAAATTGATGTCCCACGTAGGAAATTGAACTCAGACCAGCGAGCGAACGCTAAACCCATAAGGCTACGCCGTATACTAGTATACGAGTGTATACCAGAACAATGGTTAGGATGTCACAAGTAAATACAATGTGGCTTTTCTTCAGCAAAGAAGAAATAGAATGACACCAAGAAATATCCGCGACCGATTCAAACGGTGGATGGCGGCATCTTCCGTGGATCAGTGTGGATCATAAGGACATCAATATGTAGACAACCAGCTTTTAAAATTACTTCTGGTCATTGGGGTAGCCTGGTGGTTAAAGCGTTCGCCCGTCACGCCGAGGACCCGGGTTCGATTGCCCACATGGGTACAATGTTTGAAGCCCATTTCTGGTGTCCCCCGACGTGATATTGCTGGAATATTGCTACAAGCGGCGTACAATTAAACTCACTCACTCACTGCTTTCAATCCATGTTGAGTATTGTGTTACAGCCTGAACTTAAAGCATTCAGTATAAGTATTGTTTTTTGGTATGCTGTAGACCTCTATTGTATTTTTACTATACTTCCGTTATTATTTTATGACACTTCTACATGACATGATTGTATTATTTCTGGTTTACTCCCACTGTGCCAACTTTTGCAAATGGGCAGTGTTAAAACAAGAGGGATTAGGGTATAGTCTGTATCAGGATAGTGGGCACTGGATATATAGTATAGCCTACTTAACTCTTCAGTCATAAACTACATGCTAAAAGACTTACTTAATTTATAAACTCGTATGTAACTGGCATTAACATAAAGACGTAAGTGTAATGAGTTTGAAATAATAATTTATTAACATACAAGTGATAAGCATCTTATGAAACATTGGTATGAGTAACATCAATAACATCACCAACTTATATGTCCCATCACAATACAGGGTGTCTGCAGCAGCTTGATGGCGGAGGTTGTCTGGTGTGGAAAATAGCATGAAGTTCTTGTCAGGTGCTGAATGCAGGAAGTTAATTAGCCATGATGATGAAAGATGAAGTGGGGGGTTCGTTTTATCATATAAATACATGACTGGGACATTAATTAGTGTTCACCAATTTGTTCTGAATGTGCTCACCAATGTTTTCAGACTTGTGGTCATGGTGTCACCAGACTTGAAACAGACTATAACTAATTCCGCTGTTGTTCTACGGGTGACTGCATTTTGTTGTTTTAAGATAAGTGGGCACAGTGGGTGTACACCTTATTTCTTCAGTTTATATTGTCCAGTTCACACCTACTATATATACGTGCGCAATAAATTATGTGAACAGTGAACCCTCACTAATCTAGACAAGTCATTCCCAAGTGAAATCTCCCAGAGATATGAAAGGCCGGAGTAACTTGTGTAATATAGTTTGTATGCAGGCGTTTTTAACAGCAATCGCTCTGAATGTGTCCAGAATAATGAGGTTGTTAACTGTAAAGGCTTCGTGTACAGCAATCGATATTATCATGTGTCATTAAATCTTCAGTAGTCTGAATAAAGAACAGTGAATGCATCTTTCGAATAATTTATTTATTCAGCACAGATCCGGTTGTTGAAACGTCATGTCCTTTGAGATAATCTCCTATAGTTTGGCATGAAATGCATGTGGACCCGGTCTTTTGTAAATATCTCTTCATCCAATCGATCTCAAACTGTGCAAGTGGATGTTTTGTCAGACAACCTAATCACATTGTAAATCACCGATTTTATGCATTTGTATTAAAGAATCTGTCTATGTAACTGCCATCAAAATAAACAGCAGAACGCAGAAGGCTTGCAGAGGGAGGGAGCCAATGACCTGTAACAGCGGCAGTGTTGGGTCATAAAGGTCAACGTTCGTCAATGTAGGTCAGCTATGCTGATGACCCTGATGTCAAAAGAATTTAACTTTGGATGCCTACCTTTTTGTACAAGGTTTTGTTTATTGGTTGTTGGTTTATTTTTCACAATTGTTAGCACGATGTTCTTTTTCATGCCAAGAGCAAAGGTTGTACGTTTAACACATTGCTAATTAAACGTTTAGCGTCATCTGAATAAGCTTTCATGATGACAGCTAGAAGTAGTCAATGTGAATGATCCAAACGGTCTATCACTGTGCAGTGCACAGGTAGCTATCATGAACTGCACGTGCATTTACCTTTATGACCCAACACTACCGCTGTTACAGGTCATTGGCTCCCTCCCTCTGCAAGCCTTCTGCGTTCTGCTGTTTATTTTGTTGACAGTTACATAGACAGATTCTTTAATACAAATGCATAAAATCGGTGATTTACAATGTGATTAGGTTTTCTGACAAAACATCCACTTGCACAGTTTGAGATCGATCGGGTCACTGGATGAAGAGATATTTACAAAAAACCGGGTCCACATGCATTTCATGCCAAACTATACATATCATTCACGTGTATCTCAAGGTTGGGTGGTTGATTTGTTGTTTTACGCCGCACTCAGCAATATTTCTGAAATATGGCGGTGGTCTGTAAATAATCGAGTCTGGACCAGACAATCCAGTGATCAATATCATGAGCATCGATCTACGCAATTGAGATACAATGACACGTGTCAACCAAGTCAGCGAGCCTGACCACCCGTTAGTCGCCTCTTTCGGCAAGCATGGGTTACTGAAGGTCAATTATAACCCGCTTAACAAGGGACCCGATTATCAAGGGTAAATTTTAAATTCTACATCCCAGACAAATAGCCTGGATCCATTCGCCTACCATTTTTATGAAAGAATCTAATTATACAACGAATTCACTTAACATCTACTGGACTCTCGAGGTCTCTTTCTGATAAGAATAGAATAAAACTCGAACCCGGAACTAAATGAAACTGTAAAGACACCTGGTGTCCCCGAATCTGTTGAAGACTGCACGTTCGACTGGTTACATTACCTTCAAGCATCGGATCTATGGTCCTTTCTGTGAGTGAGGGGATTGGGTTCAAGGCCGCTCTAAACAATGTTTCACTACGTAACGCAATAAGCGACCTTCTCATAACTTGACGAAGAAAGTTCGATCGTAGGTCATAGAGAAAGGGAAAGTATTAGGCTGAATCCACGAGTATGACATGGTACTGTCGTGCTTGACAAAGCCGTCATTGTTGTTGACATGGTATTGAAATGCTTGACAATAACGCAGTGTTGACAGTATTGTCAAGCAGCACAATGACGTCATTGTTGCTGGCATGGTATTGAAATGCTTGACAATAACGCAGTGTTGACAGTATTGTCATGCAGCACAATGACGTCACTGTTCTTGACATAGTATTGTCATACTTGACAATGGCGTCACTGTTCTTGACATAGTATTGTCATACCTGACAATGGCGTCACTGTTCTTGACATAGTATTGTCATACTTGACAATGGCGTCACTGTTCTTGACACAGTATTGTCATACTTGACAATGGCGTCACTGTTCTTGACATAGTATTGTCATACCTGACAATGGCGTCACTGTTCTTGACATAGTACTAGTATTGTCATACTTGACAATGGCGTCATTGTTGACATAATATTGTCATGCAGGACACTGACGTTAGAGTTGACATGACAATGACGTCGGCAGTTGACATGCTACAGTCACGCAGATCAATGACGTCAGTGTAGTGATGGCATACAGTTGTATAGGCATGCTGGTGACGGGCGGTTATGGATAATGCAATAACTGGACATGGTTTACAAATAGTGCTAGAACCAAAGCCTCCATCGTATATATCGTGCCCTCGATTTGACATAAGGTCAGCTGAACTATTGACCTTGGAGACTGTTGATAAGCTACACAACGGTCAATGATTAGGAAAAACTGCCAGGGGCGGGGTTATGTCCAGTCTCACACTCCATGAACCACATTCTTTTCCCTACTGCCTGCCCTCCACAAATAAAGCAAGTCCAAATTTCCCAAGGTTCAGTGTCTGTTATCTGCAAGAAAACTAACTCGCTTTAGGGGTCGAGTTATATAGTAAACATATGTAACTGCCATGGCTGAAATTCCCATCTCACTGGGCTCCTTATCAATTGAAATGGGTTTATTTGTTTCTATCAAAATTATACCACACGTTAGTCTATGTCCAGTCAACAAATAACAGATATGAACCACGTGTTAAAACTTCAGAGGCGCGGGGTCATTTAGCGTGACAAACATTTATCTTTCCTCCGTCCAGACATTTATGCTATCTCGAGTGAGATGTCTGCCACAAGCATGATATATTATCTACCATTTCATAACACCAGTCTCGGACATTTCAGTTACTGATCCCTTGTGTTGGTGGTCAGGCTCGCTGACTTGGTTGACACATGTCATCGTATCCCTATTGCGTAGATCGATGTTATGCTGTTGATCACTGGATTGCCTGGTCCAGACTCGATTATTTACAGATTGCTGTCATATAGCAAACTAAACTCACTCAAAGTTGTGGATCTCAGTGGACATGGTCCATGGTGTAGTGGGTAGAGCGTCCGCCCTGAGAGCGGATGGTCGCGGGTTCGATCCCCGACCGCGTCATACCAGAAGACGTTAAAATATGGCACTTGTTGGTCCCTGCCTGGAGCTCGGCATTAATGGGTACAACAAGGACTGGTCGGTTCGGAGTCAGTATAATGTGTCTGAGTGGGGTATTCATGCTTCACTGCGGAATGGTATCTCAGTGGGCTAGCACTATAAAACCAGCTTCAGTCTGGGCTAGTACAAGCAGCCGCACATACACATTCAGACGCATGCACGTCGTCATGTGAGCGAGATATTCTCAAGTACGAAGTTAAACCCAATTTCACCTCACCTCACCTCACCTGAGTGGACATGGCCTCAACTCCACAGTTACTTCAACTGGTAGATTCACAAACACCCATGGACATGTCAAACATTTTCTGTATAATAATGCATCTTCATTATCAGAAACAGATTTCACCATTTTCTGATTGCAACTATCTTCATATGGCCTGCCAGAGTACAACCGTGTTTGGATGTCAAAGGTGTTGCCAGTCGTAATGTTGGCTGATTTGGGGATGGTTAGATCGGACATTTGTTATTCCTGCAAGGATTATCGGTTCCTTACTGTCAACTGACAACCATGAGTCCATTCGAAAAGGTATGAAACGTTGTTTGTCACCGGAAGTACTAACGTGAAGTGCCGTGACCTACTTACCCGCCCTGGTAAGAGTTCCGCCCGTAAGCCCCGAGATTTTTTTTAGCATTCTATGCCTAAGATTTATAATAAGAATACTAAGAAGCCCACCCTAACCCTAAACCTAACATAATGCTAAATCTAAACGATAAACCTAAACCCTAACCCCTTGAAATAATCATAATAAATAGAATACATTTCAAGCGGGGGTTACGGTTACGGGCGGAAATCTTTCCCAGGCCCTATTGTCTTCTTATTGTTGAAAAAGAAAACGATCTTGCTTCCCGCCCCGGCTTATTATCATACAAATTCATCTATTGAAAGTTCACCCGTGTAAAACACATATCCAATGGGGTCTGTAAGTCTCGCGAGGCGATACTCCCGGTACCCTTTGTGCGCACCAACTTGCGATATGCGAGATGAGCCCCAGCTTTCTTCCGGTATCAGAGTTCCGGCGACAAGCGTATACTTAAGAACCAGGGCCTAGATTTTCAAAGCTCTCTTAGCGTTAAGATAGTCGTAAGTGTAATACGTTAACATTACGACTATCTTAGCGCTAAGAGAGCTTCGAAAATCTAGGCCCAGTTCTGGTTCGAAATCGCGCGACCGCCTAATATGACTTGACTAGACCGGACTATAGTCTGTTTGCGGTGAAAACGTACCTATGAATTTCACTTTAAACAAAACAAATAAATCAAATGAAGTGAAATTAAGATTGCGAATCCTCATAATTTGTCCTTGCCATTTGAAAATTTAAATCCCAGAATTTTATTCAACTTGGGATGAAAGTTGTTTAACAAACGATCATAGTTTCAAATCGGTATTATTGGTTTGTATGACAAGGGGTATGCACATAAAATGAAACACCGATATCAAGTAGGGTTGGTCTAAGTTAACGCTCATCACGAACCGCACGTGCATTTGTTCCACTGTTCCAACTACTGCGCTTACCCCCTTGTATTACAAACCAATACAAGCGATTTGAAACTATGATCGTTTGTTAAACAACTTTTTTCATAAGCTGAATAAAAATCTAAGATTTAAATGTTCAATTGGCAAGGTTGAATTATGAGGATTCGCAATCTTAATTTCACTTTATTCGATTTACATTTTTGTTTAAAGTGCAATTCACTGCAAACAGACTATAAGTGTACGTTGTTTGTAAGCGGGAGTACTAAGGTCTCGCCTAGTGCCGTGACCTACTTACGGGTCCCATACCAAGAGATTGTGAAGTAAATGTCTCGTCAGCACTTGAACCTGAAAGAGTATAGTCCCGGGAACAAGATTTGGTCAGGAATTCTCAAAAAGACCGTGCACTACATAACCTTTGCACAGTATATACTTGTGCACACAGGGGCCTGTCTTTATATGTATATGGATATCAGTGTACCCTTGTGGGACCCAGGACGTATTATTTTCAGCAATAAAAGCCCCTGTGCTTGTGCACAAACATGAAGCTCTTAAATTTGCGTAAAAAATAAATAATGACTGTCGAATCAGTGAGGATAAACAGTTTTGAAGTATAAAAAAATTGGGCTTAAAGATGTAGCTATCAATATTCATGGATTGTCAAATAATAAACATGTAGTTCGATAAGACCTCTTTTCAATTTTCAGCTGTGGCCCATATCGAGTACATGTATACAGCCATTTGTAAGGGTTGGCTACACCCCTACACCCAGATCAGTTACACTTGGCAGTTTGTACTTGACTCGGCTTTTCTGTGCAACTATATACCTGTGTTGATATGACTTGCCTACCACGAACAAAGGATCAAATCAACTTCAGAACACAGTGTTAATGTAGATAGATGTTTTACATAACCCGTGAAGATCAGTGTTAGAATTGTTCTTCACAAACTGTGCTTGTTGTAAGAGGCATCTAACAGGATCGGGTGGTCTGGCTCGCGACATTGTTGACACATGTCATCATATCCCACTTGCGTAGGGGAGGTTGGGTTAAAGCGTTCGTTTGTCTCGCCAAGGACCCGGGTTTGATTCCCCACATGGGTATAATGTCTGAAGCCCATTTCTGGTGTCCCCTACGGTGATACTGCTGGAATATTGCTGAAAGCGGCGTAAAAATCAAACTCACCCACTCAATCGCGTAGATGAATGCTCATGATGTCCATCACTGGATTATCTGGTCCCGACTCCAGACCATTATTTACAAAGCACTGCTGTATAGCCTGAATATTGCCGAGTGTGGCATTAAAAACAAAAACGTTTTTCACAAAACCAGCAATTCAGACCTCGTTACACACACACATTCTTTTATTCCTCATCACATATACAAGTGTCATGCATAGATAGCACACAAAAGTAACCTTGGATTCAAAATTAAGTGGCACTGTGCCCAAAGAGGGCAAATTGTTCAAATGCAGTATGTTGTTCAAAACAGGGACTATTTTCAGTTTGTATTTTACTAAATTCTGAGGCATTACAATACTGCCCAAAATGCAATAATGCAAAATCAGGCAGGGAATACATATCTTCAGTATTAGTTGTGTTATAAGTAAAATACTTACAACTGTTAAGCCATGACATTGTTATAACATCAAGGCCTGAAATGTTTTATTCCATCTTGGGAATAAATGCTGACATTTCCTGCAAACTTCGTCCAAATGTCAGCGTGAGGAGTTCAGATAAATCCCTAACACAAATCTTGATGACATTTAAACTCTACAACAGTGTGTAGATCATTCATGCTGGTTTGAGGTCGGTGCCCTTTGATTGTGAAGTCACACCCTGAATGTCTTGTGTCTCACAACCTCCAGTGCTCTTGACTCCACTGAAAGCAACAGCATCATCCTGTGATGTCACTTCCTGTTCAGCTGCAGTTGTCTCCCCCTGGTCATGTGACTGCCTTGTCTCCAGGCTCTGCTCCATCTCCTTCTGTCTGTGATAGTCATGTCTTGCAGCATCCAAGAGGACATTAGACAACATGTACCGAGTTTCTCGCTGCCTTGGCTTGACTGGGGGCCATGGGTTACCTGTGAACATAGGAGTGAGTGAGTGAGGAAGGTTTAATCCAGTGGTTAAATCATGAGCATCAAGTGAGGGAGTAAGTGAGTTAAGTTTTACACCACTTTTAGCAATATTCCAGCAATATCATGGCAGGGTCACGAAAAATGGGCTTCACACATTGTACCCATGTGGAAAATTGATCCCGGGTCTTCCGCGTGACAAGCTTTAACCAGTGCCCTTAAGCTTTGCAGTTATGACTTGTATTTTACCCACAGCACAAGTAATAGAGAGGATTAGTATTCAATGCGTGGTTTTGCATTATTGAATTTTGGGCAGTATTAAAATACCTCAGAATTGAGCAAAGTATATACTGTAAAAAATTCCTGTTTGAACAAAATACTGCATTTGACTAACTTGCCCACTTTTGGCACTTACTTTTGAAGCTAAGGTTACTTATGAGCACTATCTGTGCATGACGCTTGTGTATGAGATGAGGAATAAAAGACTTTGTAGGTGAAGTGAGTGAGTGAGTGAGTTGGGATTTACGCTGCTTTTTTAGCAATATTCCAGCAATATCATGGCGAGGGACACCAGAAATAGGCTTCACATATTGTACCCATGCAGGGAATCGAACCCAGGCCTTCGGCTAACGAGCGAACGCTTTAACCACTAGGCTACCCCACCACCCTTGTAGGTGTAATAATGTAATAATAATAATGAGAGTATTTATAACGTGCCTTATCCTGATGTGAAACGAGGTCTGAATAGCTGGATGTATGAAGTTTCTTTTGTTTGTTTGTTGTTTAACGCAGTGCCCAACAATATTCCAGCCTTATGGCAGCGGTCTGTAAATAATCGAGTCTGGACCAGACAATCCAGTGATCAACATCATGAGCACTGATCTATGCAATTGGGTGGATGGGTGAGTGAGTATGGTCTTATGCTGCTTTTAGCAATATCCCAGCAATATCACGGTGGGTGACAACAGAAATGGGCTTCACACCTTGTACCCATGTGGGGATTCGAACCAATGCACACACTTGGCTACGCCACCATCCCACAGACAATGGAGAAATGACATCAGTTGATGAAAGAGGTAAATTGACAAGATGATAATTCAAGTGACTCTGCCTCCATATGGAATATTTAGGAGCTAAACACACTGTGTTGAAAAATCAGAGGTATATAACAAAATTATAATAGCTCTAAATAAAAAATTGAGAGCTGTTGTAATTTCGTTATATACCTCTGATTTTCCAACAAAATCCAGTACAGTCAAATCCCGATGAGTCGAATGCCGGTGTCTAGAATATTATGCATAACTTGAAGTACCTGTTGGTCCCGACCATTCCCTGTTATAGTTGTCATCATTTGAATACCGGTTACTCGAATTCGTCTCATATTACACACGATGACTCGAGAAGGAAATTTGGTCCCTCGAGATTTATACAACAGCAATCTTGTATACATAAGCCGAAGTCAGTCAATGAGAAGTTGATTGGTGTAGCAAACTGATCCAATTAACAAACCAGCTCACACCTTTCCGCCTTTGACGGGTGAGTTCAAAAGGCAGATTAGCGATTTTACGGAAATCACTGTCGGTGCTAATCAGACTGGAACTGATAAGGTGCTTCTATGAGTGATATGGAAATCGTTAGATAAACAAATGCTTAGGCAGAGGAATTAGGACTGGATCATCTTTTTTTCTATCCTCATATACATACCTATGTCTCCAATACATCGATAAGTCAAATTTATTACTTGGTCCCCAGAGATTCGACTCATCGGAATTTGACTGTATTTACTGAAGTCATGGTAGAATACTGAGTGAATATTTAAATGGTTTGATACAGCAGGGCTCCAGATTGGGGCCATATCGGCGTATGTATAGATAAAAAATATGCACGATACGGTAGGAAATAATTTAGAAAACGTAGCAGATACGCACCACAGCAATGGTGTACGGTCTTAGAATCATTTACAGACATATTTATCTGAAAAGTATTGTTTTATTGTTTATTGACCTGTTTAGAGTAGCAATGTTGTGGTGCATATATGATCATGAAACGAAACAAAAGATTACTGATACTCCATTAATTTCCATTTAGTACTCTAAATGTACACTTGAGGTTTTCCAGTACTCCTATATTGAACAAATAAGGAGTATGTACTCCTGGTGTAGAAACATTATCTGGATCCCTGAGTACAGTAAATCAATTCAAATCAGCAACACCTGGAAAACAACTTCCTGTGCATATCAAATGTAACCACTTGCCACGTCCCAGTCCAGGTTTCAGTTTGTCCTGGTTTCACAAATCAATACATGAAGCCATCATTGACACAGCCAGTTTCATGCATTGGTTCTAACAGAGTTGTCTCCCCCTCCAAGCACACTTCATGTACTGGCTTGTCACACTCTAAGAGATTAAGGTTTACAAATATATTTGAATTGATACTTGCAAGAAAATGATCCACTACAAATTTGAATATTGGATGTAAATTGGTCATTCAAAAGCATGGCAGAATTTCACTTTTCTCAAACAAATAAACCTACACCAAATTCCACCCTCGAGAACTAATGGGAAAACGCAAGGCACATTGGGAACGGCGTTCTACTCAAAAGAGGTCCATCTGATTCTTCCTTGTGTTGAAAAACAGTATACAGTATGTGCTCTGATATGAATCAGTTGTAACAGCCTTAAAATCAATACAAAATTTATTCTAAAATCACCCATACATGTTTACTTTTATTAAGATATTACAGGGTTTATTAAGTTTACAGTGTTAAGATGGAAAATGAGGATGCTGAAGTCAATTTGAAACATGATTCAAAGAATAAGTCCAGATGATACTAACATTGAACTGATTATTCCAGCTTAATTGGTTGGCTTGGATGTATTTCCATATTTTAATCAAATATGCACCTCGTCTTGTATGACAGAACTGCACTGCCTTACATTGCTTACTAGGAGGAAACAACTATTGCGATAGCGATAGTCTATTGCGACCAACTATTGCAATATGTTGGTTTTCTCTTTGGATTGTCACATTTAAAGTCATTTCCCAAATGAATGTACACTTCCTTTCAAAAGTTTAGACTCACTAGTGTAAATATAGCCACTTACTTCAGGCAACTGTTCTAAACTAAATTTTGCAAATGATTCCATACTGTTTAAAGGTACTGTTTACACATGAACTGATGTATTGTAATACAAATTCGTAACATTGAAATGATTGTCATGCGTTCAATAAATGATAAAAATCAGTGAAAATTGACCAATCCTGAACAAAACATTACACCAAAACGCACCTATTCACATGCACGTTATTTGAACATGCTTTTTAGCAATTTGATGCATGATCCTCGTGCAATTCATCTGCATAAGATTCGCAGTTGGTTCCCCCAAGTTAGTGGAGAAATGGATCTTCTATAAAACCACATATATATATGTACATAACATTTAGTGAACACTTTAAGTGAGTCTAAACTTCTGATGGGTAGTATAGTTTGTATGAAATAAAAACAAGTTTCAGTCAGTAGAAACACGAAACCCAGATCAAGTAAACATTTCAAACATAAACTTATTGTTATTCACAATTTGAAAGTCAGAGTCGCATGCCGTGTTTGCTGCCATGTTTCTATTAGAGGTAACAGGGGCGGATAACTCTAAATCAAAGTGAATGAATATGGTACTTCCTGTATTTTGCGCTGCGCATTTATCAACGGAAGTCAATTACTTAGCTATTGATAGTCACACATACTATCGATGCATCAATAGCTTTTCGTTTCTACCACCAATTAATTGCTATCGGGGACTCAACAATTGCAATCCATAGATAGTCTGATGCATCGTTATAGCACTAGTGCTTACCTTTTAGTTCAAGAATGGCCATGGCACCACCTGGGCTGGGATACTTGGTCGGAAGGTTCCACATGTATGTGAAGGTGTATGGGCTGTTCTGGAACCTCGGTACTAGCACCTTGAACAGCTTGTGGATCAGATCCTTTTCCTGAAAACATACAACACAGTAATGTTGCATATCGGACTTCACTGACAACATACATAGGGGAAGGGAGATAACTCTGATTACAACTGTTTGATATTTTGCATGCAGACCAAGGTCCTTGTATTCCCTGTCATCAGACTCATGTTCAAAGATAAAGTTAAGGATTCAGGGGTTAGTATGTTCAATTGCCATAGCACCAAACACATTCAGTTAGGGAAATGATTTAACTTTGACATAGTGGATTTTGAACATTGTGAGTAAAACCTTTGCTATTTGACTATACCTTTTAGACGAAGGTATGCAGTTTTCACAACGTAGAGCTCAAATAAACTCAGCACAACGACAACACAAGTTATTCCTTTGTGTCATTTGGACATACAGAGGAGCATTGTTGAACTCTGATAATTTGACATCTCGGTCGTCTCGATATAACATCTTGGTCCCGGCAAAATCCTTCATAATTTATCATTATTCAAGGTCTTTTAATTCGATACAGATGTCTCGATATTTCGGATATCTCAATATAATTTGATAGTTCTAACAAACAAAATTACCCTTTTTAACTCTATATTTGCAAAGAAACTCGATATTTACCTACCTATCATAGGCAAGTATCCCCCTGAACTGAGGTTGTTTCCACACATTTACACACGGTGCGGCATGAATCAAAGGGATGCGGTTGTGTAAACTAACTAGGGCTAATTGAGTTTAAGGTGTCATTTGTTTGTAATTTAATTACGATTAGTTAAGAAGGATTTAATTAGGATGTACTCACTGTTACGACTAAACACTACGGTTGTCTCCCAAAGCCCCTACATCCACAACAGGCAGATTAGCAGAGCACTGGACCATGAACCTTGTTGTTATAAGCTGCAGGGGTTGTGGGATGTAGGGGTTTCCGGAGGTTACCAACACTAATGATAACGGATTATAGTTTCGAATCAAGACATACTAAGAACCGTTTTGTTTTCTTTCATAGTGATATGTGATGATATGCCGTGGTCGGATGTCTCGAAGTTCGGCTAACAGTCACTGTGCCAGAGGGTCATATATGTCCTTTTGTAACCATGGTAACAACATGGGAAAGGAATTAAAATTATTAGAAAAACATCAAATTTCATGCAAAGTGCTTTGCTACAGAAGGTCAACCTACCAGCAGCCAGTAGTTGGCCATCTCCATGGTTGGTGGATGCTGGTCCCCATGTTTCATGGCAATCTGGATGAGCTGCAAAAAATATGACATGAATATACTTCTTTAAACCTTACATCATTTTAAAGTTGCTTATGAGACTGACCAACTAAAACACAATCAAATTCAGGGGTGGAAATCACTTTAAAATTGCTAGTGTACTCCGGTACAGTGGCACATGTAACATCACTTGCCCTGATAACTTTTCGACTATACCGGCCGTTTTCTTATTGATTTTTTAAATAAACAACATAATTAACGTTGGAAAGTCAACTGGACACCGGTACAGTGTGATATACAAATGTGCTTGCCCAACAGAAAAAAACACTGGACTCGGACATCGGGCAATGGGTTATTTCCACCCCTGAAATATGGAGAAAAGAGGATTTCTAACAAATAATATGGACCAAACGCATTAATTATCATCACCACTCTCTGTAATAAAATAGTGGATATGGATAAAGTGAGTGACTGAGCAATAATAACGCTGTGTAAATGACCGACTGACTGCGTTTGGTTTTACGCCGCTTTTAGCAATATTCCAGCAACATCACGGCAGGAGACACCAGAAATGGGCTTCACACATTGTACCCATGTGGGGATTCGAACCCGGGTCTTCAGCGTGACGAGCCAACGCTTTAACCACTAAGCTACCCCACCGCCCCCTGTGCAAATGAAACAGGCACCGATAAACACCATGATCAAGGATACTTCCTGTTGAGACACGTATGGTGTTTAAATTGCAGTTTTTAAGTAAGGAAACTGCATCAATTGTTTATGTCTTGATTTAACAAACATAACAATAAGAAATATACTTTCTACGGTTTAATTTGATGTTTCAGTTTCTATGAATATCGATTAGTCCCCTGAACTTATCGATAATCACTGACTCAATCAAGATCAATTAGCTGGCTTAATCAACATGATAGTGTAGTAAAGGCGACAGTAGAGAGACTTCAACACACTTCACCATCGAATCAGTATATTAAGGTAAACATTAAGGAAGAGTTATCTCCCCTAGTCTCCGATCTCAGTATTTCTCTTGACGTCTTGTCAGTTCTGATTATCCCCAAGAGACTGCATCTCTCCACGGAGGCAACAAATATACAATTCACAGACATGGCAACATGAAGCAGAAGACGAGGTGTCCAAACAAATCGTAAAGATTCGCCTTGTACGTGCGCTTTCTTACCCGCTCGGCATATCCCCTCGCCTCGTCAGCCGTACCGTGCGGCATCTCAAGTCTCTCGTGTCGCACTAATCCTGTCACTATCTTCCTCAGACGTTTCAGTCTGCCCTCGGGGCCGCTGCCTAACCCTTCCAGGGAGGCCATCTTCCGGGGACGCGCTCTGATCCCAAACCGTAACATTTTCAACGAAGTCACTCAAAAGAGACCATGCGAGGGAGCCCATGCGTTTCTGCGGAGCTACTATCGAATAGTTCCGCGGAGACAGGTTTCAGAAAATTGTGTATCAATAATATCTAAACAACATGTTTGACCATTTCCCACGCTTATTTACTTTCATGAAATTATAGTGTCTTATATAGATTTTTTCGTTGTATTTGTTAGAATATTCAACTGGTTCTGTTATTGGTAAGCGTAATATTGACTTTGCGCTGAATAGACATTTATGTTAGATTGGTTCCCTGCCTCTGTTGCGCGCTGGCTGAGGCGCAGCATGCCCAAGGAACCAACCTTGGTATAAAACAGTCACCTAAAGTTACGCTACCCTGCAAAGTGTCTCAAATGAACATTTAACATACGACTGGCAAATTATTATTTTTTAAATTCATTAGGATTTAGCTTGCGTGTCTAAGGTATTTGAAATAGCGTAAGGTTGTATGTTTGACGCAAAATGGGAAACGTGAATATATTGAGTCAGCGATTTTTTGGATATAATTTATTTATTTGTAAAACACTTTTCCCTCCTTTTTAGGTGAATGATACACTGTTTGAATAATTAACACTACAATACAGCAACAGATGATGTCATAATCCAAGAACACTTGATAACACAAAGTAAATGGGGTTAATGAAAACTAGGTTATAGATATAATCTGATATAATCAACATATATCGGAAACATCCAGGTGTTCATGTGATCATTATAACGAAGACGTTATTCACTACCTTTTTACATGTCGGAACTATCAAAATTCAAGAACAACTGTGTATTTTTATATTCAAGGATACGATGTTAAAACTGCTTTATACGGTAACGGCGCATTGGATAACTCAACTATAGTGACATTCTCAACTCATTACACCAGTTCATTTCTAAAAGTAACCGCTTCCAGTGATTATCACCTCAACATTTTATATTCAGTGTAAGACAAAGTTTATATAACTTGATTTTCTGCCGCAGCTCATTTCGTTGCCAGGCATAACCAACGCCATAACGAATATATTCATTACTCAATCATATATCTGTTATTTTATCTCAGTATTATTCTTTTGTTGTCAAATTATTTCAATTATGTATCCAGCTATTGCAACAATGTACTGGAGCGGCGTTTATATAAGCCACTAGGCTTGTTCGCCTATCCAGGTTTCTGCTTTGGCGAAATAAAAATATGCTTAAACCAGGTAATAGATTTTATTCGGTGGGGTGAAGATTTGGGTTTGGGTTTGGGTTGGGGTGACAATGGGTAACAATGAGTCCAAGCACTTGGGAACTAAATGCCCTGGTCATGGTCCATGGCTGCCTGGTGTTTTTTTCTTTTTAAATGGCTTCTTGGAGCTTTCGTTGGCGCCAGTTGTTCTTGTTGCTGATTAAGATTTTGGAAAAGATTTTGCCACCCTCACCTTCAAAGCCATAGCAATATGTCATCCTGAAAACCTCAATAAGAAGATAAACCACCTCGATGCCACCTTGTCAAGGAAACCAGCAAGGCCACCATAATAGTTACCCACTCATTTGAAAGACAATCACTCCCACTCACTTAACACAGCTGTAAAGTCGTAAATATCCCCAAGATGAGAAAATCTAGTTTTCCAGTCGTGCACTCCTGCTCCCTCTGAAAGGAATAGTCATGTGGCCTTTGTCCAAATGTCAACTGTTAGTTACTAGAGATGTATCGGAAACAATTTAAAATTCGTAGCATCCATTTGGTCTTGGCAGGATAATGTGATGTAGGTAATCCATACAAGCAACTACCGTATCCCTCGTTCGGCTGTGGCCGGCTGGTTTGTTGTTTTACGCCGCACTCAGCAATATTTATTTATTTATTATTGGATATTTCTATAGCGCACATATCCACGCACTAGTGCATGCTCAAGGCGCTAGTAGTTTTTCCCTCGATCATTGGATGTCAATCTTAACGGCACATCTTATTATCAATCTCAACTCCCCGGGGAGCATACAACTCTTGCAGCCACTAGGCGCACCGAGTTATTGCGGCTTTCCCATCCTAACGAGGTACCCACTGACAGCTGGGTGGACTGGGACACATAGTCACATTACTTTGTCCAAGTCTACTGCACGTTGCTGTACCCGCAACTGGGCGTTTGCACGTATTCATGTGGCCACCATCTGGTCATATACCAACGGATTCGTGGGTTCTTTTAGGTGCACAGGGTTGTGTACCGTACACTAGGGGTTGTGACAACACTGAAAGAGTCTGCACACAAAGTTGACTCCAAGGTTTTTACACCGGGTCACAGGTGGACTCGATCCCGGCACCTCATGCTCATGCTCGCTGGATCACTAGCCTGCCCTTTAGCCAGCTCGCCGACTGCGCCCCCGCGACCAATATTCCAGCTATATGCAACTAGTACCGTAGTTCATGTTCTTATTGAGAGATTTGATAAAGTTCCTACTGTGCGAAGAGAATGGGAATGAATGGTGTGTTATGCTTGTGGTTCCAGGCGACTCACGGAATCGGGTGGTCAGGCTCGCTGACTTGGTTGACACATGTCATCGGTTCCCAAATGCGTAGATCGATGCTCATGATGTTGATCACTGGATAGTCTGGTCCTGACTGGATTATTTACAGACCGCCGCCATATAGCTGGAACATAGCTGAGTGCGGCGTAAAACAACAAACCAACCAACCAATCTTTAATATCTATATGGCGGCGTTCCATTATGGACCTATATCTTTATCAATAGCTGTTAGCTTGTTAGTCTGTTAGCTTGATACCGGTATAAGGATCTATACCGAAATGTCACCATACAGATATTAATCCGTACATTCTATAGTGCGTTTGGCTCAAAACCGGACCGATGTATTGCAATCCAACTCGAAAAATAATAAACATACAATACTCAATGAAACACTGATCATAATCAAAACATCAGACCAACTCTGTGATTTATTTGCAGAATTTATGTCCTAAAAATAATATAAAGTTGTTAAACAAACTATCATTAAAATTTTGACACAGTTCACTATTTGTTCCGAAGGAGGAGTGCAAAGAAAGGGACAGCCAGGTGTGCGATAAAGGATGGAGACGCACAGCACAGGTTAATGAATCAATAACTTTGTCGGCACTTGTGCACGTGCTTCTCGAACACCTGGCTGTCCCTTTCTCTGCACTCCTCCCCTCGTAACACACAGTGAACTGTGTCAAAACTTTAATGATAGTTTGTTTAACAACTTTATATTATTTTTAGGACATGAATTCTGCAAATAAATCACAGAGTTGGTCTGATGTTTTGATTATGATCAGCGTTTCACTGAGTATTATATGTCTTTTATTTTTCGAGTTAAGTTGCAATTCATCGGTCCGCTTTTAAGCCAAACGGACTATACCTTGTTTTGTAGGTATATAGTTAGTCCCTAGGCAGAATTAGTCCCTTGTCGTTAGTGTGTTAGTTGTTTGTATTTTAATGATAATAACAATATCAGTACTAAATATTAGTAATAATAATGTCTACTGGTACTGCGCTGGGTTCCACCCACAAAGGTTCATGCTCAAGGCGCTACAACAGTCACAGATGTGAAGTTCACGAGAGGAGATAGTTCCTGGGGATAGAGCTTTCTGAACAGAAAGGTTTTTAGGTTGGTTTTGAATGTCTCAAGGGTGGGGAATTCTTTAATGTTCTGAGGTAGTGAGGTACATAACTGAGGTGCTGCTACTTGAAACGATCTGTTGCCGTAGGATTTTAGTCTTGAGTTTGGTACTGCAAGTAGGCATTGGTTTTCAGACCTTAGACGTCGTGAAGGTGGATATGGAGAGATCAGTTCTGACAGATAGCTCGGTGCTGTACCATTCAAACAGTGGTAGGCAAAACACAAGATCTTGAAGTGGATCCGGGCTTCTATTGGTAGTCAGTGTAGTACAGCTTGAGAAATTATACCATACGTCGTTCTGAATTCCAAACAAAACAATGAGACTATTGTAATATAAGGAATCCGAAACATCCCTATGTTGAAAAATATGTTTAATCAAAAATCCGCACTGTTTATGTAATTCCGTGCTAATATTTGCATGTTTTATTTTATTGGTGCCATTTAAGAATTGACTTCAATGAATTATATGTCCATGGAGGTGTAATGTGAACGTCGAGCAACGTACTGTCTAAATCCTCTGAGAACAATGTGTACACCTTTTCAGGTTTAACTCCACAAACGAATATTATTTATTTAACTCCACAGGCAGCACCAGAGACATCGTTCACCGCAATAATGCTGGGGCGGTGGGGTAGCCTAGTGGTTAAAGCGTTCGCTCGTCACGCCGAAGACTCGTGTTCAATTCCCCACATGGGTACAGTGCGTGAAGTCCATTTTTGGTATCCCCTGTCGTGATATTGCTGGAATATTACTAAAAGCGGCGTAAAACCAAACTCACTCAATAATGCGCGACACAAGGCCCACACACATTATCAGGAAACTGTTGTCCGTTAGTAGGCCTTGTCTTTTTCGATTTATGGATAAACAAACACAAAAATAATTCCTTAGATAGCCAATCAAATTCTATTGATTGACTTGCGATTTATTGAGTAGAATGTGAAAAAGACATTATCGTAATTATACAACTATTCACATTGTGAATACATGTCATTGAGGTATCGAGTATACCAAGTTTATATGGACGGGTTTTAACGTATGGCTGTGATATACAATCAGTATGATTTGATATACAATCAGTATGATTTGATATGCAATCCATATGATTTGACATACAATCAATATGATTTGATATACAATCAATATGATTTGACATACAATCAATATGATTTGATATACAATCAATATGATTTGATATACAATCAATATGATTTGACATACAAAATCAATATGATTTGATATACAATCAATATGATTTGATATACAATCAATATGATCTGATATACAATCCATATGATTTGATATACAATCAATAGGATTTGATATACAATCACTAGGATTTGACATACAATCAATATGATTTGATATACAATCAGTATGATTTGATATACAATCAATATGATTTGATATACAAT